CCCCCCCCTGGAAAGTTAATCGTGTTTTTTTGCCCCCCCCCCCCCCCGGAAGTTTTCTGCGGGGGGCCATGGGGGGGGGGGGGTATACGCGCTACAGAAGACTAGACTACCAGAGAGCTGTAGAAGTCCCCTTATGGAAGAGGAACGGAAATTCAAAAAGATGTCATCATATACTGAGGCAGCTCCCCCTAAGCCAAAAATTGATAAGATGCTTTCGAAAATCCCGGTGGATTGGAAACATACTATAGTTGATTCAGTTTGGATTCAGAAGAGTACGACGTTGCACTGATGAACATTTTTTCACCCCCCCCCCACACACACACACACATTAAATGTGCCAAACAGCATGTGAATATCTACAGATTCATCTAGTTTTTGTCGACCAGGAATTTGTTTTCGTCAGGGTGGACATGGGTTAGCTCTGCATGGGAGGTGCTTTAAGTGTACTCATTGAAAGAGTAGATCCTCGATAATGTCAGGGCGCTCTACATAACTAGTTAAAGTGATGCGCGTAGCCCCAATGGGATGTCCCAATGGTAAGTGGTTTGAAGTAAAATTCCGAGTCATGCTGCCTTCTATCGCCGTTATTGTGCATCATTTGTATTGACTACAGCACAAGAGATAACAATGTGCCATGAACGACAACAAGGAACAGCTGCAGAGCCATTTTGTTAATCTGAACAGTAGGCCTGCCTGCAAGAATTATGGGAGGAAAATCAGTACATATTAGACTAGGGCATGTCTGTATGTGTTACCCTCTAAAAACTGTTTATAAATATCAGTGGTTGATCGCTTCGACAACACCAGGAAGTTAAATAACTGGGAAGCATTTTCTCTGAAGACGCCAAAAATTGGCAGAGAAATAGAGACGATAGTGCTGTTGGCAAAAGTAGTCGGCAATAACATAATAAAAACACCCAAAAGTAAAGCTGGAGACCAAAGCCAGGCTAGTTAACGATGTCTTTATCCCAACCCTTTTCTCAACATATGCCTACGCTTCATAATTTAATGGCCTATTTAACAAGTGATTATTATATTCTTAATCGGAAAAAGAAGCTAATAAGTTGTAATTGAGTTCAAGTATTTAACTATTATATGCATCTAAAAGATACAAACTTTGCACGGCGATTTTTCTATAGAGCTGCGCAGAATTAGTCATATCAGACCTTTCTTAACATTAGACGCATCGGAGAGGCTGATGTCTGCATTCGTGCTATCAGCATGGACTATTGCAATGCTTTTATGGTGGGTCTTCCAGCTACGCTCCTGGATAAAATTTAAAAAAAAACACAGAATAATGCTGCTCGCATTGTTCTTCGAAAACGCAAATTCGACCATGCTAAAACACTTCTCAGAGAGTTGCATTGGCTGCCGGTCCGCGCTCGCATAAGTACAAAATTGCAACTCTGTGCTACCGCTGCTTGCATGACCTGACACCGTCCTATCTCAAAGCGCTACCTACACCTTATGTACCCACTAAACATCTCCGCTTATCTGATAGTGGCAAACTCTCGATACCATGTGTTCGCCTAGAGACTTACGAGGGGCACACTTTCGCATTTGCTGGCCCAACAATTTGGAACACTCTTCCTATCGCTATCAGAAACAGCCAGACACTGGAGTCTTTCAAAACTGATATGAAGACTTATCTTTTTCGCAAACACCTTCTGGGGTGATGTTGTCTATCCAGCTATTATCTTTTAGATCTATTTTGGCCTGTGTTGTTTATGGTTGCAAGGTATGAAAGACTTAGAATGGGTACTCTTTGTATGTAGTTTTGTAATGCTGAATTTTGTACTTCAATGTGGTATGTACCGCTCTTCGAGCCTTTGGGGATGAAGCGTGATTTTTAAATAATCTTTATTCAAGCTTGGATACTGAAATTTGTAAAAAATCGCCCACAGTATGTCAAGGTAAATTACCAATTATCTCTAACCAGAGAAATAAGCACCGGGGCGCCACAGGGTTGCGGTCTCTCTCCTGTACTGCATACAATTTTTACTAATTAAATTCAGAGCTCAAGCGACAGCGTTACAATCATAAAATTTGCTGATGATACCACCATAGTTGGCTTAATATCTGAGGGAGAAGGCTTATATCGCAACTTAGTTACAAGCGTTATCAATTGGTGCGATGAAAATTTTCTCCAGCTCAATGTCTCAAAAACAAAAGAAATAATTGTTGTTGATTTCCGGAGAGCGAAACGCCAGATTACAGATCTCAACATAAAAAATCAAAGTGTAGAGAAAGTAGAGGCATATAAGCAGGGTTTCTTTCAGCTATATCTCCGGGGGAGCAAAAATATGTTCAACAATAAATCAACTGGAACTGCTGGCACTGCCCCCCCCCCCCGAAAAATCTAAAGTGCCCCCCCCCCGAAAATCTGAATTGCCACCCCGGGGGAAAATTTCTGAAACACTGCATATAAGTACTTAGGTGTCACCATTTAATAATAAGCTAACATGGCATGAGCACGACCAAATGCTGTATAAAATATTCAACCAAAGACTTTTCTACCCTTAAAAACTATAATTTTGGCGTAAACAAACAAGTCGTTAACTTGTTCTCCGGTGCAACAATTCAGAAGCCTGGTGAGGGAATTCAACGTCTGATATTTAATACCCAATAGACTAATCAAGAAAGCTAGGAACATTACACAATTTAAACATCCTTCACTTGATTTACAATTTGAAGAAAGATGTTATTGAAAAACTAAACAAATTTTCTCTCAGGGCGAGGAATGAAAGATATAAAAATTATTTTGTTATCTAATCTGTACCAATTTACCAGCGTGCTCCCCAAGAAGTTAAAAAACTAAATGAGAACCAATAAGTCCCTGAAAATGACTAAGAGAGTTTGCACTGAATGGCTGTTTTTTTCATCAGTGAAATAATTTAATGTAGATGTCTTGTGTTACTGTGTTCAAATTGTTTTATTTATGTGCTGAAAATGTACAATGCAATCAAAAAACATTTCCATTTGTTTGGATCAATAAAAGACTCTTATCTTATCTCATCTAAATTCTAGACCACCTGAAACGTAAGCACCCGACAGATTACTTTTAAACAAAAACACAATAAAGTTGTTAGTTTTTATCATTACCAACAGCTTCCATATCGCTATATTTTATTTAAATTATTTTAAACAAAAGATGTCTGTTGCTTGAAAATTAAGACATCGGTTTTAGTTTTATTCTCTGTATTACTAAGCCCAACTTTTTAATCGTCTGAAAGGAAAAAAAACGTCCACGTCAACGTTCTGGGTGGTGTCACGTGATCATATCTTTACACGATCGTAGTCTTTCCGGCTTCTCCAACCAGGCTATTGTGTTGGAGAATTAGATACATTTTTATTTTAAGTAAATCTGTGTGATTTTGAAGCACTCAACTCCATAAAATGGCTAGTAAGTCAAAGTATATAACCTGTTTTAATCAGTTTAAGTATTTAAATAATTAAGTTACTCGTGTTAATCATGTATTTCAAATTATCTCAATCAACGGCATCTAGTCAATGTGAGAAAACACGACAAACGTCTTAGTTACTCCATCTGTTATGTTTACGTGGCCATTTTATATGACTATATTTTAGAACACTACATAATTTAATACCTTTAATTAAACCTATATTATTCTTTTAATGTTGTATTACTTTTAACTTTCCTATTCAACTATTTTAGTTCGATTCCTTGAGTTTGTGAAACCTTTTTGTGTTGTTCTTCCTGAGATTGCCAAGCCAGACAGGAAGGTAAAAATTATGTTTCTTAGTTAGACTTTTAGACTATGCATCATTATCTTTCCACTGATATTTAAATATACATTAATTTACACAAGAGCTATAGGCCAAGATCTAAATATATATATTGCCCAATAAATAGGACAAATCAAATATGTTGACTGCCTGCTACTGCTGCAGTGCCAGGCCCATACTTTTTAAATTCAACCGCATTATAATTAATATTATTGATTTTTTTCCTTCTCATTTTTCTCCAAAGTTATAAATAGGCCTTACTGTTAGCCCCTCTATTAACTTAACATATTTTGTTATATTTATACAGTAGGTTTAATTTAAGCCCAAGCAATTTAGGTTCATTAGAATTCAACTTTTTGTGAATTATTACAGTATAGGCCTCCTAGCCTACTACTAAATTAGAAATAGTTTTGGATTGGTACAAGATGTGGAAAATGAACAAATTATGTAGAGTAGAATTATAGTTGTAGCCTACTTGTTCTAGACCAGGTTATTAAAACTTGGCTTGCCTGGAGCCTGGAATATTATTCAACAAAAGTGATCATTAGTGCATTCCCTTTCATGATCCAGAACTAAAACAGTAATAGTCAATTACCCTAGTTACTATAAATGTCATTCTTCTGTTTAAATTTTTTTTGTAAGCTATAATCTATTACAATATAAGAAATAAAATGAAGTTTGCAGCTAAAGAATTAAAAGTGTGATAACTGATTTAACTCTTTTTTTTTTTTTTTAACTATAATTTTCAATATGATATAATTTAAGTATAATAATTTAAGTATATTTTTGCTTCCTTCATCAGATTCAATTCAGGGAGAAAGTGCTATGGACAGCCATCACACTGTTTGTGTTTTTGATCTGCTGTCAGGTATTGAACACTGCCTTATTACAATCACAAGTTATTGGTAAAGAAATGTATATTTGAATAAGTCCATTTAAATGGATAAAGTTTTGTTCTCCTTTAAGTTTGCTTAACATGTACTGTCTGTTGTAGATAATTATATTCTCATTTTCAGATTCCCTTGTTTGGTATCGTATCATCAGACTCTGCTGACCCTTTCTATTGGATTCGTGTTATCCTTGCCTCCAACCGAGGTGTGCTTTTACTATTATTTCGAAGTATCTTTGTCTGAAAGCTACATCTTTATGTGCTTTTTATACTACAAATCATTTCAATTCTTATTCTTAAAAGAATACTAATTGAATATTTTAAAAATACATTTATGATGTTCTTTGGGTTTTTTTTTACGTACCGTTCATAAATAGTTCATTATTATAATTGTCTTAACATCTCCATTGTATTTAGAAGGGGGGAAATAATCAATATAGTTAAATGTAACTGTTAGCTTGTTGTAAATTCTTATCTAAATTTTTTGGGGGGGTTTATTGTTAAATGCTAAATCATTTTCTCTTTCCTAACATTTAAAACTATTTTTATTTCAGGTACATTGATGGAGCTTGGCATTTCACCAATCGTTACCTCTTCTCTAATTATGCAGCTCTTAGCTGGTGCAAAGATTATTGAAGTTGGTGACACTCCAAAGGATAGGGCCTTATTCAATGGAGCTCAGAAATGTATGCCTTTCTTTATATTCTTTCCGGATAGATTTTCCCATTACATTATAAAACTGCTTCTGTCAATATAAATATTTGTCAATATAAATATTTGGCAGTAGGTCTTGGTCTGTCAATAAAATAAAAAAATGCATGTCATTAACTATTATGAGAAAAACTTTGTAGCATCAAATAAACCTTGACTACATCAAGATATGAGTTTACATAGTAGAATAACTACAAGCTATTTTGATTTGTTCTTTGTCAGTGTTTGGTATGGTGATTACTGTGGGACAGGCCATTGTCTATGTAATGACTGGTATGTATGGTGACCCTGCTGACATTGGTGCTGGTGTCTGTCTGCTTATCATCATACAGGTAAAATTTCATTATAAATTAACTCTTATTTTAACCATGCTGTTATTTAATGCTTCATTTATTATCAGTATGTGAAATAATAAATCAATTATGTTTTGTAAATTTTGAATACACACAAAGCTTTAAATAAATTGAAAGGACAAAATTTTATGTATAAAAATACATCTAAATGGTATTCTTACTGTGTAGTTAGAACAAAAAAAATAAAAAAGTATTCAAATTATATTGTTTGATAGATCTGGTTCTCTATATTTGTTTTTTTTTTTTTTATTAAAAACTGAAAATTTAGAGATAATCTTTTTATTAGTTGTTAATAAATAAGTTTGTTTGTTCTTTTTTAATTTAAAAAAAAAATTAGTAAACAATTTTTTCAATGCAGCTTTTCGTTTCTGGTATTGTGGTTTTATTTGATAGATCTGGTTCTCTATATTTGTTTTTTTTTTTTTTATTAAAAACTGAAAATTTAGAGATAATCTTTTTTTTAGTTGTTAATAAATAAGTTTGTTTGTTCTTTTATAATTTAAAAAAAAAATTAGTAAACAATTTTTTCAATGCAGCTTTTCGTTGCTGGTATTGTGGTTTTGCTCCTTGATGAACTCCTACAAAAAGGTTATGGTCTTGGCTCTGGTATCTCCTTGTTTATTGCCACAAACATTTGTGAGACAATTGTCTGGAAGGCCTTTAGTCCTGCTACTGTAAACACCGGCAGAGGTAAGCTCACTTAAAAATACTACATTTTAGCTTTATTTTAATTTTGAATATAGATATTAAGAATTGTATTAATTAAGAGATATGGATAAAAGAAAACTCTATTAACATTGTATTTAAATTTACTTAAGTATTAAATACCAGTATATATTTTCAGGTACTGAGTTTGAAGGAGCTGTTATTGCTCTTTTCCATCTTTTGGCAACTAGACAAGATAAAGTTAGGGGTCTTCGTGAGGCATTTTACAGACAAAATTTGCCAAACTTGATGAATCTTTTGGCCACTGTTCTTGTCTTTGGCATTGTCATATACTTCCAAGTAAATAATTCTTTCCTTGAAATTATTTTACAATAATGCTTAATAATAGTTTAAATATTGGATTTCTACAAATAAAAATCATTTTTTACATATGCTATTTTTGTAGCAAAGTGGCATGTTATGTGACTTAATTAATTTTTTTACTGTTTCTGTTTGAAAAAAGCATTTTTCTCTAAATCAATTTGTTCTCCTACCCAGGGATTCCGTGTGGATCTCCCGATAAAATCTGCAAGATACAGGGGCCAACAGACGTCTTACCCAATCAAGCTCTTCTATACATCTAATATACCAATTATCCTTCAGAGCGCCTTAGTTTCTAACCTCTACATGATTTCACAGGTTTGACCATTTTTTTCTATTACCTACATGTCTAACTCTTCAATTATTGTGGTTTTATTATAAACTGTATGCAACAGATCTTAAAAAGCTAATTAAATAACTGTGATATCTCTGAAAGTTTTTGTTTTTTATTTAAAATTCCTATGGTATATCATCAGCAATTTTTAATTTGCTTTATTTATTAATAATTATTTACTTTTTTTTTTCTCCAGATGTTGGCAAATAAATTCAGTGGCAATTTCTTTGTCAATCTTTTGGGAGTTTGGGCTGTGAGTATATTTTGTTATGCTTCATACCATGGTAATAGCATAAAGGTCTAGATCTTTTAATTTATAATTGATAGATATATTTTTAGGGAAAAGCTTTTAACAAATGTTGGTGTTTGTAGTTAATCTTGGTATAACTTTTAAATCACATTTAACTATTTAGGTTAAACATCTTTTAAAACCTTTTAGTCAAATGCATGTACATCATTTTTCAAGCCAATATATATATTTTTTTTAGGATGTTGGAGGTGGTGGTCCTGCAAGATCTTATCCTATTGGAGGCCTTTGCTATTACTTTTCACCACCTGAGACATTAGGGCATATCCTAGAAGACCCTATTCATGCTGTCTTATACATAGTCTTCATGTTGGGATCCTGTGCATTTTTCTCCAAGACTTGGATTGATGTCTCTGGCTCAAGTGCCAAAGATGTGAGCTATGTTTACTATACAAACAATTATTTGGTTAGAAAATATATAAATTTTAAGAAAATGTTTCATGTCATGCACGAAAGAAGTCATATTGGGTTAACGTCTATCTTTTATTTTGAAAATTTTCACAGGTGGCCAAGCAACTGAAAGATCAACAGATGGTCATGAGAGGCCATCGTGAAAAATCTATGATCAAGGAGTTGAACCGTTACATCCCAACAGCTGCTGCATTTGGAGGCTTATGTATTGGAGCACTTTCTGTTTTGGCTGATTTCTTGGGTATGCTTTCTAAATTAAGTTCTGAAATAAAAGTTATGCTGGCTAATTCAGAGAAAACTTAAAACCTTTGTATACAAATGTGTGGAGATACATGTATCATTAATCATTAGAGAACGTACATGCAGGTTATTTTGAGCCTTGATCATTAAAAATTGAATGCAAGACTATACAATGACTTACAAGGATATTAATTTAGCTTTTTCAAATTTAATCAGTTGCATTTTATATTAATTTATCCCTAATAGTTTACTATAACTCTTTGATTACATGCCTCAATAATTTATTTATAGGTGCCATCGGAAGCGGAACTGGAATCCTTTTGGCTGTGACCATTATTTACCAATACTTCGAATACTTTGTAAAGGAGCAGAGTGAAATGGGTGGAATGAGCACGCTACTCTTTTAAACTTCTGAACTACACCTCATTTGTTTTGTCTTATTCTGTGTCAGTGCTAATAGTACAATAAAAGATATGATTAAGGAAAAACTCACGAAGAAAAACAAAGTTGATCTTCTGTTGATTTGACTGCATCAGGTTGCAAAATAATTCCAGTGAAAGGGTCAACACAACGTTGTTCTGATATGATTTTCTTTTAAATGATAAGTGGGGTGTGTGTGTTAAATTAAGCTAATGAACCAATTTTTATATGAAAGTCGTCGAATGTGTACAGCTTTGGGTTAAGAAAAAAAATGATTTTTTTAAAGTTATGTTATTTTTTTATCTGCAGGAAATTTTATTTGAGATGCATGTTTGTAAAATTTGTGTGAACTGTCTTGTTTGTAGGATGGTTTATAGCATATGCTATCTTATTAGAGACTATTTCTTGTGATTATTAATAGTTTGTAAAACTATTTTAACACATTCAATCCAAAACCAGTCAAATGTACAATCCATATGAATGAAAGAGCTGTGAGCAATGGCTATTAGTGGCACCTGAAAGAATGCTACTGAATCTCACATTGGTAGAGGTCACATTAGAAGGTGAACGGTTTACCGGCTATACATAATTTCCCCCCTGATCTTTCAGGTCTACAGAATCATTTGTAAATGTGTGAAAAGAAGTGTGCAAGTTTAAAACAAAAACAAGCTTTTGGTTATGGGTGTATTTCTAAATCCATCTGTTTATGTGTGTACGACATTTCATTATTTCCCATGGTTTAGGTAGGACTTATCCTTCACAATCGACCACTATTTTGTCACAAATATTTACATGTTCATTTGACTAGTTTATTAAATCATGGCATGTAAGGGATAAGTTATTATTGAGTATTCAACTGCTGTTCAGAAATAGTTTCCTTTTTGTATTGATTTCTTTGGCTGGCAGATTTGGGACAAATGGCCTGCAAGGAGAGCGAGTCAAGAATGTGAATGAGGTGTGTGAGGATATAAAACAGAGCGGCTCATTTCAATAAAAGTCAAAATTTGAGAATGTATTTAAATAAAATATTAATGTTACCTTATATTTGGCTTTGGATTTTTTTTTTTACAATAGGAAATAACGTAAGGCTAAGATCATGTAGTTGTAGGCTTCTGTTATTTATTTGCAGAACAGTTAAAAGTTAGTGAAAAATATTGAAAATTGTGTATAGTTCTAAATAAAACAAAGCTGTTATAGTAAAAGCAAACAAAAGGAACAGACTTTTTAAACTCGGATCTCTGTAAATTGTAAATAATCACATTTTAGCAATGTATTTTATAACCAAAAAAAATATTTTAAATATAGATTGGAATAATCTAGACAACTATTTCAAAATTATTGTTAAATGACAAAGAACTAACAATAAAGGAAAATGTTAACTGAAATACTGATTTTTATTAAGCGGCAAGGCAATATTTTCATTGCATAGTTGTCGTAAAAAAATATTGATACCCGGGTATATTTAAGGTCATTTTGCGTACCGGTACATACATGTTTACTATTCCGAAGAACGAATACAATTTAAGTGATGTAAACTGCTTTTGAGTATTTCATTATTAAAAGTATTGAAAAATTAATAAAAATGAAAAAAGTACATCACAATTACATTTTTACACTCTTTGTTCAGTATGTTAAACTTGTTTAATAAAGTGAATCCATTTCTTTTACCAAAGTTTTTTTTTAAAAAAAAGCTCACCATGTTAATAGCTCCTGATCCCCAGCAAAAATATATTTTGTTTCGGGCTAATTAATTTTTTTTCTGCCAACCCTAAAAAAATTTCTGAAAACAAACATGATACAGTACCCATACCAAACTTGGGCACAACTTAAATCTGGATATTGCTCTTTCTAATTTTGTTTGATCAGGGGTAGATTTTAATATAAATCACTTTTTGCAGCTTCTTAATTAAGTCAAGCCATTTATATGAAAACTTTGGGCATGGCAGGTTTTCAGATAGATGTAAGCCTTGCCAAATTTAACAAAAAAAGATACTATAAAAGGAAAAGTAATATCAAAAGTAGTTAATTTCTTTGCAACCATTAATAGAAACTTGGTTAATATTAACTCATTGCATTGTCATCTATTTATAATAAATATTTCAAAAAACAAATGTATAAGTTTACATATATATTGAGATTCCATTAACCAACATAGACTAGAACTGTAATATTTTTTTTAACATATAAAGAGACAACTAATATATGTATACATGTGTAAATTAAAATTTGTTCACATGAAAAATCGAGTGTGGCTGACTATTCCCTTGTCAGAAATTGTATTTAAAATATCATTTTTAGAATAATATGTTGATTTCTTTCTGGGCATCACTTTTGGATTCAGCCGTGTCTTGTCTAAGTCTAAGCAGCAAGTGCTGCCTCAAACTGTGGACATTTCTGTCCCTCTTTCACAACTGTGATTGATCTCCAAGGACGGCCACTTCCTCTTAAGTAGTTCTACACAACAAAAAAATCAAATCAAATCAGCTCATATTGTGCAGATAAAAACTATCCCACCTCCCTGTGTTTATTAGACAAAATAAATGTGTCTGTGAAGTATTATACTATTCTCTTGAGGTGGATGCTTATAAAATAAAGCAAACAATTCAGTTGTTGCACAGTCTTATATTTCTTTCAGTTGAAAATGGTACAAAAATTCCCAAAATGACACTACATTTACAGTACAAAGCTATGCAAACTTGATTACTGGGCATGTTAAGAACTTACATGAGCATAAGGCAGGCCATTTCTCTTTTCAGCACCAGAAGCACTGCCACCAACCCAAACAAACACTGTGTTACCGCTGTCACAAATAAACACATCCTGGAAGATTGGTCATTGTTTAGTTACAAAGAGCTTGATATCTTTTCTCAATGCATAAGTTAAATTACTATACTCAAATAAGGTACATAGCAATTCAATTACTAATTGTTAAAATATTTTTTCAAAAGATTTTTCGCTTTGTTTCTCATTTAAATTTAAAAAGTAAATGTTTGTCAGCAGATTCAAATAAGAATTGCTCTAGATGTGTTAATTTTTTATAGTTCTTTCCGTTTGAATTATATGAATAACCTTAAAATTGTCCTTTTAACAACTTAATTGAAATGATATTTACAATTTACAGATAAATTATGAGTAGCAGTAAAAGTTGATGCCTAAAAGTTTTATAAATATTATTACATCTGATTTCAAATCACTGCGGCTGAAACTTCCATCTTTGACAAGTTCAGACTGAGCTGTGTCTGTGTTTACCCTAAAAAATAAAGCATCAAACTCATGAGCTGAAGGTCCATTGTTAAAATAATCACCAAGAGGCTAAATCTAATAAACCTTTAAATAATATAAATAAGTAGTAGAAAAAACATGCTTCAAAATACCTCAGTAGTTTTTGGTCATCATCACCATCAAGATCATCATCATCATCAGGATCCTGGTCTAATTTCACCCAAAATTCATGCTGTTTTTAAATGAAAACAAATCAATCAATTTAGTTCAAATAATATCAAAATGTTGAACATTACAAGCCTAAAATTATGTCAAAAGGTACAAAGAGATTTAAAGTTCTTGGCAATAACAAACTTTTGCTAGAAATGTATTGAATATTGGTAATTCTAGCAAGGTTGGCCCACCTATTATGCAGCAAACAGAAGAAAGATGCTGTAGATAAAGCAGAATAAGGTTTAGGCAAGATTATCCTACTGTGTAGTACTTATTCTTTTCATTAATTGTTTGGGTAGCCTATTATTACATCACTTCCTTCAAATACATTTTATAACTTGCAGTATTACATTTATTTATTCTACATTGAATTTTTTTATTAAAGGGCTGCAGCCTATTAAGTACAAAGTGTTAAAACCCAGAGTGAAGCTTTCCTAGAGACAGAAGAAAATAAACACATCTAAATTTGAAATATTTGATTTCAATGAGCTTGTTAACTTGAATTTAGACCAAAACTTACTGATTTTGGGACACTTCCACCATCAAGCACAATGGATGTAGCTTCACCACGCTGACTTTTCAGGTTACCAATATATTGCATGGCCTACAAATGAGACAAAGTTAACATTCATCTGAATTAATTCATTAATCTATTTAAATGAAATATGTCTAGGTATCATGACAGCTCATTTCTTATTGTTTATTTAATATATTTCAATTAAATTAAATTTTATAATTTGTTAACATGCATTAATAAAAGAGATATGAGACTTTAAATCCAATGACAAGCTGAAATGAGACTTTTTTCCCACAATGCCAATCTCCTGCATTTTGGAGGAGGAAAATTTGATAATTAAAAAAACAACCTTGGCTCTCTCTGATGGGCTTGATTCCTCTCCGTTATATTGATAAATTGTGAGTCCAAGATCAAGTATGAACACATCCCCAGGCACAACCAGGGAGGCAGCTCGTGGAATCTAATCATAAACAATGTTTGGCTTAGTTCTTTTACTTAAACATCAACATATTGGTTTTAAGAACACAGTAAATTCAAGAATAATTTAATTATGTAAATAATTTCAATACATTTGTCAAGTCATATAAGTTCAATGAAAATAATAGTTTATTTTTACTACTTAGGAAATAATTGCCTAATATAGCTTTGCATACAAGCAATACGATTTACACCTGGTGGAATTTTCATGAGACTTTTTATGCAATTCAGTATCTACAATCTGCATAAATAGAACAGTTTATTTACTTATTTAAAGGATTTTGATACAAAAAAAAGTTTCAAAACATTTTTTCAAATTATCTTGCATAGAGTCAGGGCAGTATTTTAAAAATAATTAAATAGAAGGAGGGAACATCCATTGATAAATTTCATTTTAACATTATAGGTGCATGCATTGATTCATAGTGCCACTGTTAGCAGCTCCATGCCCTGAATTTTTTCTTTTAAAAACAAGTCATAAAGCACTCCAGATTAAATGCTCTATTTCATTAGCAAACTTCACAACTGTAGTAAAAGTTAAAGGAGGCATGCTTAGGTCCCCTGACACCTTAGGAAAGCAGTCACCAGCTTTAACCTTCTTAATAATTTATATATTATTATCTAGTGCATGGATTATAACCAGGAGTGCCAGCGCTCCCTGGGGTGAGGGAGGCAGCATCAGGGGGTGCTAGAAGACCCAGAAAATCAGGTTTATTTGCATTTTTATTACTATTATTTATTGTGTGCGGTGTGTGTGGGGGGAGGGGGGGGGATGGCATTTTGAAATAAGATGGGGGTGCAGGAAATTTCTTTTTATCAAGATGGGATGTGGTACTGCATAAGATTAGAAGCCCTGTTCTAGTGTGTTTGATATTGTTTTTTAACGTCATGTTTCTTTTTTTTTGGCTACTTTTTATGTGAAGCGCAGACAGGCTAGCCACATCAATTTAATAATAATAATTATAAACAGGCCCTTTTTTTTTGTTTTTCTTCTATGATGAATAATTACAATGGATACAAGACTGCTAAGATGATTAGAAATAATTTGAATCATAAAATTTTTATATGCAATTGGGTCTGATTTATCTATGCTTTCATACTTTTGCTTCACATTATTTCCCTAAACTAAATTTTAAAATATTTATTGTTAAAAAGTGATTTTGTAACCAACACCCGCCATCCTTTACACCCCCTCCCCCTTTTTTTTCCCTGGGTATAATGAACTGATGTCAGTAAATCAAGTGCTAGATGGATAAATTTGCTTTTAGTTTTAAAAAGCTTAAAAATTTCATTTCTGAACAGCAAAGGGATGAAAAAAAGTTATTTCGAATATTTTAATCTGAAGAAATGAATTAGAAGAGAAAAAACAAATATTCAAGTTTGAATTTTCTTAATGTATTTCTCTTCAACAAATATACGCAATTTTCTTACCTGTCTGACAGCTATTCTGCCATCCTTATCTCTGGAAAATATGAAAAGTCTGGGTTCATATTCCTCTGGTGTGACATGTCTGAAGCCACTTGCAGCTCCACCTTCCATAGTACTGTGAAGATGATGAAAACAAATTAGCAACCATTTTATCTATCTTGTTTCTAGCGCTCTGGAGATTTGGAATCAATGAATATATGGAAAAAATAATTACAATAGCCTACCTAACGGACTTTGAAAGACCAAAATATAATAGCAAATCAAATCAAATTTTTAAAAGCATATGTGATCAACTTTTTAAAAACAAATGTTTTAAATAGCCTACGTGATTCCTTTGGGAAAGTAAGACTTAAAGAGACTGCTTTCATGTCCTTGACATTCCCTGTGCTGAACAGGCACATCATCTAGATAGGTATCAAGTTCTACAGTCTTGTAAGCTGCAGTACCATACTCATCCTTTGAGTGGGGAGAGAGAAATTAATATCAGTTAAGTAATAGGTAATGCCTATCTTCCCAGCAAGGTGCACAGATAATGGTTGCATTTGAAAACTAGGCAGTAGCATCAAACTTGCCTGACTGCTGTTCTTGCCAATCCAGAAATGAACATCATGGAGAAGGTTATCACCATCATCATCTTTGTAGGTCTAAATTGAAAAATGTAGCATATTAATTTTTTTTAAGGTATAACCTTAATATCATTAGCATATATACAAGTAGTAGAATATTAGAAGTAGCAATAATTTGTATAGTATTTTGATGGAAATAATTAATATGATGGCCTGATCTGTAAATTAAACATTCAAGAATGGGCAGCTAAAAGATTTTGTACAAATTGGAATTTTTTTTTAAAAGTCATTTTAAAAGCCAAAATACAGTTTCACATAAAACTGATACAAATAAAAATAATTATCATCTGGCACTTCATGTCTACACTTAGATTACAAATAATTGTTAATTTCATCTGTACTTTAATTTTTACATTCTTTTTTTAAGTTGTATCACTGCTGTTACATATGTACATCCACTACTTATGAAAAATGAGGTTAAACATTCACAGACGGCAACAGTAGCTGTCAATATTTATTATGAGCAATCATTTAAATTGCCTATTAGAAAAGAAGCCAGCAACGATTGGGGTGGGGGGAGGGGGGATCTGGAAATGCAAGGCCAACCCATCCCTGGTCTAGAATATCACAAAATAAGATGACTTATATTAGCACATGAAAATTTTACTTTCAATAATTTTTAAAAATATTATGCCTGGTCACATTTCTGCCCTAATTTGAATAATCCCAACTTGTTTAGTGCAAGCGTAAAGTAATAGATGACTAGTGGGTATTTGGGCTAAACATAATTTGTTTTTAAGTTGTTTCAGTTTCGATAATATTTTCTCTTACGTTTAGAACAATGTAGGAATCTCCATTGTAAAATTCACCATAGTCCTCTTTTGGCCAATCTTTAACCTGGAATTGCTGTTTAAAAAATATTTTCCATTTTATAATCTGGAAAAGGAAGTTATCTGCACTAAATGTTGAAGATAAATTTAATTACATTATCGGATGATCTATTTACTTATCGGAAATTATTATGATGAAGTCAGTGAAATGAAGAATAATAGATAATAATATACTAACTACTAATTTTTTTCTTATTTGTAACATATTACAAAATCAATTAAATGATTTTGAGCAACTAAGAATTACATTTTGTTGCTAATCAATTTAATGGACTAAATGGCATACTTAATTAACATATTGAATTACCTCAATACGCCAGATTCTCAGACCTGGAGCTATACCAGCACCTTGCCAGGCAGGCTCTGTTGCAGCAGATTCCTCTGTTTTTGTGAACGGTGAAGGAGAAAATTTAGCTGAACTTAGCCTTAAATACTACAAAAATTTGTGAAAAACATTTTATGGGCTAAATCATGTCTAAAAGATAAAAGTGGTGGTTTAATAATAATGTACTTAAATTACTTACTCTTGACTTGTTTTTCTGTGTCTGAACCAAACAGGGCCATGTTGCTATCAGTCCAGTCATATTTCTTGGCTTTCACTAGTCCTGAGATTGAAACATATTGTTTACAGCACAAAAATAGATCTCTTCAAGTAGTACATTTCAGTCAAATAGATACAAATGTAGCCGTGTTGTGGTGGTGGCAAATACAGTTTAAATAAAACACAATGAACTGCAGGTCTGAGGACTATAACTTCTTTATTATTCAGGAACACAATCCGTTTATTTGGCAGTCTCATAAGCTGTTTTCACACAGAATATCTAAAATGGATTCTCTTAGTCGCACACACAGCTGACTACATACACACAGCTGACTACGCACACACAGCTGACTACGCACACACAGCTGACTACGCACACACAGCTGACTACGCACACACAGCTGACTACGCACACACAGCTGACTATGCACACACAGCTGACTACGCACACATAGCTGACTACGCACACACAGCTGACTACGCACACACAGCTCAGAAAATGCACACCCTGGGTTTAAATTCCACCCCCCTGATATATGCCCAGCTCAGTGACTGTGAACATGGAAAAGAAAAACACCATAGGTGGCACCCTACAAACACAGGTGACACCCAGCCACATACAAATGTTTTAAAAATGGAGTTTACAAAAAGTGCCACATTGCCACATCAACATCCCAGTCAAATCTATAAATAAAAGCCAAATACCCCTCACTAACTGACTGATATCTAGGCCTCAATTACAAGCCTTAAGAAGTTTAAATTTTCCATGACGATTCCTCTTATACATTAGGCATGTAAAGACAATTTTTTTGTTTAAATTAATCTTTTAAGTGGCCTAAAATGCACAGTCCGCAACATATGAAAGAAATGGTTTGTCTTGTAATGCGTTTTTGGTTTATGTTTTTGATTTCATGTATTATGTATCTTGCACTGCATTTGAACATGGCTATTTTATTTGTGCATCCAACAAGAATATTTTATATTTAAGTTTTAAACCATGCATCTAACCATATCAATAAAAGATGTAGATAAATTTTTAAATAGTGTAATACAGTTCAGGTACTTCACCGGTGCAAGATGATTGGTATGTTTGGCTCACAAGGGGGAATACAAGCATTGAAAGAACTGTTCGGAACTTCCAGAGATGTAAATGGCTTATGAATGGGATTAATATGCTACTGGCAGGTGATTTCAGGTATACACTACCCTGCTTCTTTGGAAATGTGTTTCTGAGCTGAAAGCATGTCTTAAGGCATCCCACCTATGGGCTAAAACTAAAAGGGATTCCATCACATAATCAGTCTGAAATTTCATACTCCAATCATGCTGCTGTGCAATCTGACACCCCCCCCCCCCCTGTTGAAAATATTAAGTTGCTTAGCTACTTCACAAGGAAGATAATCATGAAATTTCATACTCCAATCATGCTGCTGTGCAATCTCACACCCCCCCCCCCCCTGTTGAAAATATTAAGTTGCTAAGCTACTTCACAAGGAAGATAATCAAACAACAGAGGCAACCATCAAGGTTAGTTCAACCTTTTATTGTAGGAGAACAACATGGAGTCCTTCCAACATGGAGCACTCCGACAAGACAGCATAAAGACAAGACACTACACAATAAATAATGTAGTGTGCAAAACAATGCGCAATTAGCTTTCAGCATTTTGTCAATTTCCAACACCCCCCCCCCTAACACACACACACATTTTTAATGGCACCAGGCTGCACTGAAGCCTTACAGAGAAATGTCATTAAAGTAATCATTGCACAGGCTGTGGAGTAGGAGAAACAGTTTTAATACCACAAAATTCTTTTGATTCCCTCCGACTAAGTTTGGCCCGCATCAGCATCCCCCAGCGTGATCCAAATATACCTAAGTCATTGTTAAGAAAAGTTCTGATTCATATTTCTGTTCTTACCAAATCATGGAACAACAAGACCAAGAAAACTACATCCTACCGTATTTATAATTCCCTCTAACATCATATCAAATTCTGGGTTTTCAGCAAGTAGATACATATATCCCAGTCAAATAGTTGCAAACATCCCAGTCAAGTAGATACACACATCCCATTCAAATAGATACATATATCCCAGTCAAATAGAAAAATGTTATGTTCTTAGATGCCAATTTCTTTAAATAATCTAAACACATATTTCCTATTCTCCATGAAAAACTGGCCTTATACTTACCAGTCATGGTGACAGCTTAGAAAGTTTATGTGCACTAAAGAGGGAATTATTCTGAGGAAAAAAAAACAACAATAAAATGAACTTAAAAGTGCTTAAAGTTCTTGTCTTGATCAATTAAGGTTTAGCAGACAATATTTTTTGGTATTAGAATTTTAAATGAACCTGCAAGAGCAAGCAAACTACAAAATCCTTTCATAATACTTTTGCCTCTCAGCAAAAGATTTGAGAAATAGACACCAAAAGTTTACCAAAGCAATTAAACAAATCAAACTGCACTACTGCAGTGACTTATGAGTGATCAAGAAAAAGCCCCACCCACTCTCTCTGCTTAGTCAACAAGTGTTTGGGCACAGAACATGGGGTGGCTATCTGTAAGCCATGCCCTGGTTACACATCAACAACTTTCCCTCCAACACATTGAATGTGCAAATATGTACTCTAGCTGACCTATAAACTATGTGACAGTGACAAAGTGTGACATATGTTCATCTGATTAATCTCCGTACACCTCCACACCAAAAAACCCAATGCTTTTTAGCAGCTCTTTAAAATAGAGCATACAGATTAAACTATTTTTCTTTTCATATAGTTTCAATAAATAATGTACCATTATGGGTTATAAATACTTTGAAAATTCTGAATAAACTTTATACATGCTCAGGTGCAATCCTAGCAATTTTTCTATGTGATTTGAAATCTCCAGTTGTCATCCTCATAATTAATAATAGATGGTGATATATTTTTTATTTAGGCGCTGGGCTTGGTTGCACCATTGAATTATATGTCTTGGGCAGTGATTCCCAATCTTCTTGACTCATAAAGCTCTTTTTATAATCAATTTCCATGGGGAAGCGCCTCAGGCAAACCCTCCTCTTCTCTTACAAGTTAATGTTGTTTAAGAATAGTGTTAATGAAGGCACAAAAAAATGGGCAGAAGCGGCCATGGAGCACATGTTGGGAACCACTGCCCCAGAGGCAAATTATTAAGTTTTTGGAGCCCCTTTCTTAAATTTTTACTAGGAATTTCATAACTGACACATACAGATCCTAGAAAACATTATATTGAGACAACATTTTGTGTACACTTAAAGAATTCATAAATATGCAGGTTACAAAATAAAACCCTGGGGGGGGGATAGGACAAGAAAATACACCTGCCTACAACCAGGAAAGGAATGGCTCAGTCAGCAGCAGGGAGATTTAAAAAACAGAAATCTGGGAGTTGGCAAGCAAGCATGATTCATGAATGATGTTGCCAAATGTCAATATGAGAGTAGGTCAAACTAAACATGAATATTAAGTCATAGCCAGATGAAGATTAAAGATGCTATATTAAAACAGTCTAACTAGATAAAGAATGGAGATACCTTGTAAAAAAAAAGCCCAGCTAGATAAAGATTAAAGATGTTATATTGAAAAAGCATTAAAATAGCTCAAGTTCTAAATAAGCACATTTTTTTAGATTTTTTTAGATTGGTTCTACATTAGGCAAAGGAACACTGTCGTTTTGTGCATCTTTAGGGTATTCTTTGGGTTAATTTTTTTTTTCCTAAGTAATGGGATAAATATAGAAAATTATAAAATAACTTTGAATGCCCAAAGCTGTTGTCAGCCTTACATAAGATGAAATAAAGAAGATTTTAAACGTTTGTTGTAATTCATGAAGATATCATCAAACTAGATTTAAAAGCTGCCCTTAAATTCATTTGACAGGAGTGAATTGAAGCATAGCCTGAACTCATCAATGTTTGCAGTTGACCTACTTAGACACCTGGATTTCAAACATTTTCTTCTTCTTCTCATGACCAGGTAAAAATGTTAAAACCTGGCTTAAAACTGGAAGAAGTCACAACCCAGTTCAGTGAAGTCACAAGATGAACTAGGTCTCTTTACAATTTTTTTCTCATGACTAAGTAACATAGAAGTGTTCACTTATGGAAGCAACTAGTCAAAGTAAATATTATTTGTGTTAGCTCTCAAACCCCAAACAGACTTAGTTAAAATATAAATTTAAGCAAAATAATTGAAAACACATTGTCATCATAACTTGCTATAGAGGAGATAAAATACCTGTATATAAAAGAAGAAATTTCACAACTCAACAAAAAAGATCCAACAAATGTTTTATAATTAAAACCTATTGGATATAGGCCCTACCAGCAGTCTGCAAATCATGGCTCGTAAGCTGCATGCAGCTCTTTAGGGACCTGAGTGTGGCTCGGCCAGGCGGCCACAAATCAGTTTTGACTCAGAAAAACAAGGTTTGACAGTTTCTTGAATAGAAATTTTGGTCTCTTGAGTGTTTTCAGCTGCTAATTGTTAACAATATTTTCTTTTTGACATATTTCTTTGCCCCTTTAATGACAAATTGTTTTAACTCCTTGAAGACTCTGTCATAAGAGGCCATATATAATTTACATATATGACATATATTTGTGGTATATGCTGTATGACAGTTTTGTGGCTTTTGTGAGTTGGGGGTGACAAAATCAAGGACAATCCCAGACCCCGGCGTCACAAACTTTAGCTACTCCACTGCCAGATGGGACTACTTTCTTTAATATGTCAATGTCATTCTTTTTTATCCCTTATTTATAGTTATATTATCACTAAGAATCTATCCTGTCTCTACATTTTCAGGAAAGAAATAGGGCCTACATGTTCTGTTCCTCACTGTAGGCCTACACCATAATATATTATACTATAATATAATATAAAGCCAGCACAAAAAAGGGAAATGGAGGGGGGGGGTGAGAGAGGGGTAGAGAGAAATATATAATATAGAGAAAAAAGAGAGCAGACACATTGATTTTATAATTAAAGGTGTGGCCATGACCACAGTCTGCTGCTGAGTTGTGAAATCCTGCCCGTCAATAAATCGCATGCATGGGTGATGATTCATCTACGGTCGGTAGGCTGCAACTTCAGGAAAATCAGTGCGTCTCAAACTTTTCACTGTGGCGGACTGGTAGGAATTATCCTGACAATCAGGAGGAACCAATGTCCAAATTACTGATAAGGCCGATTGTTATTTTATTATATCTTCTTTCACTTTTACCCAACGGCTTTGGTGGTCTCACCGAAGGGTACAACAGAACAGTTAATAACAGCAACTCAGTAACATAACATTCATTATTAAGTTCCGCAGACCCAGAATTTGACTAGACGTTCTCTAAAATACATAGACTTAGACATATCGTAATTCAGATTTAATAGCAGTAGGGTCAAATTAGCAGCACATTTACAGATTTTAACAAATAAATAAGGGGAATAAACAAATAAAACTAAATACTTTCAACAAGCCGGCACTCTAAACCCGGAGTACACCGGTAGCCGGTAGGACTACAGCTACGCCCTTTTCAATGATTCAATGGTATAAAAGAAAAGTATAGGAAAAAATCAAAACAACTATTTAAAACGTTCTTAACACAAAATACAACCAACAGAATTATCCAAAAGTAGAAGTTACACTAAACTAAGCTAAAAGGCTATATTCAAACTATATTGAATTGCCTTGTGGTATTTATTTAAGTGTATGTACTCACTATCGATGCTGAAGTGATGTGATAACAGCCTGCGATGTTACGAGTTCACTCACGTCCACGGGCTGAACGATACACAAACCTCCGTCAAGCTTTCCGGGTCTTGCCTTGCGCGACGGAATTTAGGCCAAAGGTAAAATAAAAGTAACATTTTTTTGTTTTTTGTTTTTTTAAGATGAGTCAGGGTCGCCTAAACAGAGGTGGGGGGGGGGTATTAAATTATAGGATACAAAATTCATTTTTTGAAAAATCATATGAATATGATGATTTTATAAACTAATTTGCTAAAATTGTGAATTAGTTAGTTATCGCTATCATTATTAAAAGGTAAAATAAAAGTAACATTTTTTTGTTTTTTGTTTTTTTAAGATGAGTCAGGGTCGCCTAAACAGAGGTGGGGGGGGGGGGTATTAAATTATAGGATACAAAATTCATTTTTTGAAAAATCATATGAATATGATGATTTTATAAACTAATTTGCTAAAATTGTGAATTAGTTAGTTATCGCTTTCATTATTAATTGGATGGTCAACAATTTTATAACTTTAAACTTGTGTGTGAATAATATTTATAATGAACTCCCAAATTAAACACCAATACAAGTTCACATAAATTTCATGGCCCTCACAGAGAATTTACCACGTCCAAGGTTGGGTAGGGGTGGGAGGCTTCCACCACTCGATTCTTCGGAGGGGTGGGGTAGGCGCCGCTGAAAATCCCTTATTAATTTATTTTATTTTGTTACTTGGACTGTTGTGACAAATCCCCCCACCCCAAAACACACACACACACATACTATACACACTTTTTGAAATGGTTTTGCTAGGGCTAGGGGGATACTGAAACTACGAATTATTCATCGAATTCAAGTCGAATACATACTGAATGATGGTGTCGGTGTTACAAAGGAAGAGTGTTACTTTAGATGTTATTTATGCATCAAAATCAAATGGTAACTGTAACAGTAGGCCTATTTCTTACTCTTTAATCTCTAATTGAACGCTCTATTGTTATTGTTAGTGCCTTATGATTATGCCTTATGAAATTAATTATCAAATATGATCGAAGTAACGCAAAAAAATTATTGGTAACTAAATTTTACATAAATTATTTGCTATAGTCTATTAAGAAACTTTTTTTTCTTCTTTTATTGAGTCTAAACTTGTCTTCGAAAGAAATACTTTTTTTATTTTGCAAGTTATATATTTTTTTTGTCCGACTCTGAATATGGACTTCGAGTAGGGTACTCTGTAAAATGTCGAATTTTATATACTTTAAAAAAAAAACGAGACCGTAAAACACCGTAATGTGCCTTAGCGACGCTTATATCACGTGACACAATTCAATGGCCTTTATCACTGCTAGGGACACTTAAAACATTGGAAGTGTAAAAGATTTCAAATATTCACTGTAATGGCGTAATGTAGATTGAATTCTCTAAGAAAGTGACATAAAATATTATCTCAATCTGCCATTTTGTCTTGTAAGTTTTTAACAATTATTAAATTAATAATATAGGTGACGGTGGCAACTACTAAAATTAATAATGAGTATGAGGCATGAGGCATGATGAGTCATGGAGCTGGGGCTACGCCTGCTACGGCTACAGTTATGTTTAAGTCTATGTCTATAAGTATAAGTTATAAATATAACTTACTATAGCTTATATTTATGGGACTAATAAGTCATTCTTTCGATTAATGAATGTCGATAATTCGACTTTCTTTGGCCTATTGCCTATAGCCTGTAGCCTATTCCATCTCACCTGTCTATCTATTTATTAATATTTTAATTTTAGGCTATTAATATTAACTAATACCAAGTAATGTCTAAAGTCAATGTTGATTAAAATTTAAAGTCTAAAGTTTTAAACTTAAAAAGTGCCCTTCCTTAAATTTCCTAAGGCAAACATACTATGATTACTATAATAACTATAATATTTTTTTGTTTTTTAAATGTATGTAACTTTTTTATGATTAATTAAATTAAAATGTCATTATTAGTTTTGCTAGTATTTTTATGTGAAGCATGTGTCCACTCCTCTGTTCTACTAGATTGGTTAATTCATCAAGTTCTTTCACATGTTGAAATACGTCATACTAATATTGAATAAACTCAAGTCCTTTATCAAAATTCTTATTATAAACACAGGCTGTAAACTCCATACTCACATAAATATAGCGCAACTTGCTATCAGTCAGAAATAATACACTTCCTACTTCCACAAAGTTCCATTCATGACTGCCAGACAAATAAAATGTACGTCACAATACAGTCTAGACAATACGACATAATAAGCATTAAAGTACGTCACAGAGTCAAGGGTGGGAAGAGTGTTCACTGTTCACTAACTAATAAAACTCCCAAACACACAATGCACGTAATCAAACATAAAATTCAGCAGCAACAATTATTATTGAGCTCCCATACTCAACATGCAGTGAGCCCAGCCCTAGGCTGAGGTACCGCGCTACATTGGACCACTGTAATAATAATAATAATAATAATTTCAGTATGAACATGGATATTGTCATATTCCATTCATAATAACATGTTACTTATGATATGAGACTAATGTATCAAATGACATAGACCTAAATAATAAGTTGACGTAAGCCTGATTAGTGATAGCCACAGATAGGGATTAAACCTGCCTAGTAATATAAGTTCTTAAAAGTAATTCTTACTAATACTAGTCTATCTATCAGTATTAATATTACAAAGTATTATTGCTATAAACTATTACATTATAATATACACTTAACAGTTTAAAGGAAAAGTTGCATGTTGTGCACTGGACAAAGCCTGAAAATTGTGCCCCCCCCCCTCCTTTTTCATTAATAAATAATACTCATGATCTTTTCATAATATAAATTGTAACTGTTCTGGTTGTGGTTGTATGAAATGCTGATTATGGTGCCCAGTCACCCCCCTCCCTTTTTTTTTTTTGCATGGCTCTGCAGTGTGACATCATACAGTAGTTTGATGTAGGGACTATGTGTTATGTATTATTATTTATATATTTATTATATAGTTATTATTACTAGTATTAGAAATCACAAGTGACAAATGATACAAAACTAACCTCAAATATAATATAGAACGTTATTTTGGCATGTCTGCTGACTCAGAAATAAATATCTAAAGTACTAATTATTTTTATAAAATTTAATCTGTAATCACATGAAAAAATTCAGAATCTTACAACAGTTTTACTTATATACTATTATATTGTGTTTGCAAAAAAGTATTTGCATAGTTAAATAATTGAGCTATTCCCCAGATGTATTTTCGGGCACATCTGATTTTAATTTGTCAACATTGTACTGTTAGAGAAACAGTACAGTTGCTAGTGGATATGTAGGTGTTCTTTGACCTGGTTGTGTTAACACAAGTTGATTATATTTAGTTGATACTAAATAATAATGTTGTTTTCTAATTTTTATGTCTCTATTTATTGTTAAACCTTTTCATCAATAAATTTTTTCAAAATAAAAAAATATTTTAGAAACTTTTTAAAACTTTTTTAACTTACTCTCAAAGAGGAGTTTAGATACGCTAAAAAGTAGAAAATAATTTTCATAATATTTCTTAAAATTCATCATTGAAAGAAAGCATGCGCAGAATGAGAGGACGACACTCTATGAAGCCAATGGATTCTAATTAAATGCAGAAGAAACTTGAATATGTTTTATTTTCTTTGTCTAATTTTTAAAAATATTTTCTTTGTGTAATTAATTTTTAAGAAAGTCTTTAAATGTTTTTAAAATATTTTTTTTTATTTTCTACTTTTTTGAGCATGAAAATTTTAATACGTAACATATCACAAAAGAAGATTTTGTTTGTTAAACAATGAATGCTTAAAAATTCCGGATCTAGAAACTTAGGTTTTTACCCAGGCATATAACTAAAAAATAGAATTTAATGATTTCTTGTAGACAGTTGAATAGAGTTTAATTTCTGAAATACCCTTCCCCAACATCTTCCCCTATCTCTTCCCAAAATTCTACAGTTAGGACCAATGATGATTTTAAGCGAATAAGTAGGTATTTGTATTTTTTACCACATTTTCTGTTTCCCAATCCCTTATGCACCTTATCTTTTAATCTATTAATTATCTTTATTTTCAAAGCTTTGGACAAAAAAATGCAGACCCTTACATGTATTAAAAAGTTTTGCCTCTTACACTAGTTGATATATGCATCCTGATGTCTGCCCCAGGGTAGTTTGCCCCCCCCCTCACTCCCCACTTTTTTTTCCCCAAAACCCTGGTAAAAAGTGTCAGTTATAAGCATGGCCGGCTCAAGGTACTGGCAACTCCAGCAGTTGCCCAGGGCATTGTGGTGCCATCAACAATCTTCCAAAATAGGAAAAAGCATTGCGTTTTGGTGCCTTGGAATAAAAATAATTTTTATTGCAAATGTTTGTATATCATTATTTCATAAATCGTTTGTTCCTGAACAGGAAGTGGCAGCAAATGTTGCTGCTGACAAAGGCAGATGCTTCCTTTGTAGGTACAGATGCTGCCTTCGTAGGTGCAGATGCTTCCTTTGTAGGTGCAAATGCTGCCTTTATAGGTGCATCGAGTTCTTGAATAATACATGGGAATTTTGAAATGACCTAAAAATTCTGCCAGACACAGATAAGCTAAAAGTACCATGTCAAGGTTTGGGGAATAAGTTAAGATATCAAGAAAATAGTGATTTAAATGGATGCGAACTATTGAATAAATTAGATAATAGCCAAAGAACTATTTCTTCATGATGTAAAGGTTCCAATAGAGCACTGTAACCATCTAAAGAAGCAGAGGTTTTTGCCCTTGTTAATCTTTTTTGCCTAGAAACAGTATCTCGACAAGTATAAACAGATATATGTGGTCAACTTTTTTAAACCAAAATTAGTGTCAGTCACTTTGGTTTTCTCTTTACTGTTAGTAAACTGAATGCATCTTGCCAGTCAAGTGTGTATTAAATGAAAGTGTTTGTCTCTGGGATACTATTTGTATTTGGAAATGACATTTAACATTAATATTGCTTAAAAGATTACAACTCAAGTTTGAAGGGCGATTCAAAGAATTAATTTGATTAATAAACTGTATGAATGAAGTGCATCGAGATGTCTCAAAGTTGACAACTGAAAATATAACAACAAATATAATCACTTCATAAATTACATTTTGTCACAATCAAAGCAATAAAGAAACTTAATTAATTATATACTTTCATTGCAACAATATCAATATGCTTTTAAATTCTAATATTCTACAGTTACCTGTGCTCAAAATTTCTAATACATCTAACATGCACAAAAAGCATACTATTGGAAAGAGCGTGCATTTAGCTTACAAATGACACTAAAATTACTTTTCTATCTAAAGTTATTATTTTTTATATTAGCCTATTTAAGCCTGACGCTATGGTATAATCTTTCTTTAAAATTTAGTTTTGAACTTTCTTGTTTTCAAAAGTGTAGCAATCAAATTATTTGGAGACCCTAACAAAACAATTTTTAAGAAAACAATACTTATACATAAATTGTGATTCTTTTTTTTCATTTAATTAACATGATCAGATAAGGATAAGCTGCGGTAAGAATTGAAATTTGTCAAAACCGAGACTATTAAAAATAAAAATAAAATAGCATAACTATTCAATTAAAGAAGCTATCGAAATAAAAGTTTTCCAAAGTAATAGATAGTGTCAAACTGAAATTAAAAACATTTATTAATTTTTTTTTCCATTAAAATAATTAACATCCTCATTTTTTTAAAAATGGATGAATAGCTACTGTGGCTGACATATTGGTACATTTAAATACTTCATTTTTTAACTAATAAAGTTATTGTTATAAAATTGTCAGGCTAAAAGTAAAGAAATTTTAATATTATGCCACTCGCTAGGTCTCAAATGCTTGTAAATCTGTGTTTTTGCCATGTTCAAAGTCAACTTTGTTATTCTTAGTACTCCACATAAAGAACAATAACTCTGGGTGACAAGGGAAGTAATAACCCCAGTTTCATTGCCCTATAGAAGTCGCTAAATTAATAAACACTTTAAGTTATTGGATTTCATGCAAAATCTGTGGGTAACATTAAGAAAAATGCTTATAGGCCTACTACTTATTACCATAGCGCTGGTGAGAGAAGCTTTAGTAAGCTAAAGCATTTAAAAACATATTTACGATCATCTATGTCTCAAGACAGAATAAATTCTCTGTCAATTTGTCTATGGAAAATGATATTGCAAAGAAAATAAATATAGAAAGTGCTATAAAGAGATTTGCTGATAAAAAGGCCAGAAAATAAAAGTTTTAAAAATGTTATATTGTTCATTGTTTGTCCAAAAAAACACACTAGGTAATAAACTCGTTACCTAACCCCTAGTTTTTTCCTTGCAAAAATGTTTATGATAATACTTAAAAGGGGCACCATAGTTAAGTTTGACTGGGGCACAAGTAACCATAGGGCCGGCCCTGGTTATAAGTCATAAATGAATTCATTTTAACAAAATTTAGACAATATGTCAAATGTGAAACACTTAACTAACCATTAGGCTACATTTCACATTAAACTGGAAATATAAAAGAAAATTGAACAGACATTAATTGTCATAGACTGTATCTCTTAGCTTACTGATCTGAGCTCCCATTGAATTTAAAAAATAATAAATTCTTTCTGATTTTATAAAATTAGAAATATATACCGATATGATTTTAACATCTTAATTTGAAACTTTTAAAATTCACTTTAAATTTGAAAAGGTTTTAAAAAACATAAATTTAAGCAAATTTAATTTATTTTTATGGCAAATAAGTGTGTTATTAAATTTATTATTAGATTGTGCTATTAATCTCTACAACCCCCACCCTATATCCACACAAACACACAAGCACAAATTATCTCCCATTCCAAATTTCCTGAAAACCTGATTAAAACTGTGTCATTATTCTAAAATCATTTTTATAGTCCATTATCCCATCCACACCATTTACACCGGCTGTTGAAGAACTGATTTGTAAAGGTATTTTTTTTTAAACAACACAGTCTTTGACATCAAATGCATTAAATTTCTTAAATAATAGCACATAATCAATCTCTTCCAGTCTGGGGGCTAGTGCAGTATTATAAAAGATAGCTTTTCTTTTTCTATGATCTTAATAGAAAGTGATACTGATAAAACAAATAACTTCGCCTTTCAGTAGTGTTGACTGTTCCTTTGCTTGCAATGTTTATCTCTAGATAAAGATATTGATTATATTTGCCGAAGCTTTTATATTGATTTATAGATTTTTTTTATATTGAAAAGGAAAATTTCTCTGACAGGTAATAATATGTTTTATTAATGGTGGTACACTGAGCAATAAATTTACTCCTTTGTTTGACAGCTGAATGGGGTAGAAGAAACAGGCTTATTGATTTGTTAAGACTTATCAGGAGAAGAATTCCAAGGGTGCTTTAGTGTGTTATTTTGTTCTTGCCACCTGTAAGGCTATGACAATTATTTGGACATTTTGTCATACGATCTGCTTTTCAGCCTTCAAAAAGCAATTTTACAAAGAGAGCTCTTTGAGCTATTTTACTTGTGTTGATTTCATACACATCATAGCATTATTTGTAGATTAAAAGGTCAATTGAGATTGGAAGATTATGTGTTAAAAATTGGACATTGCAAAAAGTAAGTAATATGTAATAAAAAGAATTACTAAATAAATATAGTGATGTGATATTTTGAGGACATAGACACATTAAAAAGTCGTTAACCATGCCCTATATGAAAACTTTATGGCCAGTCAAACAGATATTTCAATGGAGTGTGTTGGTTTGTTTGTTTTTCTTTGTCTGCTTGTTTACTTGCTCATTTGCCATATTGATAAAAGTACTTTGAAAAATAAAAATATACCTTTTTTACTTGTATTTGATGTGCTTTTCAATTGTTTTCATTTAAATGATATCCAGCTAATCACCATGACAACCAGCTTACCAAGATTAACTCCTAGCTGCACACCAAGATCTGTCTCTGCTGCAGCCAGCTATGGACCCTATCCCCCTCGGGAACTAACATCCACCTGGAATCAGATGAAATTCCCAAATAAGATTAATGTCTTAGCACCACCGCCACCCAGGAAAAGAATAAATACAAGCTGGGAGACAACACCTCAACACTGGCACAATGACAGACGTAGGTTACTGATGCAACAGAAAGAACATGAGAGATACCATTCTGCATGGTCTAAACCTTTTTATGGTCCACCTGCAGATAAAGAAGCCTACAGGTAATTTGATTTTAAATAAGTAAACAATGTTGGGTTTTACAGAGGAAAACTGTGCACCTCTGTTTAGTTTATGCAGATGAAGTTTTAAAAGGAACATTGCCATTATGATTCGGGTCACATTTATCAAAATTTGCACTGCACATGGGTAATTAATTCTTTTAAGATTATTTAAATTGTCTTGTTTTTTTGTTTTAAAGTTAACTGGTAAACAAAAGAGCTTATATTATGAACTTGGTTAATATTTGAAAATTGAAATAGCAGTTACTTTTACGAAAACTTAATTTAAAATGAAAATCTAAAAGCCTCAATACAATTTTGCATTGATGCACAAAATATCAAATTCGGCATATCATGTTAATTGTTTATATATTATCATCTTGCAGGCGACATTTTCGGGAAGTTCTAAAGAAACAAATGGAAGATGCTGATACCAAGAAACGAGTTGAATTTCAAGCTAAGCTTCATGAAAGTGAAGCTGTTGTTGAATATGATAAACAATGCAAGATACAAGATTTTCAAGATGTAGTGAAAAAATATAATTATCTCAAACATTTCAGAGATGAAAACAAAAGTGTGAGTATTTATGTATCCAATCAAGCATGTCAGTTGTGCCATGTTATGTTTATGTGGGCAGGCTGTGCTTTTTACATTACGACCAAGGACTAATTAATTCCCGAGCTGAAGTAAATCTCTAAACAGCTTTTCAAATTTAAGCAATTTTTTATGAAAAATTTTACCAGACACAGGAAAAATATTAAATGCATTTGCAGTTATTAGATTTTTTAATTTTTTTTTTTTGCATTAAATGCCAAACTAATTCCTCTTTATTTGCGTGGATTTTGATGTTTATAAAGTTTAATATAATATTTCAAATCTACAGCCAAACTATGTTATTTTACATATAATTTAAATTCTATTGCCAATTTTTTTTTCTTATTTGTTTACTCTGATGCAACATTATGAGCACTCAACAGCTTATTTCTAATTCCCTTGATATTTTTATATTTTTTACAGTTTATGGAAGAATCATGGGAAAAGTCTCGTTTCAACAAGGTGGTGACTGACAGATATGACAGAGAGATTTTAAGATACAATCCAATAAATTGGAGTGGAACACTGTCATAACAGCTAGATCCATTAGTAAAAGATTTTTTTATCTCTACCGAATGGATCGTCTTGTGAATAAGACTGAATTTGGAGAATATTATGCTATGATAACACGTGAGTTGATGTAAATTCTGTCCCTGTACTACATTGAATACACTTAAATTACCCAATGGGTTTTAAATTTAAAGTGATTCAGGGTCGGTCATAAATTATGATTATAAGGAAGCTAAGAATTACAAAGCGGAAGAACATCCCATAAAAAATAATATTGATGTTAATTAACTTATCTTTAACTTTGACTTATCGTTTTTCCAGCTTTGTTCAGAGGCAAATCAAATAAATTTAGAACTTTTTGCTAAAAGTTAGTTTATAAAAACATTAGATAACAAAATTTTCAAAATATTTTTAAATTTCATGTAGATTAGTTGAGTCAAAATAACAGGGTAAAAAAATGCTGAAAAAAGTGTTCTTTTGTCCACGTGTGTGATTGGGCATTTTACCTGAGATTTTTAAGCTGGACCTTGTGCACTTTGTTTATAATGGCTAGATATCCCTAGACCTTATCCTATATTAAACTTATTCTAGCACTTAGTGAAGCACTAGCACTTGGAAGCCAGCATGGTCCTTATAATAAACCATATAGTATTTGCACTTTCAACCGCAAAGTATTTTATTACCAATGTACAAATCTATTCCTTGTTATTTTATGTTATTGTAACTTTATTTTCTGTAACAAACACAAATACTTGGATGCACTTCTTTTTAAACTTAATGTTTTAAATCACAGTAGCTTATTTTCGTACTAAATCATAATTAGATCAATCAGTTAAAGCTTTTATGATGTCTTAACCTTATTACAAAATATTAATATAATTAATTTGGGGGGGGGGGGAATTGTTACTACATTTCTTTTCAAAGCATAAACATAATATTGATTATTGTAATTAGGACATGCATGAGTATTTATTTGACATTTAGCTGGTGCTGCTATAATTTTATTCAACACTAATTTTATTTGTGTCAGTACAGTATTATTTTTCCATCTATATGTAACAATTATTTCTAAATGTTATATTTACACAGCATTTTAGCTAAACTTATTATAATGAAATAACTAATTACTTAATCACATAAAACACAGGACTAATGTGATAGTGATTTGAATTGATCAAAGATAGGGCCTACATTTTCAACTTTGAATTTTTATGAGTAAAAAACGTTACTTATTTTGAGTGGAAATAAAAAAAAGAAAAAAGAGTCTGATTTGTATCTACTTCAAGTATACTTTGTATTTATCATCAAATACCAGATGTCTCTCGTCACTTGATTGTATCATTTGTGTGAACTCCCAGTATTGTTTTATTTAAGGTCATAAATCTGATCATTTTTAACAAAAAGACACTATTCTTATATAAGTTGGTGGATTTTGATGTGATTTGTGTACCAGAAGAGTTACTTATGCTTAGTCTTTTATTGTCTGCCTTACAACCATGTGCATTGCTCACTCATTTTTCTTTTCTATGTTATATCTGATTCCTCGTATTTATAGTTAAGTATAATCAGAAAATGTGTGCTCCATTAAAAACAAACTTTAATTACATTAAATAGTGAATAGATTTAGGGTTTTACTAAAGAATTGTGAGGAAAAAGTGTCATCTGAGAATTTAAAGTGCATGTCTCTGTTGTTGGTAACACTGGACATGTGTCCATCATTAAATTTCATTGAATTCAACAGAATATGTGATATGTATTAATGTAGTAATTACTCATCTTAATTCACTACTGTACAACTAGAAGCTTACTGGCCTTGGCATAAATGAGAATTTATTAAAAAAATTTGACTCTTTATTGAAAAATATTATGCAATACTGTCTTGAGAAAGAATGCCTTTTTAAACCTGAAGTTATTTGCGTACTGGTACTATATAAATATTAAATAACTGAAGCTTTTAATCTTGACAGATTACTTTAATATACACTTCAGTATGTTTTGATTTATTCAAAGTGTCATGCTCAGTTTTAAAAAAAATTGTTTCATGTAAATATTTTGTTATAATTCCACATTTTTGTTTTCTCAGTGAGACATTTGCTCTTTAATTTGTGCTTTCATTTGGTCTGTGATATCATTGGTGTGCTTCAAGGGATAATAAAGCAAGATAAAAACTTTTCAGTTTTGTTTTTCATTTCTGATCACATTTATTGTTTGGGTACAGAAGACAAGTTTGAGCTGAGTTGATAAAAATTGTTGTGCATCCAAATAGTCTTTGCAACTAATTACCTATATAATTTGTCTGTCAAAATTGGCTATGACCACCTTAATAATCGTATATGGTTATTGTGAGCTTGGCTGTGGGTGCAAAGATGGCTGATGAGACCAAATCTGGTACAAAATATTCTTGTGCAGAAGTGCAAGGGACATCTCCAGATGCAGAGTTGACCCATGCTTTTCTAGCATGTCTTTTATGCTCTGCAGCCACTGCTCTGTTTGCTTCATGTTGTATGGAGCCTTTGTGTACAGAGAACCCCCATACAGATCGTTTCTTTGCCAATTCTTCCCTTGTGTCCATGTCTATATCAAAGGCTTTCAGTGAAACTTTAAGGGTGTCTTTAAAGCATTTCTTATGTCCACCAGAAAACCGCCTTCCATGCACGAGATCACCGTAGAATATTCTTTTCGGCAAACTGTCACTGACCTTTGCACAGCATCTCCCGCTCAGTGGAGCTGGGACTGCATTTAAGTTATACAGGTGCTAGGGAGACCTGCCCATGCTAGTACCCCAGTGTCTGGGACCCTGTCTTGCCATATGATGTTTAGGATTTTCCTGAGACTTGTCGTATGAAAGTGGTTCAACATTATTTGCATGGCGTTGATAGACCACATAAAAGGTGGGGCAGTTCTATGGAGGTGGAAGGCAGGCCATCTGCCATGGGCACTACTTTAGAAGAATTAAAATAATACACAATTATTTTATCCCCAACCATCCAGTTCAAATAGTACAGTAGTTCAGAAAAGGATGCTAAATTAATAACTTGTACTTAGTTAAGTCCATCAAGAGGACATGTTCATTAGGGTATGTTAAGCCATGTTCAAATTTGACTAAAGTGACAAGATGCACAACAAACGTTTTTTTTGAAAGGCATTCATAATTCACACATCAAGTCCACTCATCAAATGAATAAGCCATTGGGAAAATGTTATGAAGCAGCAAAAAATCTTTAATAAGTTATAAAAGCATGTAATGTTTTCAGAATGTCTTGCAGTAGATTAAATTGTTTCATTGATAAACCTTTTAATACAATAAGCCGATTGGGATAAGCAGTGGACATGTCTTCTCCACATTATCTCCACTGAAAGAGATGGAATGGAAATCAATACACACGTAAAAAAGAAAACAAAAGAACTGTGTGTCTTTATTAAATGCATACCAAAAAAATGGCTTGTTAATTTTAAAACTATTGAATAATAATAAATTTGTGGCATGTGGTGGGATTAGTTATATTATTAGATCCAATTCTGTCAAGGATGTTAGATTTCAAAGGAAGACTAAACTTGAGCTGAAACATATTACTTCCTAGTAAAAGATTTCAACTCATGTTCTATAGTGGTAATTAATGCTGGGTTCAACTAAGAATAGTATACTTACTTTTTAATATAAATAAATAAACAACTTCTCATTCTTTTTTAAATGTTAAAAATTATTTACCGTAGCATGAAATCTGTTTTAACTGTTTTCATAGTTAAGCTGAGCAGGAAGTGTTTTATGCTGTCTTTGCTGGAGGCAAGCGGTCAACATGTGCAGAATAGTAAATCTGTGTACCACTCGATTATAGTTTGCCATTTCAAATTATTCAAATCGATCGAAACTAAAATTATTTCCCAGCTTTTTTTTGTTAGAAATGTAAACTTTTTTTTATAGTTTGGTAATTAGCTGATTTTCCTATTTCAAAATATAGGAATCAAATAATAATTAAAATGACCACCATCTATGCCCTACTGTACACATATACTGTTTGCCAAGATTCTTCTTCTCAACAAATGTAGAGGCAGTGTGCCAAGTCTGAAGTGTCAGATAGAGCAAATATTAAGTTTTGTTTCAAACAAAATCTGTTATTGTCTAAGTAAAAGTGAAAAAATGTTTAAGAAATGATGATCATTACACATGACGTCATAACACGCTTGGTCTCAAAAATATATCCTTTAAAAAATCTTATAATCTGATTTGCTTGACCAACCAAATCCAAAAGGAATAGATCAGGAATGGAAATTGGGTACCCGGTAACAGCTCTTTGACTGTGGTACAGCTGATTATGGTTAGATGGTACAAGATGAAGCCAGGCTTTTTTAAACAGGAGAGGTTCAGTACGAAATCCCCTTTAGAATATCCACACACAAAAAGGCATAAATATGCTATCCACTAAAATAAAATGAGGATGATAACCTCAACGAATAAATAATACATACAAAAGTTACAACAAAACAAAGAGCTATAATGTTGATCATTTTAAAGACCAACATGCTTAGAAACAAAAGATGGAGAGTTATAAATATAATTATAATATCCCAGAATTAAAGAATTTATCATAGAGTTAACTTCCCGTTTTTTTTAGGAAAATAATTACCAAAAAATAGGATTCAAAGCATATACTTATGCATATTGTCCTCTACTCCAGAGCTTGGTAAAAATGTCCATTGGTGATAATTTGTTAATTTATTTTTTCCACAAGAGAACTAATTTAACATGAAATCAGATGGCAAACAAAAAATGAGACTTGTATTCCTAAATAAAAAAATGAAAATAAAAAAATTGAAGTTTCAATAGTTTAATAAAAAAAAGGGTTTAAAATATTTATTCAAAATATAACCCAATAATGAAAATAAATATAAATAACAGAAATTTATTAAATGGTTCATTTGGAACAAAATGTTATAGACATAAATAATGTATCACAAAAGAGGACGGCAGACATTGATAATTATGATGTGTATGGTATTTTATTTATTGGAGAGAAAAAAATTAATTTGAAATAATTTTTCTGCAACAACTGTTGGTAGAAGATGACAAGACTTTAGACATCTTAACAAATTCTAACTATAAGTGGCTGATGTTGGAATAGCTGCGAACTAAATCATTCAAAGACACAATAACTTGACAAATGTTAATACTTGTATGTTCATTCCCCATAACATTGTTCAGAGAAAATAGAAATCAACATTTTGTCCAATTAACTATTCTTATTTCCATAAGGTATTACAACTGTGATAAATATCAATATAATATAAATATTACGACTGTGATAAATATCAATATAATATAATGTAATGTAAATATTACAAACAAACAAGTTTTAATAAGAAAACTTATGCAAGAAATTATGTTTGGAATAAATCAACTTAAATGTATTAAAAGCCTATTCTATAACATGATGTGTTAATAAATTTCTGTTAATATTTTAGTCATAACTACAAGATATTTTAGGTGTTTGATTTCTGAGGGGAAAAGTAAATCCACACATTTCTGGTTCATAATTTTAATGTTTTTCCATTAATTGCAATCTTTAACTTCAATATTATCTTATAATTTACATTTTTAAAACTTAACATTAAGAAATAAGTCATTCATTCCAGATGTGTAAGTACCAACATTTTTTTTAAAATGTGGCTCCAGAGATTTATGAAAGACTAAAGGAAAAAAAAAGACAATATCTTTTATTTGAAACATCTCACACAATTTTGGCTTTTCTTACATAAAACATGTCACATGTTTTCTTTGCCTACATAAAACAAGAGCTAAATATTAATGCAAGTCTTAGTTAAACACCTAAAATTTGTATTCCTATCTCCGGCTAAAAGTAAAATTACATCTCACAAAACTTTGTACAGAGCTCAGTTAGAAAACAGACACATTGGTAGCTATTGAGTACCAGCTATTTATTTCAATGATCAAAATCTAAGATGAAAATTGAACAGTATCTGCTTCCAAGAAGAACTGATTGAAAACACATTTACCTGATAAAGATAAGTTAACAGAGCTTTCAACGTTGAATTGTTTAGAATAGAAATGATTGAAAACACATTTACCTGATAAAGATAAGTTAACAGAGCTTTCAATCTTGAATTGTTTAGAATAGAAATGATTAAAAACACATTTACCTGATAAGTTAACAGAGCTTTCAACTTTGAATTGTTTAGAATCGAATTAAAATATTTTATGAATCAGTCTTATTTAACCACTTTGCACGATCATTTTCCATCAGAGTATTAAAAAAAATAGTAGTTTTTAGATTATTTTTGTATGTGCATAGTTGTTTATTTTATAATGCAGCAGCTAACAGTAAAAGGCATGGGCACCATGGTAACAGGGATCTAGAGAAGAAGCATGTTGAGAACATCCTTCCTGTCCCTGATCTAATTACTTATACTCTAATAATACTTGTGGGAGATGAAAATGGATTTGCAAGTTTCATACAGTTGAAACTAATAATACCTGGTATGAAATTTTTAAAAAAAGCTGGCCAAAGAATTTAAGAATTATGGCATACCAAAAAGGAGAAACATGACTTCCTTATTGGATTAAAAAAAAACAATCATAGTTGCATTCCATGTTATATTTTTTATTTATTTTATAGATACAACTTGTCAGACAAGCTTTTATTTAGAAAACCGTTAGCCATGTCAAAGAATTTTATTTTTCAATCTTTGCAATTTGTACATACCGGTAATAATTTTGAAAAGCACAGACCTCAGTTATAGATGATCATAGCATTAGCTTTTGGAATATATTAGAATAGGGCCAATTATCATAACATCAGCTTTAAGAAGATATTACAATAGGCCAGTTTATCATTAACATCAACTTTTGGAAGATATTACAATAGTCCCAATTATCATAACATCAGGTTTAGAAAGTTATTACAATAAGCCAAATTACCATAGCATCAGCTTCAATTACAATAGGGTCATGACAGAACTTTGAAACTGGTTTTAAAAATCTCAAAGAAATAGAAAGACATCCACCACAAATGCTGTATTATAAATGCTGAAGTGAACACAACAACTAAACATTTTGACTTTTTAGGCTCATGCTACTTTAAGTCATTTTAATTGAAGATCTTTGAGACTTGATAATAATCTCGTGAATGTCAGGACTGTATGTGGATTTCCATAAAAATGAACCTGTCAATCTAGATTAAACAAGAGTTCATTTAGGCAAGAATGAAAGATAAGTTGTTTCTCCAGTTTTAGAATAGCGTGAAACTAGAGTCTTATGTCTTTTGTTAGGCTATAACTGGAGCCAAAACCAACCTAATAGGATTCACAATCAAACAATTTTGGGACATTGTACTTTCATATTTTTACAGTAATATATATTTTTTTTAAAAAGTGATTTGACAAAGATTCATTTCCTTTTAACGATTATGTAGACTGACCACCAATGATAAAATAGGCTGACCACCAATGATAAAATAGGCTGACCACCAATGATCATGTAGGCCGACTACAAACAATCATGTAGGCTGACCACAAATGATCATGTAGGCTGACCACTAATAATCATGTAGGCTGACCACCAATGATCATGTAGGCTGACCACCAATGATCATTTAGGCTGACCACCAACGATCATGTAGGCTGACCACCAATGATCATGTAGGCTGACCACCAATGATCATGTAGGCTGACCACCAACAATCATGTAGGCTGACCATCAATCTAGTCTAGTGGAACATTCTTCTAGATTAGATAACTAATTAATGAATTCATGTAAAATATACAGTAAGCAAATTTTGGATAGTGTACAGACTTTCTGCATGACAATCGAAAAAATGTGTTGAAAACGAATGTTAATTTTGAAACTAGAAATAGTTCCCAAGCATGTCAGATCTGTGCATTGGGGAACCTGTTGAAATATTTCTAATTATATAACACCCATAGGCCTTCCACTGAAAGTATCTACTATAAAGAGTGACAACAAGTGTCTAAGAATGCGGTAATCAGCTTTAATCATTAATATATAAATGGAACTAAGTTTTTTGGGTCAATAAAAAACTGAAATGTAAGCTCCTAAAAAGATCATAAGACCATGACCTTTGTAGACCTTGATTAGCATATGCTAATGGTCAAGTTTGTTAGTCATGCATTGACCAGTATAAAGTTAAAAAATCCAAGCAATCATAAAATCCTAAAAATCACAGTTTTCCTGTAGGCATACGTGCCATCACTGGGAGTGAAAAAACCTGCAGGCATACATACCAACCCCTGGGAGTGAAAAAACCTGCAGGCATACATACCAACCCCTGGGAGTGAAAAAAACCTGCAGGCATTCATGCCAACCCCTGGGAGTGAAAAAACCTGCAGGCATACATGCCAACCCCTGGGAGTGAAAAAACCTGCACAAAAACAAATGAACAGCCAAAATAGTTACTGAGCATTGTTTTTAAACAGTATTTAAATCAGTTATCATTTTTGTCGTACAAACAATGTTTCCCCCTTTTTTAAAAATGTTAGGATGGATTATGAATCCCTCACCCCACCCTAGGATAATAACATTCTATTTTTAATTCAGCCATTTTTTTTTTTTTATTGAAAGCTTCCAGGTGAATGGCAAAGTGAAAACAGTATCAAACATAAGTTATGAAATCCTATCAGTTGTAGAACAGTGGACAGATGAAAGCATAGTAAAAGGCTTAAACCAGCTATAAAATGTGCTGATATCAAAACATTTGGTATGTATGCCTGCAGCCATTCAAATTCATCAAAACAGAAATTCAAACCAAAAAAAAAAAGTAGTCAATTAAGAGAATAAAGAGTCAAAATCTGACGCACATAATATGTAAATCTGAATTACACTTATTTATTAATCAAAGCAGAGAATTTAAAACAATAAAACAAGAGGATAAGCCAGTTATTTAGGTACCAGTATTCAGTAAAAAATAATAAATACACTCAGATGTCTCTGATTCTGAAGCAGTTGTGTCTATTAACAGATATATTACATGCTCACAGCTGGTTCTACAAATACTCAAGTATCAACAGAAATATTGTAGTAGTCACTGTTTATGGATTGACCTCCCTGGAAAGACGAGTTTGTATCTGAGCCCCCGCTATCCCTTCGAGAGTTCCTGCCATTGAACTGCACATCAAAGTGAGTGCTATCATAGGAGTAGATCGGGGAGTGGTCCTCGTGTTTGGCAGCTCCGTTGCTGTAAGGAAGGTTCAAGTGCTCGTCATCTATCACGTCATCATGGTGTTTGTAAGAGAACTGCAATCCTGTTTGGGATGTCCTGGAAACAATACAATTCTTGATTTAAATAGAGCTCAGAAACAGTTGTTTGTTACTTTGTTTCAAGTGAAAATTCCATGATACGTTATTTATTGAGGATACAAAGAAACAGATCATGTTAAGGTTTTATAATGAAAAAAAAAATGCATCCTTTTTATTTTAATTGCAAGGAGAAAAAAAATATTGCAATAATTACAGGTATGTACATACTAAAAATAATCCACTTGCAACTAAGTTATTTTAAAAGGTTTGAGATATTTGTTGAGGCAAACTTACTTGAAAAACCTCCAAAGAAAGACACAATACACCAGAGGGTTATAAAAGGAAAAATACATGTATGTTGTACCATCAATCACACTGAAATAGATGAAGAAGCAAAACTTTATTAAACATTTAAAAGCATAATTAACAAATTTTACAAATGAAAAATATGGGATATTTTTAGATGATTTTTCAATGATTTGATTTAACGAATGACAGAATAAATAAATTTATTTTAACATCCGGGGGGGGGGGGGCAGCTGGAGTTGATTATTTAGTTCCTTTTTTTTAAAGACTGTATCAGTTGCATTATTAATGCCACTAGAAATAACCTGCCGAACAAGGGCAGCTGCAGTGAATGAACTTCCCATCTACTAAAGTTACTTGACACAATGTTCATTCAAGTACCTCACTTTATAAGAATCCCAATGAGTGCTAGTTTCTGGGAATTTGGCGAACCTGCTGAGCACAGCATACAGCCATATTATTCATACCTAGAGAATTATTGGCGATTGTACATTATATTATCCTTGATATTACACACACGTCTTGTTGGGTGAAGAAAGCAGTCGGCCGACTCGATCAGTGGTTTGTTTTTCATAATCAACCCTTACCCTATTTGTTAACACCTATAATATGTTTAAAAAAAGACAATTTAAGTAACTATTGACATTAATGATCCTCACCAAAGGCTGTAAATAAAATGAAAGTAGTGAAGTAAACTGGATACAGCCTGCACTAAGTTGAGAACTGCTAGTGTTGAACAGTAATAGTAGAAGAGGCGCTTGGCTGAAACAGAAGGGGAAAACTGTCAGAAAAACACTATCACTGTAAGAATAAACACTTTAAACACTACCACTGTCAGAATAAACACTTTATTCTGACAGTGGTAGTGTGTAAAGTGTTTATTCTGACAGTGTAAACACTTTACACACTACCACTGTCAGAAGAAACACTTTACACACTACCACTGTCAGCAGAAACACTATCCCTTGGATGTTTAAAATTTTATTAATGAAAAACAGAATGCATTTTATTTAGTTTTATCCAAATGCATTTCTTCTCTTCTCTAAAATTCATTCCTTTAATTAATTATCTATAAATATTAATATCAACCCTTTCAGTGGAGAAGTTATACTTAAACATTTGAATTATATAATAAATGAACTGCAGATATTGGAAAAAATCTTACTTGGTAAAAGAAAGCGATCTTTGAGTCTTGTAAATGGAAGCAGCACAATTACTGTGTATACCTGAAACCAGTATTAAAATTAATCTGTAGGTGGATTCAAAGATAGTTGTAAAACATTGCTAATTTCTAGAGAGCAGCTATGTGTTTTAAGATAGTTTTTTTTTTTAAATCACATTTAGCAAACACAATTTTTTCCTTTCAACAGTTGAAATGAGTTTTTAATTTCACATCATCATCCAATGTCAGGACAAGGAAATGATTAATGTAAAGAACAAATTATGAGTATTTTTCTAATAGTATTTAAATATACATAAATAATTTAATTAAATAACCTACACATCTACAATTATTTGAAGCAAATCTATAATTTTTCTAAAACTATTATGACAGTAATAACACAAAATTAGATGACCCCAGGGGTAAAGAGCCCCCTTTTCAGATCCAAAACTTAATTAAACTAATTTACAGATTTCAGGTTGCATACCAATGCAAAGAAAATTGACGATGTAAATAAAAAGATCATTCCTCCCTGGGCAAACAAATCGTAGCTGATCGTGGCATTACTGCTGTCTCCACCTGGGTTGTGAACGACAGTCAGATGATCATACTCAAATTCAAGAGTGCCCTGCCAAAGAAAAATGTGGCATACTAAACTGTTAGAGCCAGATTAGAATTATTATTTTCGCGTGACAAGCCAGTTCATGACTGTTAGAGCCAGATTAGAATTATTATTTTCGCGTGACAAGCCAGTTAATGACAAAGTTTTTTTTACTATAAACAGTTTATTAGCTAGTAATATTTCATTACATTTTCATCTTAAGAAAATATCATAGTAATTATATTTCAAAATATAAACCCATTACCTGCCGTCTGCTGATGTATCAAACTAGACTTGCTCAGATAGAGATATATTTTATTTTAAATGTTTGCATTTAACACCTACCTTAATCACATTTAAGTTTGTTTATAAAACTGTTACTACCAGAGGAATAAAACCAAAAGCTATGAAGCCAGGTTGAAATGACTTTTAAACAGAAATAAAAATGAGCTGGATACATAAATACAAGCATTTTATAGGGTTACATGAAACTGTTCACACCAGTTTTTCCAGACTGGCAACAATACTTCACTTTTTTAAAATTTGTTTCATGTTTTGTAATTCAGTTCTGCTTTTTTGTCTGTTATTATTATCCCGAATTTCAAGTCCAAATGGCAAAATAAAAGAAAAAATATTATTGGCAAAGAGTTAATATAATACTAATAAAAGGTGAATGAACCTTGGAAAACAAATTTTGGCTCTATGTGGGATTGGTGAAAGGACAGATTCATATTGGAGCAATTGAGTCTTAATTACTAACCTGAATTACAGAATATGCAAGAGCAACAGTGAACGTGACCATCAAAACTCTCTGAATACTGGTACGACTGTCAAGATGTCCTGAAAATACAAATAAATTAAAAATGCCACACTAAAGCTCATTAATGAGGGATGCAACAAATATTAAAACTTATTAGCTGTAGTGGGGTCCAATAATTCAATTATTGGAAGATTCATTGGTTTATGCAAATAGAAACATAAATTATTTTGTGACTCTTTGAGAAAGTAAGTTCATCTAAAATTTGAAATGTTTATAATGAAGTAGTTTGAGGCATATGCCTTTCCTTTTCTTTTTTTTTTAAAAGAAAAAAACAGCATAAACAATTAAATGACACATTATTGCTGTGAGGATCTCTTTACATACGTACCGAAAGCCAGGCCAAAAATCACAACAGATAGTTCTGTAGCTAGCAAGAAAAATCTCAGGACTAGCCACAGCACCTGAAAATAAAAACTACAGGTTTCATAAGTTTGTTTAAATAAAAATAAGTCATTATATTTTAAGCTAATGCAAAGTATAGTTTGCATGTCTTGCTAATAATATAACTCAGGTTGCTGTCCAACAATTTTAACACAATTAGATTATCAGCAATCTATTGGCCCATTTATTTCTTACTATAAAGAAATATATTTCAACTAAATATCCTTATTACTTAAGCCTTGCATTAGACTTTAAGCATTACATAGAAGTTAAAAGGTTGGAGTACTCGAGTATATCTCCAACGATAATTGAAAACTGGATGCCCGTATTTTGTACCTTATCAGTAACAGAACCAGCAGTCATTGATGCATTCACTGTCATTGAAACAACACACCTCAGCAAACTGATAACGGACACAGCAAAGATCTGAGATGACACGAGAGACAATTATTTTATAGCAATCAACCTCATATTTAAATATTTAAATATCTCACTCTCTCTCTATGTATATTTATACCATATTGGCCAGTGTGTAGGATGCAACGACGTATAAGATACACCCCCTACTCTACGGACCAGTACATTGTTGAAATGTCATCGCACATGTGCACATTGGATGAATTGTAACTTTATATGGATCTGAACTCTATTTTACAGAAACAAAGTTTGGAGATTACTTATTCTACAACACTCTTTTGCAACAAGACAAAATGCATTAGAATACTTAAATATGTTAATTAACATAAACCATAAATTTTAGACTAACTGAAATTTCAACTCATAGTTTTGATTACCGGCGCATGCATAAATGCACCCAATATTTACGGCATATTATGAGGGGGAAAATGTGTGTCCTATTTGCTGGCAAGTACAATGTAAAAATATAATATATATCTAAAGAACTCAATGAATCGGAGATCATCACTGAGCAAGGTTCTAACTGGTGAAAAGCAGTTTATGAAGGAGTCAAACAGAAGGAAGATTTGTGAAACAATGCTCTTTCTACAAAAAAGAACATTATGGAAGGCTGAATTTAACCAGGATTCAAGGTTCTCCTGCGAGAAGTGCATCCAAGACTGCCATTCCAAGATGCGCCTCATAAGCCATTTGATGAAGTGCAAATAGCTACTCCACCTTTTCACGAAGACGGAAGAATGCCATATAAAAAAACAAAGACAGAAGAGTGCCATAAAATAATGTAAATATATGGTATGATAATTTAAATGCATGGGTGACTTCAGAATTTAATGGTAGCCAATAGAAGAGAAATTTAAAAATATTACTTAACATAAAACTTACTAATCCATAAAAAGCTGCAAATATTGGGCTGCTAGAGGTACGAAGTTTTGCAATGGCTACTTTCAAGCGGAAGAACAAAAACATCATAAAGAGAAAGTTGGGAACTAAAATCATTACATCCCACCATTTTACTCTGAAAAAAAGAAATTTAAACAGATTAAATCAATTATTTTACATTCACTTAAATTTACTAGTATGAAGTTACTTTTAAAAATTTAAGCACAAATCATCATCAAATTAATCATTATTTCATTAAACAAAGAAGAATGAACGAACCCGGAGTCACTGATATCAGCAAATAAAATCCATTGACAGGGAGGAATAGTTATAACTTGAAAAGGTATGGGAGAACCAGTTGTTGCAAGATGATCCTTCCATGTTTCATTTATTGCTGAGCTTTGTTCTATGGTAATAGAACTTGAGAAATTCCCACTCATTTTGTTTAAACCATAGCCAGTATGATAGTCAGGAATGTGTAATTGTGTACTAAAAATTTAGTCTCCTTTTTAATGTAGATGCATATTTCTAATGCCTTAAGAGCATAAGAAATTCAACTGGTTTTTGTGTAGAATCTTCATTTCCTCTGTAAAAAGATCAAATAAAAAAAAATCCTATATAAATTTTAAAAATAACTTTTTAATACATTGTGAATGATATAAAATAATATGCAATTATCAAAATACAAATTACAACATTTTTAGTGTTAAAATTAAGTCATTTGGTCATCTCGCATTTTTTTCCTTTTAATTAATGTCATTTAAGATATCTTTCTTTATAAGCCACTTTGTCAGTGTGGGTGACTAACATTAGGTTACTAACATAGTATCATACAGTAGTAAACAGTCTAGAAACAATGTCACCCATGAACATAACACTTTGGTCTTGGAGTACTAACACTAGACCCATTAGTGTATCATGCTCATACTTAACAGTGATATCTAGTCACAATGCTACATGGGGCAGAGCACCCCCTCAAATCCCCCCTCCTTCACCACTGGTGTTAACCTACTGTAAGATAATAAAGATGTCTTCCATGGTATATAGATCATGGAGGTTCCTCAGGTCAACTACCAGCCATAGTTTCGGATTCAAAAGACTTTGATTTTTGGCTCTGAATTTATTTGATAAAAGTTTTTTCTCATTTTATATGTGTCTGGGACGTAGAACTGTTTTGTTTCTCATTTTTATACTGAAAGGGGGTGGAGATGGGGGTCTCATATATAATTATATTAGTTGTAATAAAGGTTATTTATCCCGCTCCCCAAATAATTTGTAATAGTAGTATTACTTTTTTTACTAGACTTATCTAAGTTAAAGACAAGTGGTTATCAATCTCATGTCCATGGCAACCAGCACCAAAATAAAAACCACTGATATTCGTAAGCCAATAATAATTATTTATGTTATAAATATTTTTTATTTGTTTAAAATGATTTACTATTAGTTATATTTCCCATTTATATTCTGGATAACCAATTTAATGAATTATTATTAACTACCACACGGCCGCTATTGATAATAGGTAATATGCAGACAAGCATGGTGGCCATGATGACAAATTACATAGCCTAAAAAATGACCTGTTTGACTTATGTTTTTGACCACACCTTATGGACTTGACTATGGTCTACGTCTACACTCATGAATTTTTTATATGTAATGATGATGTTTTAAATTAAAGAACTCTAGTTTTTAATTTTTTTAAAAAAAGCTATAGATGAGTAAAGTTTACCTATTATTAACTTCAATTTTCAAAGCTTTAATCGAAAAAAATAATCAAATGAATTCTCAAAAGAACAACCAAGATGTCGGCTTTAAGTAATAGGCAGGTGTAGAATTTATAATTATGCTAAAAATCGACTATAAAAGGTGTACAAGCAATACCCTCTGTAAATTAAAAAGTGGAGGTTGCCATTTCGACAATGAAATTACCATATCCGATTTTCTGGTGTTTCCGGGCCATACCAATGTGCCTAGCTAAGGGCTAAGGTGAGACATCTCATTTGCCTAAAACCCATGCAGCTAAGCTAAATAAAAATATTTCAAAGTTGTTATATATTAATGAAACTTATATCATTAGAAAGGACTAAGTATTTCCTTTCCATTGATACCTAGTTTAGCTTTATATCTTAATTAGAACAAAAGTTATCGCATTTTTAGTGTCAGAAATTTTTCCTTATATAGCCTTAGTAAATATTTTCATAATTCTGTGACTGAATAAAGACATCTTTGGCACTCAAAATGCGATATCTTTTTATTCAGCAAAGTTAAAGCTTTGAAATTTGCAACGCATTTCAATTAAGGTTTTGGGTTTAATAATAAATCATTGTTATGCAAATACTACAACAAACATATTAATGTGTGCGATTTGACGAACAGGGGGTACGTAAATTTCATTTAAAACGTAGTGCCTGTTCTCAATACTCAAAATGCCATAACTTTTTTATCTGTAAAGTTAAAGCCTTCATGTTTTCAGCACAGTTTAATTAGGTATTGGGCTTTTATAATAAGCCATTTCCATATTAATATTTTTACTAACGTATTAATGCGCCAGATTTGACTAACAGAGGTTATGTAAATTTCATTAAAAACATAGCGCCTGTTCTCAATACTCAAAATGCCATAACTTTTTTACCTGTAAAGTTAAAGCCTTCAAATTATCAGCATAACTTAAGTAGGTATTGGGCTTTTATAATAAGCCATTTTCATATTAATATTTTGACTAATGTATTAATGCGCTGGATTTGAACAATAGAGGGTATGTAAATTTCATTAAAAATGGAGCGCCTGTTCTCAATACTCAAAATGCCATAACTATTTTACCTGCAAAGTTAAAGCCTTCAAATTTTCAGCATAGTTTAATTAGGCATCGGGCTTTTATAATAAGCCATTTAAATATTAATACATCAATAAATGAATTAAATCAGTGGCATTTGAGCAACAGAGAGTGAGTAGATTTAATTTTAAAATTTAGCCTGTTTGTGCATTAAAAATACAAATTGCATAAATGTTACCAATTCAACCTATTGTGTTAATGCACACAATCATCTAGACTCTAGTAAATTAATATTAATTCTGTGAATAATTCCACAGAAAAGATTTATAAAATAATGTATTATAATGGATAGGTCGCATTGAAAAAATGCTAATCCCATATGTCAAATCCAATCATCCATGATCCAGTCCATGAAATTGGTGATCCAAGTAGCCATGCTATTTGAAATCCACAGTACAAATGATGATCATTTAATATTATATTAGTACTTCTATAGTTCATTGAACATCAGAATAAAAGAGATATAATTTCTGTCATGGAAAGATGATGGTCACAAGTTATGTGTATATGTGTTGGCCGAGTCCATGGCAATCCTGATCAAATTTGTAACAGTTATAGATACCATTGGAAATGATTCAGTTTATGTCACAGATGAATGGAGTCCTGAGTGTAGATACCATTGGTGATGAATGGTTTTCCGAAATGGTTTACTTTGTGTCAATATTGTTGCTTCCACCCATCATGATGATAAATAGGAGTCCTGAGTGTATATAAATTGCCATATAAATGCAGTAGTTGGTGAAAAATATCAATAGCTGTTAAGATTATGCTCTGGTGGTCCATATTGTGGTGGATTGTCCAGTTGGACATGCAGTCACACTCGATACGTTTTTGTAAAAACAGGAAAGACCGGTACAACAATTTAAGTGAAATTGTTCGTGCAGACACATTTTGGCAGTAGAAGCCATATTCCAGAGACGTATCTAGAGATATTTTGCTGAAGCAACACTTGGCACAGCTGGGTAGTCAGTACCTCTAAACAGAAGAGGCATTATTTCCGCTTCATTGCAACACAAACTCCTTGTAATTCTATGTGGTCTAGTAGTCCAGACAAACTGAAATAGAGAGTGAAAATCGATTTAATTAAACACAAAATAAGCATTTTCACGTAAGTAACAAAAGGTAACCTTATTTAATTTATTTCTGTCTTTAATTTAAGATTGTATATTTCAGTGTGATAATATTGTAATTAAATTATTCATTAATCATTATTCATTCAGTAGGCTGCTGAGCCTACTACTACTATAACTATTAATCTTTTACAGTATCTAATCTGGGTTTAAGATAAATTATATCATTAAGGGCATTATTTAATTTCCAAATATATAATTCACTGTTGTGAAGTTTGATAATTATTAAAATTACAACATATATTTAAATTACTCAAGATGATAAATCATATAGTTTTGACATGGTTATCACGGATGTAAATTTTATTATTTAAAAAAAAAATGAAATTTCATAAAATATTTATAAATTTGTTTTCATTCATGAAATAAAAACAAGTTTAATAATAAAAATGAACTGGATTGCTTTTAAAAACAATAGATTTATAAAGATTTTTAAATACTTCTTATGCAATAAGAATAATAATAATAACAGAGAATGGTTATCACTTCTGGTTCATTTGGCCTAATTGATAACTGGTTATGAATTATTTTCAACTTTACACCCTGTCTTTTCAATTTCGGCCTATCTAAATGTCCTTATGTTTCTTGTTTCCATTAGTGGAATCGTTTAATACATCAAACACATAAAGAATTAAGTACAACACGATTATGGTTTCCGAAATAAAGCACTAGCAAAATTACCTGTTTTCCCAACGAAAGATATCTGCCACAACCTCTGTCAGTCAGGTGAAAAAGTTTATGTTGTAATGATCGTCCTCCTCGTGTGCACAAAACAGACTGTAGGAAGTTCATTGTCTCTCCCTTACATAGACAAAGGAAATGAAATCTAAATATGAACCCGTGACCTACCGACATTGACCGGTCGCCGGTTAATGGTCTGTTTCTCGCATCCGAAAAATCGACCGGCGCGCGCGGCTTAGTGAAGTACCTACTTTTACTAAGAAATACTAAGTTCTAGCAATAAAAAACTGAACACCCTGACTGGCTAATGTGAAGATAGCACCCTGGTTCCGATAGGGTCAAAACCCTGGTTCCGATAGGGTCAAAACACAGGTTAGGGATAAGTTTAGGGTTCAGGTTAGGTTTAGGGATAGATTTAAGGTTCAGGTTAGGTTTAGGGATACATTAAGAATATGATTTCCAGGTCACAGCAACCAGAGTAAAAAAAACGCGGTGCTATCTCTTCCCATTCACTTTTACCCTGTGAATGTGTGGTGTGATCACAGTGTGTAGGTAATTGGATATGAGGCTATTTTTGCCCCTAGGATTTTAAGACGCTTTTTTTGTGTGCTGAATGATAGGGTTCACTAAACAATTATTTTTTCGCGCTAGAAACGTCGGATCAACGAACGAATTACTGTTTTAGTTACGTTAATGAACGGGCTTTAACGACATCCATTTTGTTTTCAGTAATATCAGAATGTCGTAAATAAAAAAAAAATGTGAGAAAGCAGCTAAGTCTAATTTATCAATATTTTGAAAACTGTTTGTTGTCCCATTTTAAATCGACCTGGTGTATCTGTAGAATTGTATAAAAAATGACCATGTAAAAATTCAAGTCTCTAAGATGGCCATAACAATGCTATTTTTGGCCAGAACGGGTCTAAACCTTGAAAAAAAAAAAAAAAGGCTGAAAATAAAAATAAAAAACAAAAAAAAAGTATTATTTAACAATAGTTGACAGATAAGAAAGCCCAAGAAATTTTATAATGCTTCAAGCAATCAAGTTCCATCTTAATTAATATTAGGATTTATTGTAATATCTATACAGTATACAATAATAGACATATTAACTAATAATTTATCAGATATTGCTCCATTTCAAATTAAAGCATATTTTTTATTGGAAAATTGCCTCTGTTATATTTCCTGTTTTAAAATAAATTACGTTTGGTCTTAATTTTTTTTAGATTTTTTTTTTAAAGTTTTTTTTTAATGACATTAAAAAATATTTTTAAAATATTCTATTAATTTTTTTTTAGTTTTTAAAGCAACAAAGATGTTGATAATATGATGATGAACACTTCTGGAAAGTTTCATATTATTTGTCCCCTCTGCTATAAAGTTATGAGCCTTTTCGTAAAAAAATTGTGAAAAGAGGTCACAAATCTCTACTCTTATGTAAAAAAAGTGATTTTTTATTCACCAAAAAAATCATATCTTTTTAACCGAAAGTGCTACATGAAAAATGAAAACATATTATTACTTCATTTAACAAGGGCTATCATACAGATGTGTTCATTTCATAATTCATTCAATTTGAACATTTTATCCAAGTACCTATCAGTATCAGTGTGTGTGACTGAGTGTAAAACAGGTGACACTGCCTGACACTCTAATTACTTTCATTTACTACCACTGAATACTACTAAGGACTACAAGACTACGCCACTGTAATTAGGGGCTCCTAAGTAGGCTGTGTTGTAGGTACTTCTAAATAAAGCCACAAAATATAAGTTTAGTTTTTGTTGTTATTCCGCACAATTTTTCACTCAGAATTACTCAGAAATTACTGAGTTACTAAGTTACTGGTATATGCTAGAACTATTACGTTTAAACTTACTTTTTTTATACTACTACACAATGGTTGGAAACAAAAGAGAAAAAACTTTATATCAGGTAAAGAGATATAAAAACGATGACCAATTATTACAATAAAATCACAATAATCTTCTGCATACAATACTATACACTGTTTACTGTTTACCAACAATGAGAGAAGTCACACACTAACCGGAAGTAAAATTATTCTTGGAAAAGTTTCTACAGTGGCCAATGTAAAACTATCATTTCTTAAGCTCATATACAAAACAAACCAGCCAAAGAAAGGGCACGTTTCTAAATTAAATAAATTTTAAATTGCCCATTTATTTAAGTTTAATTAAATCTGATAATAATTAATCCGGAGAAAAAAATGCAGCCTGAATGTGTTCTTCAATGTAGAAAAATAATTACGAATCAATTATTTTAAACATTTATTGATTTATAAAAATTATATTATGTACTTACCTAAAAATGTCAAAGTTGTCACTACTCACTATTAATTAAACTTATATCATTAAATCAGTTTTCCAAAAAATGCCGCCCCTTTATTTAAGGTAGCAAAGTGCCGCAACACCCACCCCCTTCCTACATAACTGCTTGTAAGTTCATCAAAATACTGAGGCGCTTTGTTCCCTCTCCACCCACGCATGTCTCACGTCATGTAAGTGTTGTCAACTGTAAACAATTTTATTACTACATAAATAGGCATGTCCGTATCTAATTTTGTTAGTTTTGAATGAGTTTCTGGTACAGGATGAAAAAATTCGGTAACATAGTGTTGTTCAATTTGTAACACATCAGTGGTGGCAGTGCCGTCTTAAGGCATGGGCCCAGTGGGCACTGGCCCAGGGCCCCACGCTTTTTAGGCGGCCTCACGTTTCTTGGAGATTCACTCTTTTAGAGGCATCATTCTTTATATGTTGTTAATGAATATTGAAAGGTTTTAACAATTTAATTGGATTTAAAATTCACAGTTTCACAATTTATTATAACCCACGATATATATCAGCACATTAAAAATAAATATTATAAATGCGAATTAAAACTTTTATAAGGGGAATAACTCTCGACAACACGTTTTACTTTTCCAAGATATGAATCGAAAAAAATTAGGTATTAATTTATTTTTGGCTAGGGCTATTTGAACCTGGGTTTTAATATTGAGAGGTTGGGCTTATTTTAAAAAAATATTTAAAATATTGTTGTAGGGTTTGTAAGAATTTTTTTTTGTATCTAATGAAAGATAATTGAATGGACTATATGTTTGTAAACTTACTTCTTCAGTTTTAGTTTTACTATTGTAAACTACCACAAATGACATTCAAATAGAATTTAGGCTAAAGGGACCAGATGCGCATATCCGCTATTCGGGTCCCTTTAGACCAGTGTTTTCCAACCATTTTCCTCCTAAGCCTTTCTAAAATTCTTATGCCCCCATGTATCATAAACATAATTTTAAATATTCAAAAAATAGGGTTGTTCACTGAAGACGAAGATGCTTAAATTTAAATGAATGAAATAGCAAAACGAAAATATCACAAAGAACAGAGCACAGTAAACAACTCAAGAAATATCCATTATTGTCGACAATAATAGATATTTGTTGAGTTGTTTACTGTTCTTTGTGATATTTTCATTTCTAGTAGTAGGCCTACTGTTAGCTGAAGAAGGCTTTATGCCGAAACGTCCTTATCTTTTTGTCCTGTTCTCTAAGTCAAGCTTCCACTTACCTTGTTTTGCTATTTCATTCATTTACTAGGCTTGAATGCAGTCCTTTAATTTATACTTTTTAAATTTAAATGATAAGTTTAAGGAAGAAATTACTAGAAAACTAGTGAGGAAACATAGCAAGTAAAGTTTCAAAACATTTAATGGAGAACTAAAATTCAATTATAACGAGCGCTTATTTTAAATTGTGACTTTAACGATTCTTCTTTAAAAATACAAGTTAAATCATAGTAGACTGTTGGTTTTCAAATTCTAGACAGCTCATTTTCAATTTTCCCACCTAAACAATCCCATTGCCCCCATGTGGCGCTTGGGCCCCACGTTGGGAAACACCGCATTAGACTAAATGCTATTCGGATGTAATTTGTGTTAGTTTGACATCACATGTGGCCATAAAACTTCTTGAGTCTCTGAAATCTTATCTTCAAGAAATTAGAGAAAAATTTATTAACTTTGAACGTAAGGCAGAGGAAAGGTGTCCAGAATTGGAGTATAGTGATGGTAAGAAACGGAAATGAAATCAAAGTGTCCGTCTAAGTAGATATGATGGACCAGAAGAAGTGATAGACCTATCTAAAAATGATTGAAGTGAAAAGTTCAAGATCGAAAGTTTTCTCCCTATTTTGGACTACCTGAACTCTGACCTGACACAACGTACACACTCTTATTCTTGAATGGAAATCTGTTTACTTTTTTTACGAAGTTAAAAACAATTGATTCCGATGAGCTAAACAAAAAGTGTGAAGATCTAGCTAATAGGCTATGTATCACAAAGACCTTAATAAGAAAGACCTATTAAATGAATGCAAGCATCTCAAGAACTACCTGGTTCTTAATGAAAATTGTGACACTATGGCTGCTTTGTATGAAAAAATAATTACATACTTCTTGAAATCTGTATTTCCTAATGTTGAAATTGCACTCAGAGTGTTCATGTCCATGATGATAACCAACTGAACAGGATTACGTTTATTTTCAAGCTTGAACCTCCTAAAGAATCAGCTTCGCACTACAACGGGTCAAAAATCTTTTAACTGGCTTTCTGTAATGTTGATTTATATTAAATAATTTATTTGTCAATAATGATAATTTATCATTCTCTGTGATTATTTATAATTTATTTCTGATAATGTTTAAAACTGTTATTGATTTTGAATGATTTTGTGGGTTTTTTGTATCAATAAACTGAATTTATCAAAGTTTAACTTTATTGAATGTTTATTATTATTTCCCATTTTTACTCCTGTTAGTGAGTTATTGGGGAGCAGGAACGATAGGTTTGCCCCCCCCCCCACTGTTTGAGCATGGGGCGAGTGCCCCCTTCTCACGGCCCAGGTGTGTTTCTAGCGGGCCCCAGTGCATTGCTGTGCCCTGGGCCTACTATGTTGTTAAGACGACCCTGGGTGGTGGATATGACTGCCCTCGGCATTTATTGAGTCAAACGCTCAGTTGTAGTGAAATAATTTAACGAAATTCAATCAGCCATGCTTTCTCCGGGGCACTCTCTTTGTAAACATTTACTTTAACATACATAGTCGTCACGTGATTTTTAGAGGCCACTTTCGCTTTTTGTTATTGAACTATCCAATATAATTAGATTAAAATTAATTTCTTCTATTAAAGTTTTTCCTCATCACACCTGGTGGGCCCTTTAAACATCCGTCATCTGAGGCGGACGATGGGTTCCAGGGCCTTGCGACGACTCTGTTAGTATGACCGTAGTGTGATCTATATTGTTTAACGTAATCTGAAATTCCCCTGAATATTCACACTGAACCATGATTTTGCTTTTTGAGTTGTTTAATGTTATATTATGTGTCCGTCTTGCAAGCTGGTTGGGCATGCCAAATTCCTACAGAATCTCAAATCGGTATTTCCTTTCGATGTTACAAAAAGCCATATTACACATCTTCACAAAATTCGTGCCCCCTGACCCCACTTTAGACGCGCGACGACATTTATGGTTGGACCCTGATGTTTGATTTCATTCTCATGAAAACGTTAAGGATTTTTTTTTTAAATTTCTTTTCCATTTCTCCCCCGCCCCTCCCCTTAATTCTACAATTTGCCTATGTATGGAGATGTCTGTCATTAGGCCTATTATACATTATACCATTACAATTAGGTTGAAGGACGAATCAAGCCCCCCGAATTAAAAATAATAATAAATTAGATCCCTTGACCGTTTGGTCCCTAAAGGCGTGTCTCGTTTGCCCTTAGGTTAGGCTGGCGCTGCATGTCTATGAGTTCGCAATGATCAATGATCACAGGCCTTTGTTCTTATCTTTTTTAGCGGTACGCACCACCGGACATGGTTCTGTGGACACCATGACGTCTGTGCCACTGACTGCCGTTTTCTCCCCAAATTTATTTCGTTTTGCCATGCAGTATAGAAGTTGAAATGTTCTGATTGCAATGTGTAACACATTATTTATCAGTCTATCCTGCATCATTCATGGCTCTCTATTTTAATTTTTTTTAAAATTCAATACCCAAACAGGTTCCAAGATTTTATCATTTCCAATGGTGGGTTAAAACATGCAAGGGCCAGTGCCCCGTCTGATGATGATGTTTATTAAAATTTCTCTCATGGTTATATTGTAATATAGCATCTGTATGTGGTGCTTGATCATCTGATTCAAATATAGTTCTAGTTTTAAAACAAAACCTTGATATTGAAAAAAACAAGCCATTGGGAGTGAAATGTATTTATTAGTAAATAACAGTCTTCTCAGAAGTAGCCTAGATCAATATAGGCCTATATATCATGGTACATTCTAAGATTAAAGTTTGCAGATAAATCACAGTCATGCTTATCAGTATACATTTCTTTGACATAAAAATAAAAGTCAATTGAGGGGGAAATTAAGAAAATAGTTTTAAGTGCAGTAAAATTGATAATAAATTTCTGTAAGTAGGCCTACTTCTTAGTGCATATATAATTATTTATCTCTAAATCTAATTAGTATTTTAAGTTGAAGGTAATCGGCTCATTTTAGGGCACTCACTTTTTCAAGCAATGCCGCTAGGAAAAGGCTAATATAAAAGTATCACAGATGATAACGTTGATAACATACAAAAATATTAGGACATATCACATATAACTTTACATACATTGAAACATGTTATTGCTCATAACTGAAGAAGAAAACTATTTGATGTTTTTGTTAATTTATGGTTTGATATAGGCCTATATGTGCTAGACAAGAGCTGACAATGACTTGGAATAACTCACAATTCTGCCTCTTTGAAATGCGTGGCAATAACTTTGCGTTTTTGTCCATGGCACATTTATCTCATGGAGCAATACTTCTTATATTTGTTGTTGATTTATGCAAATACATATGATATAATGACATGAACATGGTATTTTTCAGGACATTCAACAAAACAACTAAATAAAGAAAACATGCTAAATCATAGTAGATGTATAGAATTTACACCCAAAAAATAAAAATGTGGAAACAAATTAGAAAAACAATATTTGTTTAGGCATAATAAATGAGGACTTAAACATTGAAAAAAATAATTATTAAAAATCATAAATCCACGTTTAACATCATTAAAATAAAATATGGCAGAAAACTAAAAATATTATTTAGGAGTTTCAGTATCATAGTGAATTTAGTAACATAAATATATATCCTCAAATGAAGCGACAGCTTTTATCAAGGTTAATCTTATGCCAATTATAAGTGTGGTCAAATATAAGTTGGCGAAATTTAAATAGATTTTTATTGTCAAAATTATTAAAAAAATTGATTACATTATAAAACAGATTGCAGTATTTGCAGTAACTGTTTTTCAAAGAGAATTTAAAAAAAAAAGATTATGATAAAAAAAAATTAAAAATTATTTATAATAAATGCTGCATGGTTTAGTAAATATTCCCATAAATAATCCATAGGTGGATAAGATGCATGCATAATTTCAAATGGTTCTATTTTGTATACATAGTTAAATATGATAAATGCATGACATGAAAATTAATAAACAAAAAATTATATTTTATCAGATTAATAAATAATCTACACAAACACAGACCATTAACTACAAATATTTAAATGACAAATACAATGCATTGTAAGGCCATGGGTTTTCATAATATAGAATTTTAATAATCAAGGGAAAATCACCAATAGAGAGTCAATGAGTTACAAGTAAAATATATGTCATGGTCTGGTGTAATATATGCCATGGTCTGGTGTAATATATGTCATGGTCTGGTGTAAAGTTCAATCTCTTATTAGGATGTATCCAGTAAAAAATTGAAGCTAAATAGTTTTACATCTATTTTGATCAACCAACACTATAAAATAAGTCAGCTTTATCACATCGGTAGGCTATGAAAGAAACCAACTGACCATGTGAGGTGCCAAAATAATTTGTCTTTTCCTAGAGTAACATGAAATACATTTACCGGTATTAAATTTAAGAAAAACATTTCTTATCAGATTAAACAGATTATAAAAATGATTCACGTTTTACAAAAACACATGTCTCACTGAATGCTGGGGACACTGTTGTTGCTTTGCCCAAAGATATTTAAGAGTGTGACTTAGAAAGTTAAGTTAATGATCATGTCATTAGAGTTTATGTAAAGCTTATTCACATAGACATTTTACATGCCTTGGAAATGGGTGAGCATTTTTTGTACACATAATGAAGAGGTGAAAGGTCATAAGGTTGCCAGGGTGAAATGATCTGCCTCAGAAAAGATCGAGACTCACTCAGAAAAAGATTGGGACTCGTTGTTCATAACATGAGTTTGGTCCTACACAAGCAGCTTTAGGACTGAGAAAATTATGAAAGAAGATTCTCTTTAAATACTGATTCTATTTTTAGTCATCTAACTGGCATAACATGGCCACACCCCTGTTAATCCAATGGCTTTCTGGCTTATTACTCGGTAGTGTCATGGTGAGGACATAGTTAGTGGAGTGACCAGTGGTGGACAACACACCTCGTCTTGCACTTGTTTTGTACACTGTATGGATGTAAAAAAAAAACTATCAAGCCTTGTGCGTATAATAGAATCCGTTAACTAATTTGCTTTTCAATACATACATAATACATTTCACTGATCAGTACAGCAATTTGACTTTTTTGTTTGATGATTTTTTTAAAATTTGTATTTTGCATATTATTAATTCAATAAATTTGTTAATTTAAAAATATGTGGAATTTTAAATAAGTCTAAGATTTGCAAGGAATTTTTTTTTTATATCCAATGTGCAGTCAAGTTATCTTAAATATTAAAATTTTCGCAGTAAAATGTGATAGGGCCTATAGTTAAAAGATGCGTCACAAATAATTTTATTATTGAGACTTAGCCGAGAAGAATTACGAACCTGGACAGTTGTAGTAACTTTTCTCCTCAAATTTATTACGTTCTCCAGGTTTCAGCCAAATCTAAATTAATTGTTAAGATTCTTAAGGATAGGTCAAAGTGTATTTTGCTACATTGATACTGAATTGCAACCAGGACTGGATTTAAATATTTCTGCGCCCTGGACCATAGCTCATAATGCTTCGCACGTATGTAAACACACTCCCCCACCCAAAAAAATAAAAATGTCTATTTATAAATTCCAATCCACATTTTATTCTTAAATCAAATCTTTACTATTATAGCATTTTAAAGGATAATAAGCTGTGTGAGGGAAATAGAAAAAAAAGGTGTGTGGAAGCTGAAAATAGAAAGGATAATAAAAGAATAACGTTTCGGCTAAGAGCCTTCCTCGGCAGACAAGACAAATGAAGAAATAACAAGAAATAGAAAGTATTCTATCTTGTGTCTTTCTATTTCAAGCTTCCACATACCCTGGTCTTCTATTACCTATAGCATTTTATATGGTCTTTTTAAAATAATACTGAAAAATGTGTGAATATATGGTTATTTCTTCTGCCTATAAACCCCCTGACTGCTGTGCCCTGGGACATGGCCTTGGTTGGCCATATGTGAAGCCCCCTGACTGCTGGGACATGGCCTTGGTTGGCCTTAAGGAAAGCCCCTTGACTGCTGTGCCCTGGGACATGGCCTTCGTTGGCCTTATGGGAAATCCAGCCCTGCTTGCACAATATCCTCAGAATTTATTTTAAAATAAAGGTGAACTGAATAAATCAGGTCTGATACTTAATTTTTATCATGTGACTTCTATGAATTATTAATATGAGAGATAAGACAAACAAATTTAAAACCTCCCTCAATTCACTTAACTGTCAATTGTATTACACATTTCATAACTTATAAATAAGGCAGATCTACGCACTTAGTAGTTTTCATATACAAAATACACTTTGTTTCATATTTAGCTATTTACAGTTGCACTGTAATTTTATTATAGATGCATTGCCCTAGTTAACTACATGAATCAAAAGGATACAATTGGCACTTGATCATAGAGAATTTTGGGTAAACTTTCCGTGATTACACAGTCTGTGCGGCACCATCTTGCACCTTCCATAAAAAGCCCTCGTATAAAAGCACCAGTTGCCTTAAAGAAAAAACAATTTACACTTTTATAAATGCTGCCAGAAATCAATGGCTGTGAAATTTCTGAAAGTTGGAGGGTTGATGATAATCTAGACAAAAATACTTTTACTTTTTGGGAGTTAGAAAATAGCTCTAATTTAGCCTCCATATGAAAATGATAAATTTGAAGCTGCTATGTTTAGAATTGCAACTAATATAAAAATCAAAGATATCGGTATAACAAATGTGCTTTAAAAAAATGACACTGGAATTAAAATATCAAAAGTTAAATTTTGGGAATGATAATAACATGGATATTGTATACTGAGAAAAGGTTTCAGTTGTTGACTACAATCCTTTATTCATCTTTCTCATAATGCTTTCGGCCCTTTGGAATATATGTAGTAGTGTGGTGGTTTAGGGTTGACTTAGGTGACAACGCCAAAACACTGTAGTAGTGTAAATTGACCCTGCTCGCAGCGCCAACAAATGTAGCCGAGTGGATGACGTAGCTTACAGTTTAAATGAAATCCCAATAAAACAATCAGGTCTCGAGGACTATAGCTTTTTTAATTAATTCTCTACTATGATGAAAACAAGAAAGAGGACACTATGAACTATGGAGAAGAAGCCTATGAAGAAAAAGGGAAAGAAAAAGGACAATATCTGAAAATAAACAAATAATACAGGTCAACAATGTCCTGACTAACATAGCTAACAATAAACATATTACATAACCACGTAATTACACGTGGCGACAACATATACTTAACTAGAAAGCATGATAAATGATACGTAAGTAGTATTGGTTCATACACATGGCAAAGATAATTATCTTGTACTACGAATGTTTTAACTATAAAAGAAACCACATGCAGTGTTTAATTTGAAACACGTGCACAGTGTTAATGCTACACACAGAACCAGAGTGCGATGTGAGGGCTAACATAAACTTTAAAGATCTTGAAGTTATTATAGTATGCCATCCAGGTATGGTGTCTATGTAAGAGGCACACATAGCGGGACAGTAAATACAATGGTATTAAGTATGACCACCGTTGGCTTGATACTTGTATCTGTCCATCGCTGTGTCTTGTTAAGACAACAGCAGATTGCAGAATGAATCATAATTATATTATATGGGATGTGATCCTCACACATGCACTATTTCCTATGTGAGAATTTAGCACACGGCAGGAAAGTTAGCCTATTACACATATTTGACGGACACTCGCTGGTTGTATACTGTTGTATCAATAGCTTATTTTATAAGCGCATTGCAGTATGTGTACCCAGAACGATATGCAGTTGTTTGTTACGCACAAACCCTGGTCACTGGTATCTATTTATTAATCCTATTAAATAATTTATTTAACGGTTGTATGTTAACCTTTAAAATAGCATGAGCATAAGTCTACACGCTGTAGGTTATCCTACACTCTATCCTGGTTATAAGTCTGAACAGAAATCTTCCAATGCTAACACTCAACAAGTTCCTACTAACCACAAAGAAATAAAAATGGCGTAATTGCCTCTACTTACAGAGCGTTCCAATGGGCCGCACTGAACAAAGGCACACTGCAGGTATGCTGACCAAAGCTCGAAATGACCCCTACCTCGTGTGCTCCCCTTTTTAAAACCGTGCGCGGACATATCAGAGAGCCCCTACGTCACACCTAAACCGAGTCGGTCTAAGTTTTGCCTTCTGGCCAGTTTCCTGGGGTAAAATGCCTAACTCTGGGGACTAATCCAGAGTAATAATTAAAATCTTTATCCACATCCCTAACGACTTATATGTAATCTGTGCAGTTTTGTCTTAGCTATCTAAGATGCTATTTTATATTTTTATGACTTAAATAGTTTTTAAGATATTTTAACTAGAAGGGGGTGGGGACCACTATAAATGAAGGCGAAAACTCCTTTAATGACTAAATATTAAAATATCCTCCAACGATGGAAACTTGTAAATATGCTAAGGTATAGTGAATAAAATCCCCGTCTTAACTAGATGTAATGTATAACTTAATACGCTAGGGTTCCTGATAAATAAATTATTGAATTTCTAACCAATGCGCACATCGTGGTATTTTATTATTTCCTCCCTATGCGCCGGTCGTATAGTGACCGTCCGGGGGGAGGGGGGGGAAGGTGAAAAGGGATACCTGTTACGCACCGCGCCAGTGCTACTACACACCGCGCGGCCTTGAGTTGGGCGCCAGACATGGTTTACGTAACGGGTCAAATAGTGGGTTGGGGCATACACTGCCACATATAGAAAGTTAATTATCAGACTTACTGGTTTTTGCAGCACACCATTTTCATGTTTCGTCACCTCAAACTCAAACGCCAAGTGGTCAATGGGAATTTTGAACCTTCTTGCATAATTCTGTAAGACTCCAGTTAGGAAAGACTGAGTGAAGTAGAAGCCTGAGATCCAGAAGATCGTGGGAGTGCCTCCATTTATCCACTCCTAGCAAAATAAAAGTATTAATAAATGGAAAAATGACACTCACAGCTTGGCTGTATTATTGAGCCCATAAAAGAGTATTTTTTTTTATAATCATACTTATAACAGCTACGGTACAATTACCTTGAAGAATGCCAGTCTAGTCAGCAAGTCGGTAACATAGCTGCCTAGAGGCTTCAAAGAAGGATAAGACTTTGCCGCCCACATAGCTGGTACCTGTATCAATGTTGTGATTGGATATTTTTAATATATGTAATGAGAACAAAATAGCACACAATATTTCAAATGAAAGTTGAAGTGAAAAATAACCTGAAGTGGGTAAATAAATAACATATATTGCCTGTTGGTATTTGAAATTTGCTTGAGGTCAGGCCTGCACAACATACTGCCCGCGGGCCGCATGCGGCCTGCAAGTACCCACTTTTCGGCCTGTGACGTTAAAAAATATTCTTTACTAAATGTAGGCCGCCAAACAATGGCAGCAGAAATGCATGAACTTCCCATCTACTAAAGTTACTTGACAAAAACGTGAACTCAAGTAATGTATATTTAAGAATCCCAATTTTTGCTACACCCCTTCCCCCATGATATGTCACTGCACACTTTTTTATTTCAAGCCCATAAACTATATTAAATATTCTGATGTACCAACCAAATATTTTTTTCACCATTCTTTAATTGAGATGATTTCATTTTCCGAAAAGAAAATATTACGCGCCAAATACATTAGCGTTATATAAAAAATATATCATTTAGCGTAGTTATCGGGCATTATATTTTGCATGCTATTAAACTCATTATTGAACCATACTTTCTTTCAAACATATAGAATTATTTGTAATATACTCTCAAAACCAAATTCACTGATTAGGAAGCAGTCCATTAGGAAGTAGTCCACGAGTCACACCAGAAGCGTAATATATATAAGATGATTATTATTTTCTTAATACCCCCCCCCCCCCCTGTCCTATTATCTTTTGGCCCGCAATAGTTTTTCATAAAGTAATATGCCCCCCATGCCCCCCCCTCTACATTTTGAGTCGTGCAGGGCTGCTCTAGATGATATTAATTCCCTGGTAAAAAATTCAATGCATATGGTTTTAATTGAATTAAATAACCAACCTTTCCAACCATCATGCTATCAAATACATCCTCCAGCTCACTTGACATAACCACTAATCCTTTGATTGCTTTGCGGATGTCAATGAGACTGCTGCGCACCACATGGATCAAGCGATTGAACCGAATAAGCTCTTGAATCAGCACAGTGTTCATAGACTCCATGTATTTCACTTTAAACTTGGTCTAAACAACAAATACAATGTTTTATTATTTTATTAGCATCTTTGTAGGAAAAAATAATTGCCTGGAAGAAAGGAAAATACTGTACTTTAATTGAAGTGCAAAACTAACACTGTAATGCATTGCATCCTATTTAGAAAACTGTAAATGTCAACAAAAACTCACCTGAATTTCTTCAAGATTAAAGTTTTGAGGTATTTTCTGTAAAATGTCTGTGGCAAGATCCTCAATGATATCTTGGGAAGACTTTCCACCACCTGATGTCTGAAATGGTAACACAGAAATGAAAAATTAACAAACACAAGTCTATCCTAATTGGAATTGCTAAAGCATTTTTATTTTTGAGTTTCCTGAATCCAATTAACTCTAAGTAGTTGAATATGGAAATTAAGCTTCATTTCAGGTAATGTACAGTATTTCTTAAACTTGCTAATTTATTATGACATGGGATCAAGCAATTGCTAAATGTGAGGTAATGGATGATGTTATAAAGTGTAAGGTATTGGACCATGTTATAAAATGTAAGGTAACCGACCATGTTATAAAATGTAAGATAATGGACATGTTATAAAATGTAAGGTAATGGACCATGTTATAAAATGTAAGGTAATGGACTTGTTATAAAATTTAAGATAATGGAACATGTTATAAAATGTAAGGTAATGGACCATTTTATAAAAGGTAAGATAGCGGTATCATGTTATAATATGTAGAATAATGGAACATGTTATAAAATGTTAGATAATGGTATCATGTAATTTAATGTTCAATAAGATTCAACCAAAACAAACCTGTCTGGGGAGGGTGAGAAGAATTCCTTCAAACAACAGTTGGGTTTCTTGCTGATCTTTGGAGATGTCTGCATTTTCATGAAGACCAAATACCTTTCAATATAAGAAATGCAGCAAGTCAGATGTCTTATAAAAATATTTAATCAAATTCACGGTACCATAACAGTGGAAACACTTTCAATACTGAGGTAGCTATAAATGGCATGTGCACCAATCACTTCATCCATCGCACTGGGGAGAGAGGTAAGTATAATATGGCATGTGCACCAATCACTTCATCAATCTCACTGGGGAGAGAGGTAAGTATAAAATGGCATGTGCACCAATCACTTCATCCATCGCACTGGGGAGAACAATTGAATTAGAGAAACTAATCCAAGCAATGCTGGTAGTTGGCAACACAATTTGTGTGGGTTCATTGTCTTCAAACAACAACTTTATTGATAGAGATTACACACAATTTGTGTGGGTTCATTGTCTTCAAACAACAACTTTATTGATAGAGATTACACACAATTTTTGTGGGTTCATTGTCTTCAAACAACAACTTTATTGATAGAGATTACACACAATTTGTGTGGGTTCATTGTCTTCAAACAACAACTTTATTGATAGAGATTACACACAATTTTTGTGGGTTCATTGTCTTCAAACAACAACTTTATTGATAGAGATTACACACAATTTTTCCACCCATACATGAACAACAAATGTTAAGTTAAACCTTTGCCTGAACAACATCTCTACACACAAAACACTAAATATTGCTTGCTGACTTAAAAGAAAGTCATGGACAAACCTCTGGGTGAGGAACAAGAGGCAGACTCCTGATATACTCCACACAATCTTCGTATGTTCCTCTTGGAGGGGCGTAGTAGAGCCCACTGTCAGAGAACTTGTAATCGTCTTCTTCAATGGTTCGGGTGCTGTAAAATATCTTCAGGAGGGAGAGGATAAGTCTGCGGTCAAGGTCGTCTGTGACACGGCCGCCATAGTTGCACTCGCCAGTTAAATAGATCAGTGCTTCTAGGGGTGTCTTGTTATACTTGTTGATAAACATCTGAAGCAGGAATGGGGGTCAGCATTAGGCAAATTTAACAACGTCCTTACAGTTTAGCTTTCTTTGCATACAGCAGTGCTTCCTTAAGTTTTAAGCTTGTCGGACAATTTTCGTAATTTCACCAGGAACCGGTGCCAGGTTTATAACTTTTTAATTTTTTATGAAATCATAAATATTCATGTTGTAAGGCTGAGGACCTGTGCTGGTCCGTGGACACCACTTTGGGAAAAACTGCTTTAAAAAAAACAAAATTTTAATCACAATGAACTCACCTGCAATTGTTGGACTGATACCCTGAGGTCAGACTCGTTAAACTCATATGGTATATTCCAGCCAAGGGGACCAAATTTTCTTCTCTCTTGAACCAATGCGTGAAAGAAACAAAGTCCAAACAGAAGCTTTTCAAACACCTGGCAAAAGTCAGATTAGTGTGTGGTTATAGCTTAGAGCAACAAAAATAACAATAGGAATTTGTCTTTACTTACAACATTGATAGGCACAAAAGTCTTTCAGGTAAAATAGTACACTTGAAGGAGGTAAGACATAATAAATTAAGGTTTTATGCTTGGTAAAATGTGTTTCTGTTCATTGCTTGATCTCCCTTCATAACTGGAAACATGAAATCAGTCATGAAGCACTGCAACAAGATTATTTTGAAATGGTTAGCTGGTTCGGAATTAAATGGGTTACTTGGAGTAAGATTTCTTGACTCAACATTTCAGGTGTTTAAATTGTAACGCTGATGTCAAACCAAACAAAGGTTTTCCGGCCCACCACCTACCGCTGGTTTATTACAGCTGTTGAAAAACTCTGGGTTGGAGATTGGATCATTCAAGTAGGAGCGCAGCAGGTTGGCTCTCAGCCCTTTGGGTGGCTCATTAGTCATTTTGACTCCATTCTGAAGCACTGAGACGGGGAAAACTGGTGAAGGGTAGCTGGTCAGCCAGAGACGGAATGTGTCTCTTGTAGTAGCAGGATCTGAGATCACCTGGTGTTACAATAAGAAATACATCATCCTATATCTATAGTTATTTGTAAAGCCGCCATCAAATCTATCTTAATCATCTGTTAATTAATAGAAGCTCTGTAGAATTGACAGGTACCATAATGGACATTACATTAGCTGTTCAATTTGTAAGACATAGCAAACATAGAATATTACATTATTGATTTCATATAGCTTTATGAATAGATATGAATATATACTTACACTTTCACATATTCTTTCAAGCTCTGGCAGCCATGATGCAGCAAGATGACAATTCTGTAACACAACCCAGGTGCCATTCTGGACTGCCTGTAATTTAAAAGACTTTTTTTTTTTAGCTTTTAAGCTCAAACATTTAACTGAATCCGAATCAAAACACATTTTTTTTTGGTACCTAAATGACATCATAAAACTCAAATATTTTTTCCAAATGTTAAAAAAAAAACCAAAAACAAATCACAATAACATAAAATCTTATAAAGTTTTTAATGAGAAAAATGAGCAGTTGCTTAAAATGCATGAAACTTTTGGATAGTGTTTCTGAAATCACATTTATAACATCTTTTAAGTGTTTTGCAAGTAAAGAAATATAAAGAAACTGATTTGATTATAATAATTAATCACTATTTTAAAAAGGGCTGAGAAAACTTTTAGCTAATCAGCTTACATCCATGATCAAACGTTCTGCAATGGGGCCTTGACCTTGGCCTAAAGATATGGTTTGCAGCTTGCTTTTGCTTGTACCTGCATAAAAGAAGGGATTACAAAATGATCCAATCAAAGTCTGCTTTAGAGCAACACGAACTGCCTAGTGCAGATACATTTCTATTAAGACTTAGGTCAAATTTTAATAGAATTAAACACCATTTACAATGGATTTAACCAAGTGAAAGATTCCAAATTTGAAACTAAACATCTAACAGCTAAAGCATTAGCTTTAACAACAAAATACAAAAAAACTTTCCAAAAACTATATTTTATTCCACATTTTTCAAATAGCTCATATGGTTAACATATTATATGAAGTGTTGTGACAATACCAATGGCTTTTGAGTAATTTAGGTAAAATTATTACGATAAGAATATTTATTTTTAAATAACAGAAATCACATTATATTCCAATTGGTATTTTAAAAAGTCTCCCATAAGATGAACAAATATTGATCAAAAAGTTTAAGAAATTCTGATGGAGTTGAGTTGTAAATGAAAACTATCCTTTTTCATTTTTTACATGAAGGTGTTTGTATGTTATTTTATTTATAAGACCATTAATATCTACATAACAGTCAATAAAGTCTTTAAAAAAGGAATCTCAAATAAAATTGCATCAAACAAAAATTGGTATCACCAATAACAATCTCTGTTTGTAAAAGTATTTAATGAAATAATGTAAACAAACTAAAATGTTTAAATTCTTAATGAGGGTCAACATCGCTCTACAATACATATTTATATAAAGACTGAGTTACAGGTAGAAAAGAATAGGATTAACAGCAGCTGAAAGGTTAAAATAAATTTTGTTGTGCATACAGACAACAGTAACTGAGAAATTAAAAGGCATATCTTGTATGTTACGGTATGTAATTTTATGTAGACAACAACATCAAATTTTGCTGGTTCAGCTTCTCCATTCTATGACATAATTTTAATTTCAACCTGCCATAGCTGTAGGAAAGTCAAACAGATAAAAGTGATAGAGCCTTTTTTTAAATGATCTCACAGGAAGATTAAAACGTATACACACAAGCAGTTAGTGATATAAATAAAAATTAAAATATATAGGGAAAAAATATAATACGATTTTGAAAAATTGTGAAACTAAAGCTGTAGTCTGTGATGCATCTGTGGCTGGTCTGCAGATTTGTTACAATACTAATTTATTTCTGTTAATCCCGGATCCTCAGAGTTAAAAGCAATTAAACTGAGAATGGCACAAATGAAAAAAAATCTTAATGAGACCTTGGTGTAATATGATGGAATATATATGCAGGTGCATTAAATTATACAAAATCTAAAATAGGAGATGGATTATGTGTCTGTATATGAATCAGTATCATCTGGTTATGAGGTGCTGAGAGCATTTTATGTTATTACAAGACATTCAACTGTTTACAAATGATAAGATTATATGATTATAATGGTGATGGGTTTACTTAAAAGCATACAGTTTGTAAATAATTATTTGGGCTAATTTTTTTTTTACTTGTGGTAAATACTATAAAATACCACTTGGTGAAATGAAATATTGTGAAGTTTTAAACAAATTTAAGTTAGGCCTACCATCTCAGTTACAATTTACATGAAATGGCTGATCCATAGATTTAAAGTATGCCTGACAATAAACCATTAAAATGACCATTTTTAATCAATCTGTAGTAAGATTCAACAAAGAATCCCCATTTAATGTTTAAATAATTTTTTTACAAAATATTAGCAAGGATATTCTAATTTGCATATAAATATTGTTTACATGACTAAAATTCTATGATACAGTAAAATGCTGCACATTGTTACACAATTATGTTGCATATCTTGCATATTGTTTTATAAATAGTCAAGTACAATATAGATATGAGGCATGCACATACGATCAAGCATATCAGCTGGATTAACCTCCCCTATAATGCTGAGTTGTTGGTTCGAGGGTACTTTCTCTTGTGTCACTGACTGAGCACCAGACGGCATAAGCATACCTATGTTTAAACAAGTCAGTCATTAAACTTCCTTTAGCCAACATTTCCCATAAATAAACACTCATCTGAGTGCTTCCGTAGAGCAAATGGGAGACTCAATTTTTAAAAACTTTTTTTTTACACATTATCACATTTTTGAAAAAAAAAATCATTAAAAAAACACACTATTTTACACCAATGTACCAAAATTTTTCCATGTCCAAATTTTAAAAAAGGTGACTCTAACAAATTAAATTGCATCAGAAGAAAGTTAAAATTTGAAAAGTAGCAGAACTGTCAAAAATTTCTCTCATAAAAACTTTTATTATTTCATATTCTTTCATATACTGAAATAGCCTTTCAAAATAAAGGTAATCTACCGGTCATTGCATTTATATAAGTGAATTATATTTTAATTCCAAAAATTATAATTACAAAGTTATTTAAAAAACAACTTAGTTCCTTCCCTTTAAAGCTTCCAAAGTCAAAAAGATAAGGATTCAAAATATTTGTTAAAAGATATATAATAAGATATTCAGAAGTTGGCACTGCAATTTTACATTACACACAAAAACACTAAATATTACTTTAAGGGGGCTAAACTTAATTCAAATTTGTAAAAATAAATTGAAGAATGTAACAAGGTAGGCCAGGTAGAGCATTGATTGAGAAATATTGGGCTTGAATGCCATGTATGGCACACCAATGTACCAGCAAGGCGCCTACTTAAATTAAACTTAAAGCACAAATAAATAAAGAAATATAAAAACTTCTTAGCTAAGTTGTGCTTTTACTTATGAATAATTTTTTACAAATGAAATACAACCAAATCAACACTGAATATTAGTAAAAAAAAATCATATTGGTTACTGTAATGTTTTGTTGAGAAAACTTGCCAAAAATATGCAATTTTAAAAAAAAAATCAAAATCCTTATTTTTTAAATCATTAGGCAGTTAAGATTACACTGACATTTAAACATCTTCACACTTTTAACACAGTGCATGCAAAAACCATTCGTTAGTAATACTGTCATTTCCTTTATTCATACATGACTAACTGTAACTAACATAACTGAGTGAGAACTAATAAGTCCCTGATTTTGCTAAGAGAACTCACTTAATGGCTGTTTGAAATAATTTATTATAAATGTGTTGTGTTCAAATTGTTTTATTTTTGAGCTGAAAATGTTTAATGCAATCAAAAAACATTTCCATTTATTTGGATCAATAAAAGAATCTTATCTTATCTTATCTTATATGATGGGACTTTCATCCTTAAGTATGATTATTTGAAATGGCTCTCAATAGTTAATAGACAAAAAATAATATGTTCCTATAAATTTCTCTTGGTCTGTGAGGAAAATATTGCATCAAAGATTTGCAAATTCCGTAGCCAGACTTCCAAAAGTTGTCAAACCATTTACAAAGGGAAAGATTCTTCTCATGTGTCCCCTAACAATTATATAAAGTGAATTTCAAAATAATCCTTTTTGTTTTAAGATCAAACAAATGAATTTGAATTTTACTAGAAGTGGAATTTAAAAAAAATTATGAACTCATTTTTTAAAATTCCATTTTAAAATGAACAAATTGAAATAATCAATTCTTATTGATTAAGAATACGTTTACCAATAGCATTGTTTTAATTTTAAAGAGATCTTTTCATATTGCATGCCGTTTGACATATAAAAAGGTGATTAATTGGAAATTAGAATATTATCCTACCTTTCTCTTCTGCGAATCTGTACAAACCAGCCATGGGATCCGCCCCAGGTGAGAGGACAAAGATCAAAGGTGAGAAAAAGTTGGAGTCCTCATAACAAAGGGAAAGGTCAAAGGTTGGAGGTTCAATGTATTTTTGACCCATTCTGTTAACAATGAAGCTCTGCACTGCAGGAATCATCTGCAAAAATTACATAAGCATGTTTCGCTTTTATTTTAATTTCAAAAGTTGGTGGATTTTAAGAAGTGTGGGCATAATCAATGGGCAAGAAATAAAATGCACAAAAGATACCAGCCAGACAAACATACCAATTTAAGCCTGTATTTTAATCACTGCCGGACATGAAATAATTTCTCACCTTATCTGGTCTTAAACACCTCAGCACTATCAACTCTTGCATGCTGGTCAGCTTAGAGCCCAGAGGCTCTGGACATTTCTCTGTGTGTGGTGTTGCTGAGTCGTACAATTGTTTCCATGTGTTTGGCTATATAAGAAGTTGATTTTTTAATTATTCTCAGTGCTTTATAAATAATAATAGATACCTAGCTTATATAATAAAAAATGCAGTACAGTTAGCCTTGAGTGCCATTGACGCTAATCTAAAAGTTTCCTTACAGAGTTTTGCACCATCTCCATGAAGCCTTTGAAAGCAGGAAGCTGTGATGCCCTCACTATCTCCGACCATGATTTCTCAGACAGCCACAATGAGGCAGGATTAGCAAAAGGATTTTCTAAGGCCACACCCCCTGTGAGCAGAAATCTCCATTCTTGATCATCCACTTCTCCTCTTTACAAATACAATAAAAAAGATCAGTTAATTTTGATGATTATTGATCCATACAAATATAAATTTATTTTGTTTACCTTGCGCAGATTCATTTGCAGAAAACTGAACAAAAACAAAGTAAAAATAAAAACATTATAATTAAAATACAAATATAAAGCTAGGAAACTTAATTAATTGTTATGATACAAATACATGCAGATACTCTGAGATCACCATATAAAACAAAATTCTGAACGGATGGGGTAAAAACAATGAAAATTTTGAAATCTGCAATGATTTTAGTTTAGTTTTAAGTTGAAAGGGGATATTAAATTCTTGAACCATACCCAAAAAGGGTGAAGATTTACGTAGACTTGTTTAATACGATACCGGTAAAACAATTTTATTTTATTTTTCAGTAATTTGTGCCTAATAATTTGAGCATTATGCATTCTCCAAATATTTTATTCAGCAGCATTATATTTTACTTAAATTTTTTATAATTTTCTGAATTAATAGTTTAATTGTAATGAAAAAAAAATACTGATCCTTAATGAAAATATGTTATAAAGGCAGCATTTTATTAGCTTTTTTCAGTATTATTTCTTAAATTAGCAAGTGGGCTTGGTCCCATAAAAAGCTCTTTAAATATCTTAAACTTATAGAAAGAACACACAATCTACTGACATTAACATTTGGCCACCCACCTGCCCTTTGCTAAGCCAATGCACAAGAGAAATGAAAAGAGCAGCTTGTCCTTCTCAAACAGTGATCTGCAAACATTCTTGTAGATGCTGTAGGTGAAGTGACTGTTCAAGTTCTCAATTCTTTCCTCAAGCACAGTTGATCGAGAACTATTCACAATAGACTGTTAGAAATACAAATTATTTACTTTAAAAAAAATTATTTAAAAGTAGTTACTAAAACAATTGCATAAAAATTAATAGAAATATTTTTTTGCTTGATTTTCATCCCAATTTGAAAACACTATCTGTGCAGCTCAGTAAAATAAATTAACTGCCAGCCCTGTAAAAAAATTAGTTCCAATTGTCTTATTTAAAAAAACAAAGACGACTTGTTAAAACTCTGCTCGCTTTGATCAAAAGCTTTTTCATAATTTATAGTTAATCTATCTACGTACCACATTTCCAGTACTACCCCACCTCAAGAAATAACTCACACAAAATATTATTCTTTTAAGCACAAGCCACAATAAGAGTATCTCGGCAACCAACACTAACCTGCAGGTATAAATTAATGAACCAGGTCAACGAGTACTGGTACATGGGGTCAATATTTGCCAGGTCAGATATTGTGAAGAAAAGCATACTGCCATGCTTGGCAACCTGGATAAAGAATACAAAAAAAATTAGCTCAATATGTTTTTCTAAAGTTGTATAAAATAATTAAATTGTATAGGATTTTGTAATTCAAGCTGTATTGAAAAGTTCTTACGCTTGGTCATCCTCATTGCCATTCTTTTAACCACTGGATCTTTAAAATCTTTCACAAATTTTATGCATAACAAACAGAATGAACTTCAAATGTATAGAGATGCAGCTTGGTCTATTTACTAAACTAATTGTTCATCAAGATTTTGTTTAAAAATATACTGACCCAGAATGGTCAACAATATTAGAACCCCTCTCTGTTGAAGGTTTTTAGAATGCCCTGAGGCTGCATTACTTTTCTCATGGACCGTTTATGCATCATTTTATCCCATGTTTCAACAACCCAAACATGAAACTCTTACTGGCTTATAACCATTCCTTGTTACATCTATCTCCTCTTCAGTTTTAGTGGCTACTTGTTGCTTCTCTGATATTTCTAGGGATAGAATTTTGCTGGAAGACAAGATCTCAATGGCAGTTTCATCTTCAAGAATATTACCCTGGGGAAAATTGATAAGATATTTTTTTTTCTAAATGAAGGTACTTAGGTGGTGGGACATAAAAATTTTGTAGTTGAGCCTCGTGCCATAAATCTACCTAATATATGAAAATAAAAAAGTTGTTCAACTTTACTTATAAAAATAAAACTGAGGTAAAGGGAGTTCTACAAAACTAGGAGCAGCTATGATGTTGAACCTGTGATGTTGATAAAACTTCTAAAATTTTATCTTCAATATCTTTGAGCTGATGTCTGTTGTGAGCACTTTCGATGATCAGCTTGTGCTTCTTCTCCTCCAGGTCAGGTTTCTCCTTAGCGGCAACAAGACCTAAAAGCTGGTCTTCCAGACCCAAGGGAGTAATCATGAAGTTAAGTAGGGTCACCTGAGAAAGAATATCATGAATATTAAATTGAGGGAATCAGAAAATACAGACTGTTATAACCAGATTTCCGATGTGTAAATACTTATTTTTGATAAACAGAAGTTGATTATAATTATTTTTTTAATTATTAGGACTCTCCAACTCAAAATTTTGTGATAATAAAAAAATAAATAATATTGATAATTATAATCAAGACAGTGTAATAAAAAATTATTGGTAGCAATGATATGTATCTAATAATCTATATACTGGTCCGTTTAATCTGATGAAAGAAACAGGGAATTCTCAGGCATTCAAAGCATACGATAAGTAGAAACTGAAACTAATTACATTGTAACTGACCTTAACAGACACCTCAGGTAGGTAGTGTGGATTCCTCATGCATGTTGTGATATAAAACTTGAAGTCTCTGCTGTACTCAATGACAGAGTCTCCTAATCTAATGTATTCTAAATTATTCTGGTGAGAAAATTGGTTTCACATTATTTAAATAAAGATAATAAATTACTAAGACAAGGATTCTCTCCTTAACAAAACAAAACAAAACTATGTTATTTTAAGGAAAGTTGTTTTGTTAATTTATTTCTATATACAAAATTGTTTTTAAAAATTTGTGTTAAAAATTACCGGAAAATCAGAAATGAAAATGATTTTACCAGGGCTTAAAAAAATATACTATGTTTGACTTAGCAACGGGGATGCTTGAGATTTTATTGCTAAAGCTATACTTAATAATGCAGGTTACAAAAAATGTTGAACCAACTTGTTTAAAAGTCTGTCTTAGTAGAATTGATTCTAATATGGGATCAAGCTCTTCCCCAATGTTTTCTAATAGACATGGGTTGCCAAACTGGAAGAAAGGAAAAATGAGATAGTTTTAAAATATTTATGCATTAAAATCACTGAAAATAACTTTTTAATAAGTAAATGAGCACACATTTAAACAGTAATTAATAGCAGATACTTTTGCAAAAAGAAAATCAATTCAATTTATATTGTAGGCTACTTGCACAGGCAATCAACTTTGGTCATCAGGATTAGGAAAGAAAACATAGCCAAAAAATTATAAAAATAATTTGCCAGCTTGAATAGAGTAAGCCTAATACCATTTTGGATCTAATTTTTTGAGATGCTTCCATGCTCATGATAAGGGCATATTTCTACTGAAAGTCTCACAAATATTTCTACTAAAGTCTCACCAATATTTCTGCTGAAAGTCTCACCAATATTTCTATTGAAAGTCTCACCAATATTTCTACTGAAAGTCTCACCAATATTTCTACTGAAAGTCTCACCAATATTTCTACTGAAAGTCTCACAAATATTTCTACTAAAGTCTCACAAATATTTCTACTAAAGTCTCACCAATATTTCTATTGAAAGTCTCACCAATATTTCTATTGAAAGTCTCACCAATATTTCTACTGAAAGTCTTACCAATATTTCTGCTGAAAGTCTCACCAATATTTCTACTGAAAGTCTCACCAATATTTCTGCTGAAAGTCTCACTAATATTTCTACTGAAAGTCTCACCAATATTTCTACTCAAAATATCACCTATATTTCTACTCAAAGCATCGGCAATACTTCTACTCAAAATATCACCAATATTCCTACTCCAAGTATCACCACATACAATGAGATCAGTAATACTATTTATGTAGAGTGTTTACCTGTATACAGTTCTCCAATGACCTCAGAAAGTTTGGGTTGCTGAGCTTAATTATCTCCAGCTTGTTGGCCTTTTCCATATTTTTGATCCACTTGTTGGCCTGACCTTGGGGATCAATCATCAGAGGCCAGCGATTGGCAAAAGTCACAATGATGGCATTGTCTACGGAGTATCTTTGAAGAAATATGTTTAGATTTTGTTCAGCCTTACCCAGTGTATTAAAAAATTGAGCAATCTTAAAATGTGTGTTTTAATGATAAGTTAAACTGTGTTTGCCGCTTTAAGTGATTAATGGTGAGGTCAAATGTATTTCTTCTATTGGAGAGCCATTGAAAGGTAATCTAAACAAAATTATTAAATAATAAGTAGTCAGTTTCTGTCAATCATTTAAAACAAGAAAGTAACAATCTTGATCCTTACTGATCAGCTGGTAGACCTGCAATCTGCCAATCTCTAATTTTAACTGGGTCACCCAAAGTGACAGAGAGGGAGAACGTATCAGACACTGGAATGTTCTTCTGTCTGCACAAATGGAACCAGGCTTGAATGCAGCTCTGTAAAATAAACAAGTAAAAAAACCTGATTGGTCAGTAGATTTCAAAAAAAAAAATCCATTTATCAACTATAACCAGCATTTCACACTAAAAAATCTTTTTTTTTTTAAATCTCAAAGAATAAATTTAAGGAAAACTATGAGGCAAGTTTATTTTTATATGGAGATTCAAGGATAATGTTACATACCTGTCTGAAATCCAGTATAAAAGTACCGAGATAAGCAACAACACCAGCGGACAGAAGAACATCCCCAACAATGTTATCATATGTTGCATTTAGCTCTTCCACGTTCTATAGAGATAAATAAATATTGAAACACACTGATAGGCAGAGTTAATGTAGATGGGTTGAATACATTGATAGGCAGAGTCAGTGGCATAGCAAGGGGGGTGCGGGGGGTGCGGACCACACCGGGTGACACCATTTTAGGGGTGACACCCAACTGAAAATTGCATATTTACAGAGCAATAACCGCTCGGTCTAACCGAGATTCATAAAAGGATGACCGATCACACATACATTTTTTCACAAATGTAACCAATAGAAATGCGTGCTTTATTAAAAGTTCAAGGTTGATGCGTCAGAAATGAGACTACCCTATCTTTAGGTCAGATTATTTGTCGTTAATGTTACAGCAACAACATCCAAATTTGTTACTGGCTTTGATAAGTGGTGGAAACTTAGCCCAAAATTACAAAATCATCCGATGAGCACCTAAGTTTCCTTGAAAAGCTGAAAGCATTGGCAGCTGGACTTAGGATACACAAAAACAATTGATTGATGCCTTAAATATTGCTGTGATGGACAGGGAGAAGGAAAAAAAAATGAAGGGAAATCCTGCACAGGTTGCTGGACATCACATTGTATGTTGCAAAATCTGGAATTTCGGGGCCACAACGAAGATGAATCTTTACATGAAACTTTCTTGAAATGATTGAGATGCTATCTAAGTATGACCCAGTGCTAAAAGAGCATCAAATGAGACTAAAGAGAAGTACATCTACAACAAAAAAAAAACCATCCGCATCTTACTTTTCACCACAAACCCAAAATAAAATAATAAATGTCCTTGCTAATCATGTGAAGGAGACTCTTATCATTGATATAAAGGCTGCGAGGTATTTTGGAATTATGTTCGAAAGTACACCTGATATATCCCACACTGACCAGATGTCTGAGTGATCAGATATGTGAAAATTTACAATGGGAAAGTTGAAATGAGAGAAGTGTGTGTTTTGTTGTTTTTTTCCCCGTTAAGAGGGAAAAAAGCTGATGACCTCAGTTCTGACATTCTTACAAATGTAAAACGTGATGGGCTAGACATAACGATGTTCAGAGCTCAGGGTTACGATAATGCTGCCAAAATGTCTGAAATCCATTGAGGTGTTCAGGCCATTCTTAAAGGAACAATAAGAAAGCAATTTTTAAAGGATGTGTGGGCCATTCGCTTAACTTGTCTGGTCAACACTCTTTTGCAGAGAATGCTTCATGTATTACATTATACTTCTTCGCTTGATCCACTCACCGATGGAATGTTCTAATTGAACACACTGGAATGACTTTGAAAAGACAGTCAACAACGCATTGGAATGCTCATCGTGTTAAAACAGAGAAATATGAGTTTGATGAATGTGTGGCTGCGATTGAAGCTCTATGTAACCCTCTTGAAAATTTGGATACAAGAGGTACATCACAAGGTCTTTTACATGCTGTCTGTGATTTCACGTTTATCTGCTACCTTACCTACACGAGGAAGTTAATCTTACACAGCAGTGTCTGCAGACTAAAGGCTGTACTCTTGACAAAGTAGTGACAAACCAAGAGGCCTTAAGATTGTTTCTGAACGAGAAGCGCTGTCACTTGGTGGAACATGCTTTTGAAAAGGCACTTTTAAAATTGGACCAATATGGAATTTCGGTAAGAGAAGATGAAGGTTTAAGAAGAGAATGTCAGGAGAACAATTAATAAATGCTTGACTCTCTCTGCGAGAAGAAAACAGTAGGAAGATGTTGGAGTGCATTGGTAACTTTCTTTGTGAACTACAGATCAGATCATATTAGCGATCCAGGAAGTAGGAGATATGGTTGGGCTGAACAACCCAAGAGTTTAGTATCAGCAATTGAAGAATAGTTATTGGTGTCCTAAAGGCAGCTGATATTGAATTTCACAATGTCATGGTCTGTATTTGATGTTTTTAAATCATAGCTGAATGGGACTTCCTAGAATCTCTTTCAATACTCTCGTTAAGCCTTCAATTATTTCTTACGATATGTGTGTCTTGTGGCCTCGTGTGAGCAGAGCTTTTCAAAACTAAGGTTTATCCAACATGGGTAAGTCAAGGCTTTCTGATCTGGAGCTGCTATCAATTGAAGGTGATACAGTTAATGCCATTGATTTTGGTCAAGTGATTAACATGTTTGCAGCTTAGAAGACCAGGAAAGGAAAATTTTAAATAAAGTAAATTTTATGTAAAAATAACTATAACTTATTGTTGTTACAATTATTAAATACATTGACATCATGACCTTCAACTAATGTGTTTTTTTTTCTTGTCATTGTTATACTGTGGACTTAATTTAACAAGAAGAAATCCAATAAGGAAGTTTGGGGGGAGGGGGGTGACACCATGAATTTACCGCACCGGGTGACACCAACCCTAGCTACGCCACTGGGCAGAGTTAATGTCCAGTTTGAACACATTGATAGGCAGAGTTAATATAGATTGGTTGGCCAGTTGAATGGCATTGGCTGGAAACCAGTTTTGACAGGATTCAAGATCAATGCTCCAGACCCATTTTATCAGCTCCACCATCCTCATTTCTTTAAACTGCAGCGGATAGATCTAGGGTCCGGATAGATCTAGGGTCCGGATAGATCTAGGGTCCGGATAGATCTAGGGTCCGGATAGATCTAGGGTCCGGATAGATCTAGGGTCCGAAACATTCATTAACATTTTGTTTGAATCAATGATTTACATGATAAAATAAGGTAGCCTGGTTGTGCTTGGAGGATGGCTTCCTCAATGATACAAAATTCTGGGTTTAATGAAATAAGATGGAACTGTGTTACCTGTGTCCACCTATCCTTTTCCCCACCAAGTCCACTGATGAGTTTATTGGCTCTGTCTATTTTAATCTTGGTCAACTCAATGTTATCTTCCAAGTTCTGTCAATAAAATGGTGAAATATAAATGATGAGCTATGGCTCAAGACAAAATACAAGTTTATAGCAGCTCAAGACAAAATACAAGTGTATAGATGCTCAGGACAAAATACAAGTTTATAGTGGATCAAGACAAAATACAAGTTTATATTAACCAATTTCATTTAATGTCTTCTCATTTCTTTTTTAAAAAATCCAAATATTTTGGACGTGCAAGATGAAAAAGATCATAACTCAAGCTGGTGCACCATTAAAAAATATAGCCAGAACTACTTTAAAAAAAGACTACTGTTGTTGCAAACTCTCTTTTACCTTCTTCTCAGTCTGTTTCTGTGCAAGGTTATCATTGAGTGCCTGCAGCTTGTCTGCTACCAGCTTCAGCTCAGCTTGTTTGATTTTCAGTTTGGCCATTTGTACAGACAGTACAGCTTCAGCTGCCAAGAGGCTCTCTTTCTTTGGTGCAACAACCTGTGGGATGAAGTTTACCAGTGTATATTGAGGACTACTTAAACAACCTTAGGATGAAGTTTACCAGTGTATATTGTGGACTACTTAAACAACCTTAGGATGAAGTTTACCAGTGTATATTGTGGACTACTTAAACAACCTTTGTGATGAAGTTTACCAGTGTATATTGTGGACTACTTAAACAACCTTAGGATGAAGTTTACCAGTGTATATTGTGGACCACTCATTTAGAAGACCAGCTTAAATTACAAGTTCACATAAAATTATAACTTTAAGAAAGATGAGAAGAGTTCATTATGTATTATTTTTCTGTAAACTTTTAATAAAGTTTTATTTTAATTTTTGTGGCAATCTGACTTTAAAAATTAGAGATGAAAAATTAGTCATCAAATTTTAATTACAAAAAAAAAATCTCAATTTTAGTGTTAAAAAAATTATGAGAAATCTGTGAGTCATATTATTTTTAACATTTTAAATACTAAGATTACTAAAATATAAATGAATTATTGCAAAATTACTGTGATTAAAATCAATAATTACCAGGTAAGTCAACAAAAAAAATGCCCTAGTTCAAACTACTCACTTTGACAACACTGTCATAGACATCAATGGCTTTGACCCATTTACACAGGCCTTCACAAGCAGAGGAGACATTTTTAATGATGGCCGGATCAAACTCTTTGTTTGTGATGTACTTGTCACGGATCTTCTTAATGATAGGGGCAGGGATGTGGTCTTTGTCATATTCTTTCAGGGACTCCAGGAACTTCAAGTCACCAAGCATCTGTAATGGCCGATTGGGCATCTTACATTTAAATCACAATTAAATGACATTTATTCTCAAGAAGATACTAAAATTAATAGTTATCCTAACAAGTTGAATGTAACAATTTCTTAATAGAGCAGAGTTGAATAGCAGGGCTAAGAAAGTCTTTGTGTAGAAAGTTAAATTCTTTATCAGCAATGTTGTGGTTAGCTTAAAAAATATTGTGAAACATTTGTAATGAGTTTTTTAAACTCTACAGAGGTGGTTTTTCACTTGTGGATCGCAACCCCTTTGGGGGTCCAATGACCCTTACACAGGGATTGCCTGAGGCCATCGGAAAACACATATTTATGAAGAGGCAACGAAAATAATTTTCTGATTGGGGGGTCACAACATGAGGAAATGTTAAAGGGTCACGGCATTAGGAAGGTTGAGAACCACTGCTCTACACAAATGTGCATATCTGTAATGCAGCACCAATCACATAGAAGGATAGTGATCTCACACAAAATGTCAAGAAACATTCATCATAAATAAGGATGATCTAACCAATTTAATGAAACTATGTCTAACCTTCCTGGCAGCTGGCCAGTAGTCTTCAATCTGTCGGCCACTTGGATCATTTTTCTTGTCTGGTTTTATGCCCTGCAATATAATGTGATCTTTACAAGCTGCATGTTGTTAATAAAAAAATTGAATATTTTGGCTTGAAATAAATAAACAAATAATGCTTTTTACCTTAATGTACCATAATTTTAAAAATATTATTTTGGACTAGGATGTTCTGGATCTTAGTATATTTTACCCCCAGTTTGTTGTAAATCTGTCTTAAATTTTCCAAATATAAGTAAATTTTAACATCTTTAGTTTTCATTAACCAGAATAAAATAATGCCTTTCCACAATTCTTATGACTTAGGCATTGTTAAATGACAAACCTTCATGATACAGATGGATTCCATGACCAGTTTTACACCAGAGGGCGGGTTGGTCATTGTCTTGACTATGGTGATGTCATTCTGTTTTAAGGTGTCTAGAGCTGCTACTGCTGCATTCATGGCAGGCATGGCAATGGAAAGTTTTTCTTCACAGTCAATCTATAGTGGTGGTGAATAAAAAAATTAGATGTCAATGTGGTTGTCATGTGTATCAAAGATTTAAATCTATTTAATCCATAATTTAGTTATCAGGCTTTTGCTAAATTATTCAATCCTAAGGGTAAGGAGTATTAAATCATTTTTTTCTTATAAAAAAATGTCAATTTGAGAAATCGCAACTGCATTCATTTATTACCTACGGTCAATTTTATAAATATATCAAAGGTAAATATGTTTTGTATAGCTTTTAAAGCTTGTATATTAAAGTTTTAAAAATATATGGCAATGTGATCCATAAGAATTAATTTCCATGTTTGAAACGGTCAGTTGGATCATCTTGCTTAAATTCCAGCACAACCCGCTACCTTGATGGCTTCGGCTTCTTGAGCAGCTTTGTTAGCCACCGCCTCATCCACTTCTACTATTCTCTTGATGTCCTCTACTTCTATGGTCTCTCTCTCGATGATTCCAATGAGCTCCTCTGTCTCCTGACTAGTTTCAATAAGTTTAGGTTGTAAGTCCAACAGCTCCACTTGCATCACGTTGATCTGTTCGATCAAAGAAAATATCACAAGTGAAAGGGGAATGCTTAAATACACATGGAAAAAATTTGCACATTAACGCTGTGAATGCAGCACTTTTAACATACATTACTTACTTTAAAAAGTCGATACGCACCGACAATATACAGATGAACATACGTGCTACATAAGACAGTTTTACCTGATTCTCTGAGAACCTAAGCTTCTCCAGGCCGACATTGTACCTATTTTTCAATGTGAGAATCTGTAGACGTTTCTTGCCCAGCAAAGCTTTGAAAGTCTTGATCAGCTCCAGATAGGATGTCGGGGTGACATAATTGACACGCCTCAGAACATCGTAGTATCTAATGCAGGTCAGGACAGAGGTTAGCAAAATGACAATTACTTTTATTCTCATCCAAAAATAATTCTACGAAAACATTTTTTTAACCAAATCAAACTGGCAAATTAAGAGCAGGTGACATATTAGAGTTTTTAATGAGGCTTAAGAGATTTTGAAGTGTGATTATTTATGAACGTCATGATTAAAACAATTCTGAGCACACACAAATTTAATGGTTTTTAGAAGCATCAGAGCATGGAAATAAAATAAAATCTTTACTAACAGTGACTGGTTTACATTTTTTAAACATTTACAGTTGTTTCACTGAATTAGATTTGGAGATAAATACTGATGTTGTCAGGGTTTGTTCATTAAAGTATCTGTTTGTTCATTAAAGTATCTGTTTGTTAATTAAAGTATCTGTTTGTTCATTAAAGTATCTGTTTGTTCACTAAAGTATCTGTTTCAACTCAAAAACTTAAATAGCAACTTTTAAATGGGTTTAAGGTGACTCAACTTTACATCAGTTTTCTTGTCTGAAATTAAAAATAATTTTTTCTTTTTACAAGTTTATGACTTGGTTTCTTGTCTTACTGAATGGTATTTATATAAGATTTAAAGCCATAAATCCTGGCCTTACTTCTGAGACAAAGCTCTGACACTTTCATGGAAATGTTGACACATGCTGACCGTCTGGTCTCTGATCTCAGTGGACATTTCAACCTCATCCAGAAATTTGTTTGCCACCAACTCAAGGGCATCTTCAGGCCAGGCCTGGACAATCAAATAAGAAACAGCACAATTATTCCATGTGAGGAAATGATGATACATTTTTAGCCTTGAACTACTCAGTGTCATCTACATAAAGTTATCCTTGTCACATCTGACCTAAAACCAACCAATATCATCTAAGTAAAGTTACTGTTGTCACATCTCACCTTGAACCAGTCAATGGTACAGCAGTTAATAAGGGAAGGAAACATGCGCAGTCTGTTCCTGAAGGCTTCCCCAATAGGGCTGAATGCCAGCACAACATGAAGGTGTCTCCTTATTCTCTCTATGAACTTGTTGTACATATTTAGTGGGGTAAATTCTATCTGTGCATTTTCCTTCTGGCAGAGGGTTTGCATCTGATTCAGAGGGAAGAATTACAATTTATCAAAGTAAGAAAACAACCTTTTTCAAATACGGAACAAAAAATGAATAAATCTATTTGCAAATTTATTTGTTAAGTTAAATAAGCAGAAATTCATAATGGCCAACTTTATTTTTATTTCTCATTCATATTTCCGTGTTTACATAATTATTTTTCAGCTTTTTGAGGATAAATTTTGAAACTTTTGCATTTGATTCTTTATTTCTGAGTGATATAGCGATATAGCTATAAAAAAATATTTGCATCAGTCACACGGTCATCAGTATACATATATTTTTTTTACCTTCTCAATGATTTCAAGACGCTCTTCATTTTCATACAGGTTGGGAATATCTCCTGTGTTTAACATCATATTGACATCTTCAAGGAAAGACTCATCCTTAACACAACAAAAAAACAACAATCAAATGTCATTTGTTCTTATTAATTCGGATGGCTTAGAATGAAAAGTAGAAATAGTTTTTATTTTGCATAAGTAATTCAGAAACAGAAATTATACTAATGAAACATATTGATTTAAAGAAAGTGAAACAAATGTTACTTGACCATGAACAGATTCATCAATATAAAATTGAAATATAATGTTTAGAAACACCAGTATTTCTGATGCTGACAAGTACCAATATTTCTGATGCTGAAATGCACCAATATTTCTGATGCTGAAATGCACCAATATTTCTGATGCTGAAATGCACCAATATTTCTGATGCCGACATGCCAGAAGATATGCTACCTTTATCTGATGGTCGCCAAAGAGAAAAACTGTTGAAACCCCAAGGTCACCCGCCCTTCTCATCATTTTCCTCAGATCGTCCCTCCACTCGTTAGCCGAGTAGTTTTTGGTAATTTCAATTTGAAAGAGGTCAAAGTCTGACATGAATGCTGCTAGTCGCGTCACACTCTGGCGTCCACTCCCACCAATGCCTGAAACAATTATATAGTATAACATTTTATCATTTAGTAATAAAATCTGAGACTTTCAATACATACCATTTCTCATATTATATAAACAATTATTCATTAAATGTGCCGTCAGTAAACTGTCATTTAATCAAATTCATCTAACATATCAATTTTTTTTCCAACTGTTATTCATTAGGCCAATTCATATAAAATGTGAAAAATGTGTTATTTTGTATGCACTAAAGTAGAATTTGTGCAATTTAATTTCAACATTATCATGCAAAAAACAAATCCTGTTTATTGGTGTTGTAAATAAACTTTGTGTAGAGATGTTTAACTTATAATAATTCTCTTCAAGATTATTCCTATGTGATAATGACCTACCAACTAGAAGGCAATGGCCATTGGGTTGTTTCAGCACGCGACTTATTCGAGAAATGTGTTCTATAGCAAAGCGGAACATAACCAAATCCATTGGTGCTTTGCTGCTGAGGTTATAGTCTTCAAGGTAATGCTCCACATTCTGAGGGTTGTGTCATAAATAGTAGAGTCAGCAACCAATGTAAAATTGTTCATTAAAGTTTCCAGTAAAAGTGCCCTGTCATTGCTAGAACAACTTATCAATAGTTTAGCCTAGAACCTATTGATTTAAATCATTTGATACCAATAATACCAAAAAAGCCATGGGACAAGAATGGGGCATTCTGAGGGTTGTGTCATAAATAATAGTAGAGTCAGCAACTTATGTAAAATTGTTCATTAAATTGTCCAGTAAAAGTGACCTGTCATTGCTACATCAATTCATCAATAACTTAGCCTAGAACCTATTGATTTAAATCACTTGACGGCCAGTAACACCAACAAAGGCATGGGACAAGAAGAACTGACCTCCCTAAGCTCATCCAGATTCTGGATCTCATCATAATGACGTTCATCTCCCTTGGATTTGGCAATGAAGTCACCAAAGATAAGGGTTCGAATGTCCTCATCAGCAATTAATTTTCCAGGCTCAACAATGTGACTAAAGAGTGTGTTCAGCTTTTCCTTAAAGTGTACTTCGATTCCTAGCTGTATGTGTGGAAGAAATTTTGCAGAATTAATATTGAAACAAATATCCACATTAATTCTATTGAATTGATTTTTTTAGAACCAGAGGACCAATAAACATTTTTTTTTAAAAATCTGATGATATAACAGGCATTTTCTTTTAAATGTGGTGCCATAAGGAGAATCTTACTTTGACCATTCTGAAGAACTGCTCACGATCGTCGTCATCAACTAGTCTGTCATAGAAGACACGGTACACTTCATGAATCCAAAGTCTTGCGATTTTTTGGTTGCCATCCACACCAGTTGATACAAGTGATGGTTTGAGCAGCAGGATGCCCTATAACAGAATGAAAGAATTATTTTTGTCCGCATATAATAGTTCAATAAACTTTACAAGATAATAATAAGGCATTCTTACCTGAACAACTCTAGCAAAATCTCTCAAGTTGAACAGATAATGGGACTTTGAGGGTGTTGGTAGGAACTTAATAATGGCCGTCAAGTATACATCCATTGTAGCAGCAATGATTATCTGAAATCAGCATGGATACCAAAACATTAGACTGAAGTGGGCAGATAAACTATTTATTATATTTTAAGAAGATAAAATATTGGATTAACACTAATGTAAAACTAAATTTTTCTAAAGTTAATACCAAAAAATTAATAGAAGTTTGACAAATTTTTGGATTCTGAGTAATCTATTCTCAATTGTTGAAAGAACCTATCATTTTTTTTGAGAAAAATATACTTCAAAGTGTATGGCCCACATTGTTATAGTCTTTATCTGATCAATTTTACCCGTGAGTATTTGCGTTGTGTTGTCTCATAGGCTTTAAAGTGCCAGTCAATGATCGGAGAGAATATATTTCTCATGGTTTCATCACTGAAACTTTCAATGCCGATGACGTTAAAGTGCCGTAGAAAACGTGGCGTCACAGTGTTCCTGCCACCACCCGGGGGACCCATGGCCGACAGCATGACAATGTCAACCAGGTGAAGCTTGCTGGTATCTTTCCTGAATAGCAGGTGAGTAATGTATTAGTGGTTTGCAAGAAATCATAAGTTTGCTACTGACCAAACAAAATACTCAGCCACATGACATTAGTCAAACAAAATATTGAGCCACATGACATTAGTCAAACAAACTATTCAACCACATGACATTAGTCAAACAAACTATTCAACAACATGACAGTCAAACAAACTATTCAATAACTTGACATCAGTCAAACAACTATTCAACCACATGACATTAGTCAAACAAAATATTCAAACACATGACATTAGTCAAACAAACTATTCAACCACATGACATTAGTCAAACAAAATATTCAACCACATGACATTAGTCAAACAAAATATTTATCTTCAAATAGGACAAATTCTGCAATATATTTTTGTCTGAAAAAAAAATATTTTAAAATGTTTGAGGGTGAAGCTTCCCTAATTTGCTATTTATAATATTATTATATTTTTATTGATGTTTCTATTTATTGTGATTCCCTGAGTCTTCAACCAGATTATCAACCATGGTCTTATTTTATCTGTTACTGTGTACATTAGGAGCAAAATGGCAAGAAACCTTGGCATTATTTCATAACACTGAAATGAATTCGGACACTGATCACCTGTCAAACCAAAATCTGTGATCAATCCACTGTCGCAATATTTCAATTGGTGGCTGTGCACCATATTTTTCTTTAGCTGGCATGTTCAGGTCATCAACAAAGACACACAATTTCTTTCCCACTGGGGGTCCGTACGTCCCTTTCTTTCTCCTGTCAAGTAGGAAAGTAAATTTGAAAATAAGACTAAATATTCACAATTAAACAAATAGAGTTACTTGATGTGTAAGCAAAAAATAAAAAAATATAATGAATATACATAATTATTAATGCATGTTAGTTTTTTTTAATTAAAAATTTTTAAACTTAAAAAAAAGAATGAAATGATCGTAGTATCTTTTATGGTGTGCAGTCAACTATGGGTTAATAAACTTGCATATAAACAAGAGGCAGCAATAGATTAGCAAAACTAAATTCCACATAAAATTATCAGCTGTCAGTGATGACTGGCACTTGTTAAAATTCTTACCTTCGTACCATATATTGACCAGCAGTCAGTGTTGAATGACACCACATGTTAAAATTCTCACCTTTGTCCCATATATTGACCAGCATTCAAGTGATGAATGACACCACATGTTAAAATTCTTACCTTTGTCCCATTTATTGACCAGCATTCAGTGATGAATGACACCACATGTTAAAATTCTTACCTTTCCAACTTGGAAAATATAATGTCTTGTGTTTGATTGGCTGACGTCTGAGCTGAGAAATTGATATTGTTGATGACATATTTGTCCCTGGGAAGCTGTAATAAATCAAGACAAAATTTTATCAGGACATACTATCAGAGACTTCATTTATTGGCTGCACCTACAGCAAGTTCATTGCACTTTGTATAAGTATTATTACTAGTATAATTTGTATTGGATTTTAATATTCTGATTAAATGTTCAGCACATTGTAGATTGAAACTGGCCTACCTCAAGAAGGTAACTGTTTGTGATGGCACTTTTTCCTGTGCCTGTGGGACCAACAAACAACAATGGTAATTCCTTTTGCAGGAAATGCTTCAGGAAGTAGCGTTGTCTCTCTGTTTCTACTGTGTTGATAATCAAGGCATTGATCTGAACAAAATATGGGGATATGTTTAGTAAGATGTGCAGAAAATGATCATTTTGAAAGCCTTGGATTTTCAGACATATTTGAAACGCCAATATTCATATAAGATAAATTAAAGTTTAAAAAAAATCACATCTTGTTAATTTAGTTTCATATAAATAAAATAGACTTAATTACCGGTACTAAACGTTTTAGTGGTATTAACACTTATTACTAATTGAAGGGCTCAAGGGAAAAACCAGTGAATGTCAGGGTTTGAGAGTTTTGAGAAAATTGAATTTAAAGTTTGAAAATTCCTCATAAAAGTATGAACATATCAAGATGTCTACATATTAATTTATTGACTACGCTGCTTTTTCAGTTGGACCTATCTATCATATTATTCTATTAAATGGAATGTAGCCACAAGGGAGATAACATAGAAATGTTGAAAACTGACATCACTGGTTTTTCCCTTGAACCCTTCAATTGGTTTTTTTTTAAATTCCTTTATTCGGCTTCAAAACCAAATTACATATCTTTATTTAATATAAAATAAATTTATATAAATTATTAGCACAAGTTGTGCAATAAATAGATGTGTCTTATTTCATTTATAATTTTTTTATTGATAAAATTCAAGTCAATTATACACTTTGAGTTATAAAGCTGTTAATTACATTTTCACAAAAAATGTGTAAGCATATTTGTAGTATGAATAATTTGTATGAGAATAATACATTCATATTGTTAATTGTATTAATATAGCTTCAAATTAATATTAGTTCTCAAAATATTTGAAATCTGAAGAATACATTCATGAGTTTTTATTGCATGGACACTTAAAACCTCAAGAAAAATTATTTGATAAATATTGTAAAAAAGCACTGAAATACAAGTCTAACATTTTCAATGTAACAGGATATACTACAATTTTTTAACCATTTTTTTCATTTTAAATGTAAGAAAAGACTATCTTTAATATAATTTTATTTTTTAATGTTCTGGCATACATAGTTTAAATAGCAAAATAAATAATACAATTTAAAGTGTAAAAAAAAAAAAAATTATGTAAATAAATTGACAATATTTAGAGCAATGCATCCTGGTTTTTGATAAATGGATAAAAAAAAATCACAACAAATAACTATAATGAATTTGGAAAATCTGGAAGATTATTTATATTTAAATTGAAACAGCAATTTTGTATTAAGTTAATAAAGTGATTAAATAGTAATTATTCCTTGAGCACATAGCTTGTGATTTGATTTAGTTTAATATGCTGTAATTATTTTATTAGCCTGAAAAGATAACTTCGTAAATCAATTCACAAAATGCAGATATAAAGGGTCAAGAGTTCAAAAGAATTCAACTAATTTAGCATTAAAGTTGTTGGTACAAACATTTCAATAATTTGTTCAATCATATTGACTGCATAGACTACATCACTGTGGATCAGTGGCTATGGAAATTAAAATATCTAGCACATACTAGTGATTGGGGGCAGTTTGTGTAGGTAAAATAACATATGACATTCTTTAAAGAACAGTGCACTATGGATCATCTCTCCGGGTCAATGCCATGTTAAATACTTGATGAATAATTCAGATTATTTAGTAAATTATGGAGACGTTACCGGCATACAGCACAAAAGGTTGGCTTAAATCTGTTTAAATATTTCATTTGACCTCTTGGTGATGCATGTTTAAAAATAAAGCTCTCATTATTTCCAGCATTAAAGCATTATTTATTGTGTACTGAGCAAAAATAAAAAGCCAATGAATATGGATGAGATATTAAATATATGTGTATTACTTGTGTGATTATCAATAGCATCAAATTGTCTGGCTATAAACGTCTGGAATATAATTTTAGTTTTGATTGCATGAGATACAGTAACGTGAACAGACAAGACATTACCATCACCAAAGATGCACAAAACAAAACACTTGTTTCTTCAATCTGGATTAAGCTGCCAATTTACAAAACTAATTGATTTCTATATTAACCAGATGCTTGTGTTGGGGTGAACCTGGATTTAATTTGCAAATGGATATTTTTTTTTTAGAAATACCGTTAGAAAAACAGCTGAATATAATTTAATGTAAGTGATTTGCAAACTTTAACCAAGGTTTTGAAAAGTGCATTGTAAGGCAGGTAACCCAGATTAAAGGAAATTTTCTTTAGACAAATCCATTTTTATTACAAGTAGGATTGCTGTCAGCATATAAACAATCTCCACAAGGCAGCTGCATATTATGTTAGTCTTACCATAATCCTTAGTTCCTTGTCTCTCTGTGATGGAAATGTAGGCAATCATTTTTCCGCATAGGCATTGGGTTTTATTTAGCAACATATTTTGGACCAGTTGTCGTAATTTATTTGATCTCCTTTTTTTTTTTACACATTACAAGAAAGAAGCCTTACACTACATAAAAAATCACTAAAAAAAAGTTAAGAAACTATGTACTCAGTCAAATTAAATTTAAATGATTCTTGGACTTCTAAAGTGAGAAATATTCAAAATAAAAAATTATCCTTCTGATTGTTTTCTTCTGAAATTAATTACAAATGGTAAAGAGAATTCACTTCTAAAAGTAAAAGTAAAAGAACATTATTCAAATATTATGAATATAAAAAATGACAACTATATTAGTAAATTGTAAAAGAAATTTATAATATTATATACAAATTATAGAAAATTCAGGACACAAGAGTTAAAAGCAGGAATTGGTAGAGTGGTAGTTGCATTCTAGTAGTATGTTCAGAAATGTTAATCTTAAAATAAAGACATGAAATGCTAGACTAACCAAAAAATTCAATTTAGTATAACTCAACTAATTGTCAAGTAGGAATTGTTGTCACCACTTTAAAACCCAGCTGTTTCATTACTGGGTAGTAATATTAATAATACATTTCATGTCATTTCAAAGTGATCTACTCCATAAAATAAATTTCTTATTTAAGTCTAAAAAATCTCTGTAAACAGTTTTCCTTTCTTTTTTTTCAAACATAGATTATCTGTTACATAGAAACATTATACAATATTTTACGTTACCATGTCTCCAGTTGTGAAGGAACTCTGTGGCTTGGTCTTGATAAGAGGAAAAGGATATTTAAAAATAAAACTAGAATATTGCCCAAAAAAACATCCACACAAAAAATGTTCAATTAAATCTACAAAAAAGATTTTTGCCTTCATACATCACTATCAGCATTTAAACAGACCATTGGCTTCTGATTGATATACTGATAGTTACTGAAAATTTTAAGATCCTAAAAGGATTACACTTAAAAATAATTATGTAACTTAAAAAGATATTTGATTTCTAATTCCAGATTTCATGGTTGGATCTAGGGTATCAAAAGGTGAATTGGCAGACAAGGTAAAACTGTGTCAGTGAACTGCTTGGTTACCTGAATAGACTGAAAAGAAACATAAAATCCACCATTAATATAATGACTTTTTGTCTCAGAACACATTTTTAAAGAAGTTTTATCTATTATGCAGGCAAAATGTACAAATTTTGCATATTTCGCAATTTGCTTGTAACATCTACCTTAAAGTATATTAAACAAAAATATAATTAAAAAATCTTCAATACAAAGTCTCCAACTTTAGAACAGCTATTGCAAGTATACATCTTAAAAACATATGTCATCTCCCAATATTTATATGGTCAAAACGATAAGCTTCACAAAAGATAAACTTTACCTGGGCTTTTTCATCAATGTTGACTGTCTTCACAAGATTAGACCATGGACTCCAAGATCCAAACTGCCTACGGATGAACACATGATCATAAACTAAACCTTTCTTTGGAATGAGAACTGCTCTGGGAAACTTGAGATCCTTTGGTCTAAAAGTAGAGTTGATGGAAATTGTTTATTTTACGGACTAATTTTACCTCATGAAATCACAAAACATAAATTATGGCCAACATGTTAAGAGTCTCGCTTCCTGCTAGGCCAGTAAAAAAAGATCAACAGTACAAAGATGGGCCGAGAAAAATCAACAATACAAAAAACAACTTTTAAATTCTGGAAATAAGTGTTTTTTTATCTAGATAACATGGCTTAATAAACAAAACACAAATCAGATAGATCTTATTAAGATTTCAAATTTCTTTTAAAGGAAATGTACATCAGTCATAAAATAAAATACTAATCAGTATTGGTAGAACCAGTGTGTTTACCAAACAATTCCACGAATTTTTCTCAGCATTTATGAATGTAAACTGACTTAAATTATTTAGAAAAGTATCAGAAACGTACTTAGGATATTTATCTTTGCTTCCTTCCATATTGCATAATTCTCTGAAAAACTCATCAAACTTGATACGAGAGTCGTAATCTAAAGTTGAACCAACCGACCATACCACTGAGAACAAAAAGTAGGCTACTAGCATATTTGTGCGCTCCTCTTCCAGCTTTTTCTCATTCATCCCCAAAGCAGGTTGCTCTTCCACTGCAGATTGTTCTCCTTCTTTGACGTCTTCTTCAACAAAATTATCCTCATCTTCATCATCCTTACCGAGTTTCCTTAAAAAAAAAATGTCATGAACCAGAACAAAATAAACTGCTGAAACCAGAAACCCATGTCCATATACAAAAATATTAGCGATCGGATAAACAGCAATATAACTGTGATTAATGTCAGTAGCATGGCTCAATTAATGACAACATAACTGATGGTGACATACTTGACTTCCTCCATAAGACAAGAGTAAAGCTTGAGTAAACTTGCTGTGTAGTGCATTGGGTGCAGCTGTAGCAGGTGTTTGCATGATCTGGCCACAAATGTCAGGCAGGGAGGCAAGATCCACTCAAACAAGAGCTGTCAAAAATAGTAGTTACATCAAGTTCGAGAACGAAATAATGTTTCAGGTTAATCAACTGGTGATAACTAAGAATAATGCACAGCATATAAAAGCAATTTTTAACAAATAGCTCCAACACCAAAGAACAAATAATTTTAAATCTTATCTCAAGTATGATGAAGTTTCTTAAAATATAGTGGAGAATATAAATAGTGAATGCAATTTTTATATATAAAAATTAGGCGATTCTTTAAGTATTCCAGTAATCCAAAATCTTTCCAGGAAGAATAATCCAAATTAAACATTTCTATGGGGTATGACCACAAACGAAAAAAAACTATTTTCGGAGACAAAAGATCTAAATGTGTTGGTTTGTATCACATCTGCTTTCATATCATTTGTAGCTGCTATGGTTTGGCTAAGAAAACATGGATTCGTTGATGACATCGTCAATTGAAAGGAAAGAAACTATTCAGATTAAAATAATAAATTAAAAAAAAAAAATGAAATAATTTGGGCCTGCTTTAAGAAGCCCTACTCAACTAACTGGGATCAAGTTTATAAACAACAAACATGAGTTTGGAACAAACCCAAAGGGATTTATAAACCATGAAAATAATAATATTTGTATTGGATTTTTTTTAATTTACATATGTAATAAAGAGTCAATGAAAAATATTAAAAAGAGATATAATTAAAATAAAGATAAAACAGCTCTTGGAAGTGAAGGCATGGTTTGGTGTTTGGCAAACCTTTATCATTTCTCTTTGGTCTTTCTTTAAAGAATCTGGCAGTTCTGTCACCATCCATGATGTGACCAGTGGTTCCCAACCAAGCTGTAGGGGGTCCATGTAAATCATCCCACATCTGTGAAGACAAACCGTTCAGTCTTATTTTGTCTTCATGATTACTAAATCTCACAGGGAAGTGTTTAAGACAAGATTTCAAAAAGATGTAATCCATTCATTCATTTGAAATGTTTCCAATAGACATTTCAGAAGCTATTTATAATATAACTCACCTGCTCACAGTTGCAGGAGATGCTTGTTCTAAATCTTGTGGCTCAAAGATCATATTCTGTGTGTTGTTCATTTGAATGATTTCTCCACTCATTAGGCACAGCTGCAAATATATCAATAGAATTAATTAAGGCAACCATGCTACAATTTTCATCTACCAATGAAAAACTGGAAAAGTACTATTAGACGGTAGATTACATCTTTGTATCTGATGTTTAGTTGACACAGACCAAAGGTCTTTGAGTCTATACATGTAGAACATTGCCAAGTAAGAAAGTAATTTTGATTACCTTTTTGTTGTCATCAAGCACTGTGTTCATGTTTTCAATCCACACAGCATCAACGGGCCCATCAAAGATTATCCACTTACGGCTAAGGTTTGTGTTTGATGCGTGGTCACGAAAAGTGTTTGCCAGCACACCTGAACAGTACAAACGTAAATGTAGAAAAAATTATTATTTTTTCGCTTATATCTTTAAAAAAATGTAGACAAATGCTACTGAATAGAGGTTACTTATAACCAGAGCAAGTGCAGCATGCGCTAGAACTAGTAATACTGAAACTCAAGCATCTTGAATTTGTACTTGTGTATGTCAACCATATGCCACGTGACCATAGAAGTGAAAAGCATTATATGTTTGTTCTCCAGTTTTTGTTTGAAATGGGTCTCCCCATGAAGGGAAAAGTATTTACTGTTCATCAATATTTTCCCTCATGCGTTAGTGAATGTAGAGGGTGACCTTGTTTTAAAAAAGCTCGAAGAACAATGCCATAATTTCAATACAAATTTCCTTTTTAAAGGAAATGGTTGTTGATTTCAGGAGGGGGAAACACCTGATTACAGATCTCAACATAAAAAATCAAAATGTGGAGAAAGTGGAGGCATACAAGTACTAAGGTGTCACCATTAATAATAAGCTAACATGGCATGAGCACGGCCAAATCCTGTATAAGAAATTCAACCAAGACTGTTCTACCTCAAAAAACTGTACAATTTTGGCGTAAACAAGCAAGTCCTTAACTTATTCTACAGTGCAACTATTGGAAGCCTGCTTAATTTCAGTATTACCTGCTGGTGTGGGAATTCAACGTCTGATATTAAACACCGTGTAAACTGACTAATCAAGAAAGCTAGAAACATAACACAAACTAAACATCCTTCACTTGAAGAACTATTTGAAGAAAGATGTTTTTGCAAAACTAAACACATTTTGGATGATACATCCCACCCTCTTCATCCTAGATACTTAGGTTCGGGCCGTTCGGGATGAATTCTTTCCATCAGGGCGATGACTGACCAATATAAAAATTCTTTTGTTCCCCAATCTGTACGAATTTACCAGCGTGCTTCCTCTGAAGTCACACATCTGAATGAGAACTAATAAGTCCCCGATTTTGCTAAGAGAACTCACTGAATGGCTGTTTGAAATAATTTATTATAAATGTCTTGTGTTCAAATTGTTTTATTTATGTGCTGATAATGTATAATGCAATAAAAAAACATTTCCATTTATTTGGATCAATAAAAGAATCTTATCTTATCTTATAAGAGATTTTTTTTTAAAAAGGCACCAAGTAACACTGTTCTGGAACATTACTCTGTCAATGGAAGGGATCTAACATTAACAAATGTGACTCTGAGAACCACTCATTCCTATAAAAATCTGGAACCTGTATCGGGTACAAAAATGCACCTTTGTCCTTAAATAATGGACGGTATTATTTCTGATGTTAATTTTGTAGGATGTTCCTCATAGGTTTAATAGGGCTGAATGCAGCGCCTTTTGGAGAACATGGTGTGATTCTCATTATTGAAAAATGTACTGGTTGATCAATAGACAATATAACTTTGTTTCTTGGTGCCGTATTTTGGAATCGTTCTTACACCTTTATTCAAACATGATTCCCCTTTACAATCACATAATTACTTAAAAGTGCGAATGAAAATGATGGTCAACTATGAAAATAGTTTTCTCCAACATGAGACTCATTTTCAACAAAAAATGCTCAACACATAATCGTTTTCACTTCTGGGAACAGGTGGTGGCTGAAGTTATGCACCTTTGACTGATCCACATACACATTCAAGATGATGGATTTCAGTACTATTACTTTTGGCTCATACTGAAATAACACTTAGACTTGAATCATTCTCAAAAAAAGGAAATTTGTATTGAAATTATTATAACCATATAACCAAGTGGTCTCAACAAAGGGCAGTGATACAGGGAATGCTATTAATACTTGACTTATATTTGTCACGAATGTCTTTCATCCAAGATTTATTACATCATTGATTCTACTTGGTTTCTGTATCACATAATTTGTTTCAATTCAAATTATATTTACTGTATCAAACTTAAATGATTTGTGCTTACCATCAGTCCATTCATGAGACACTGGATCAAACCTTCCATATAACTGACCCATAGTGATAGCTTTAGGATTGATGATACTGTATAGAACCTGGACACACACAAATGCATCAAAAATTGATATTAGTTTTTTTTAAAGCTTTTTTTTTTAAATTTCAAAGCAAAAGAAATATGCAGTTTACCAAAAGAAATACTTTTTTTATTGTAAATAACAACAATAAATGCGTGTAAAACAAAGAAAAAAGTTCAAATTGAGCAGAAATACATGTATTAGTTAAAAGTTTGTATTATTTTATTTTTCTATGATTGGCTATATTTTTCATATCCTTTTGCCTCTCAACATGTAAATGAACAAACAGTCAGTGTAGTTAAAGCATTAGTTGCCTTGTCAGATTCTCTAAATGGGATGAACACTGTTACCATAAGAAATAATCTTGCTGCAACAAAGAATTAATATGACTTCTCACCGAGTTTTCTTCCATCAAGCCCTTGCTGTGTAATGTGGCCAAGGCCCCTGCTAAAGTTTTAAATGCTGATGTTTTCCCTCCAAGTGGGTCTCCCACAACCATCAGGCCATGTCTCACCAGGATCATCTCATAGATCTACAAGCAAAGTAAAAGTAGCGTTTTAAAACAATTGTATTTGATTTTTTGTTGTCATCATCTTTGATGATGACCATATAAAAACATTTAGGACCACAACTTCATTTGCTAAAATAAAATTCAAACATCTTTCATTAGTAAGTAAAAATGCCAAACAATTTCATACAGCTTTAAAGACATCTTAAATTATTTTATTTTAAAAGTGGCCACAATTCTTTTGTGACTATAACAAATGTCAATACTTTATAATCTTATAAAAGATTTTTCTTTGTACATTTTTACTGACATACATAGAACTTTCTTTGTGTACAAAGTTTATCAAATCAATGTCAATTTTGTTTTAAAAAGCATTGTGATCAACAAATTTACTTGTATAATTTTAGTAATGAACCAAGGAACTGTTTGCAAGTTTGTTTGTTTGATCTTCTCAATCAGGGCTTCTTCAAGACTTGCGTAGTCTGGATTGGGTAATGTAACGCCAGGGAAGAGGTCAGACGTGATTCCTTTGAACAACTCAATGTCATCTGATAGAAACTGGAAATACACAATTCATCCTTATAGAAACAGATGTAAAGACAGGTCATGCTTATAGAAAAAGATATATAGACAGTTCATGCTTATAGAAACATTGGCCTATATACAGAATTAACTTATAGAAACAGACATATGGACAGTTAATGCTTATAGAAACAGACATATAGATAGTTAATACTTATAGAAACTAAATACTTCTTTGACTTTAATTGGAAACGTCAAATATAAAAAAAAACAAAAAAAACAGAGTAACATTATGCAGCATAAAATTTCATAACTTATTAGTTTCAGGACATTTTAATTAAATTATAAAAACAGTGATGTGAAAAATAACATAGAGGAGCATCTGCAGTTTTTTACCTTAGGTAAGTTTACGTCATTAATAGACCTGAGCACCAGAACATCTTCCTCATAGTCTGGATATTTGAGCTTCAAGTTGCCTGCAGCTGTCAGCACAGACTTCACTGCCCTCATACCATAATCATAGTGATGCTGGGATGATAGCTGTAAATATAAGCTTCAAGTATTAAGTCTAAGAGGGGTAAAATTCAAGGACAAATTAACTGAATGAAATCTGATGTTGAATGAAATCTGATGTTGAATGAAATCTGATTTTGAATGAAATGTTGTGGTGAATGTAGTTTATCAGGACAGATTTTCTTTCAATCCACAAGAAATAATTTGTATCTGCTCCTAATTTTATTGTGGAGGCCTAAAAATGTTCAGATATATTTAAAATGTTTCAGAATATTTAAATGTACTGTAAGAGCATTAAGAATAGTCCAAAATATCCATACAAGTTTTTAATGAACAAATTTTCATCTTCATTCCAAGGTAGGTAGACTTGGTTTATATTTGTTTCTTTAATTTTTTTTTTCATAGACATTTATGGGCTGAGAGAATTCTAGAGAATTATATGTTAAAATGTATATTCCTATAAAGATGTTTATGCTTAGCACAGATATAATACATATGTATTTGTGAGACAACCATTATACAAGATCTCACCTGTTCTGAACACAGTCTGTATGTAGCCACAATCTTAGTGGCCAGACTTCTTGAACTGACAAAACCATTTGAGTAGAGAGATATCTCGGCAATCATAGCGTAGTCAGGCACCATCATAGCCACAGTGCGAAACAACACCTGAGCAGAAGGGATGTGCAAGCATGTAATGCAATGCTATTAAAGTCTGGTCTAGACTATAAACTGAGTTGAACAAAATGTAGACTTAAAAAACCTTTTAGCATTACTTTGACTTTTGGATGTCACAGCAATAGAACATTTTTTATTCTTAAACAATGACCATTATCTGACACTTAAACAAAAGCCATGTGTCCTTAATGGTATAGCACCAGATACAGTATAAATTATAAACATTTGAATAAATTATTATTTTTTTAAAACTATATAGGAAAGCCTCCTGACCTATTTCAGTTAGGCAATGTCATAAACTAAAGGGGAGATAATAGAAATAGAGAAGCTGACTCACAGGGCCGATTTTTATGTTATTCAGAATAATATAATTTATGAAAAATAATGTAAAAATTTATAATATATTATTTTGTTATTGTCATTTTGGAGAAACTTTACCTTGAGATTATCTGGCAACTCAGCCCTTCCAGCATAGCCTGGGTTCATGGTAATAAAAATGGTACAAGTGGGATCTAGTGAGATTTCAGTGCCTTCAAAGATGAATGTCACAGCCTTGTCGATGATGGCCCGCTGGATAGTTTGCACTTGTTGAGCTATAACAGAGAGGACCTGAAATGACATGTATAGTAATATCTTGTAGCAATTCTTAAATGTTGCTGGGATAAATAACTCAACCTGTAAAATTATTGTTCAATTTATATAAAAGATTTAATGCATTTTCCGGCCAATATATCAAAATACGTTAACTATTGCATTTTCTTTAAGTTAAAAATTGTTTATTTGAGATAAATGAAAACATTTTCTATCATAGTGATGATGGAATGAATTTCAAATGATTGAAAAATTGTTTCAAGCTTAAGAATGGACCCAAAAGTGTGCAAATAAAAAGTTGGAATTTGTTCTTATTTAAATGAGCCCTTCAATAAGACCCACCTCCAGCTCAATCCTGTTGAACTCATCAAAACATGCCCAGGCACCAGACTGAGCGAGACCTTTGAAAAACTTCCCCATGGCTTTGTAGTCCAGGCCATCCGAGCAGTTGAACACAACACACTGGAGGAAGGAACCGTTAGCGGTGGTAGGCGTGGTCAACATTATGTTCATTCATGAGATGAAATGTAATGACTAAAATATTACCTGGTTTATTGTATACAACTCTTAAAATGATGAGATCTAACTTATTTTATGACACTAAACTTCCATTAATAAAACATCAGGATAAATTTTCATTGATAAAGTTAGTAAACATACATCTTAAGGCCTATTAGTTATCATAGATTCAATTTGTTTAAAATTTACATGATATCTTTTGACTTAATATCACCTGTTTTGCTACAGCTTTGGCCAGATCTTTGGATGTTTCAGTTTTTCCTGTACCTGCTGGTCCTTCAGGTGCACCGCCCAGGTTTAGAAGCAGAGCTCCCATTAAGGTTCTAGGAAGAGATAGGTAAGGACACATAAATATAAGCATACATCTTCATTTACTAACAAAAAATTTGTTCGAATTGGCTGTACAAATTCAGAGAAAAATTGAGTTAGTAGAGATACTCAGTATAGAAAATAAATTGCAGGCATGAATTTGTTTGTAAGTCATACACAGCACCCTCAGATATCTATGGGTATATATTATGTGAGACATTTCTTACCTGTAACACCTGTCTGTGAGTGGGGTGATGACCAAACGACCCGAGTTTCCAAGATACTCATAAGCATAAGCAACCAAGGTTGTGATCATCCGCACGTTACATGATGCAGCTTCATAATAATAGCGTAGTTGGGAAATCCAGGAGAAATCATCAGGACTCGAGGTACCAATACTAAACAGGTTGCTGATCACGTCCCTGGCTGATTTGGTGTTTGAGACATAATTTGTGAACATTTAAATAGGGAAATAAGTAATTGGCAACTAATAAAGAATAAGAAATATGTACCTGGTAAAAATATTGAGAAACATTGTAATCTAAGAATACCCATGTCAGAAACTATCTCTGTATCTAAGAATACCCATGTCAGAAACTATCACTGTATCTAAGAATACCCATGTCAGAAACTATCGCTGTATCTAAGAATACCCATGTCAGAAACTATCACTGTATCTAAGAATACCCATGTCAGAAACTATCTCTGTATCTAAGAATACCCATGTCAGAAACTATCACTGTATCTAAGAATACCCATGTCAGAAACTATCTCTGTATCTAAGAATACCCATGTCAGAAACTATCACTGTATCTAAGAATACCCATGTCAGAAACTATCTCTGTATCTAAGAATACCCATGTCAGAAACTATCACTGTATCTAAGAATACCCATGTCAGAAACTATCTCTGTATCTAAGAATACCCATGTCAGAAACTATCACTGTATCTAAGAATACCCATGTCAGAAACTATCTCTGTATCTAAGAATACCCATGTCATAGACTGTCACTGTATCTAAGAATACCCATGTCATAGACTATCACTGTATATAAGAATACCCATGTCATAAACTATCACCAAAAAGTAACGCTTGTACTCTACTATCAAAGACATAAAGAGAATACTCTGAGTGATCTCACCATGAACATCAATGACAATGAGAGCGCCAAGAGTGATCCTGGCCATCTTTGACAGTTTCCCTCTGACCATCTCAACAATCTCCTCCACCTGCTTATTGCTGCGAGCCAGATAAGCTTTGAGACCTCCAAATCTGATGGCCTGAGAGTTTATTTCGGAGAAACGTTCAATTAAAACCTTTGCTTTCTATTATAGTGTTCATGAACCAGATTATCTAACAAAATTACTGTAATTGCATTTTTCCTTAGCAAAGGCGTTAACATGTGTAACACATTTCTTTCCAATGCAAACAGCTAAAAACAAAAACATGAATGAATTCTCAGATCTCAACTTCTATTTTTTACAACTGGAGACATTCTGGTTGAATTCACCTGAGTAACCTCAGCGGTCCAATGGATTTGACTGGCAGCAAGCACAATTTGTCCTGGCCACTGTAGCACCCAGTCCCCACGTTTGGTCTTAGGATAGGCTTGCACAGCTTTGCCCATCACTTCCCGCAAGCTGAGCTTCATCACCTCTTCAACCTATGGAGGTCAAATCAGCATAACATTATAAGAATGACATTAAAAAAATCACAGAAGCAAAACCAAATTTTATTATCGCAGACTTACTCTCACGATTTTGGCAGCGTACAATGTACAATTTTGAGGTGTATACATTTTATCTGCTGTATGTTTACTTTGTTTCTATTAAGATAATGTATTGAACGATTTTGTGATGAGATTGTATGATTTTAAGAGTTTGAGGGTAAACAGGTCTGTAATAATAACTTTCATCTGTGGGACCAAGAACTATGGTGCCACTTCTAGGGAAGTGAGCCTGCTAGAGGGAGCTTCTGCTGTTCCATTAACTTAATGGCTGCAGTTACACTAACATAAATACGGTGTGCAATATAAAGTAACACATACTTGTTGCAACCATCTTTCCACCAATCCCTGAGCATCTGCTGGTATTATTGTCTTGGCAAACTCCACCCTTTCTTTTTCAGCCGATTCCATGGCGGTGATGATCTTTTCAGAAGTAAAGGTCAAACAGGCAATGCCTTCAAAGCATTTTTTCAAATGGGGCTGCACTCGCAGAGGATCCTTGGTCTCTGAGAGAATTTCTAGGAGCTCATCATTGGACAGGAAAAAAAATCTACAGGAGTGGAAACATGAGACAGAATTATAAATTAACATCTCCAATAGTTTCCAATTGACATGTTTAAAATCAGAATGTTAAAACTGAAATGAACCTAGGGCTTCGGTTAATTTGCTTTCTGAATAACTGTGCATTTTTGGATGATCTTTTAGTACTTCAAATGTCTACTGTCCTGTGAAACTTATTCCGAATGTTGATCAATTAAGAATTTATAGTTCAACAGTACAAATATTTACAACTTTAGTAACATACCAAAAAAATAATAAATATTTTTACAGACAAAAAAATTATAACATATTGGTTAAAAATAATATATTGTGATACTGTGTCCATTTGTACTCACCTAGGGAAAAACAACCTCTTCTTTTCAAGATAATCATTGAGGCCTTTTTGTATATCATCAAGCATAGACTGGAATACAGTTCAATAAATATGTTTTGTATGTCATCAAGCATAGACTGGAATATGGTTCAAGAAATATGAAACCTGGTACATTTTTAAATGCCAATTGTCAAGTTATGACCATTAAATAAGTAACAATTATTTAGGAATTCAATTTTTCAAACTATGTAAAATTACTGTGGTGTTGTTTGGTTACTGACTAGGGCAAAAATATTTAATCGATTCTTATGGTTTTGACAATGTTTATTTAATCCTACTCTCCCTAATAAACACAATTAACATTCTTTCAGAGTTTCATATAAGTCAATGCAATTGTAATAAATGATGTTTCTTTTAATGAGAGAACAAAAAGACAAGAAACGCTATATCTGTACCTCAGAGTGCTGAAGTTTTTCTAGCATTGCATCCTGGGATACTACAACTAAGGCTTTTGTGTTTTCCACAGACTTCAACATTATGTCTCTCCTGAGTAGAATAAAAATACAAAAGCAATTTCTTTTTATATAATATAGACCACTTATCTTTTAAAGTAAATTACGTTAATATTAAAAAGTTTGCAGATAAAAGTGGAAAACTGAACATATATGTTTCATTTGACTGACAAGCTAGTGAATTGGTGTTGTAAATACTAACCAATGGCCATCAACTTCCTCAAACATTTTACCCTCCACGGGAATCTGGTTACGAATATCCTGAGAGCTAAAGATAGGTTCCAAGTAAAGCCATGCTGATTGAACCCGAAGCCATGAGTCAAGAATGCTCTTCATCCGATGCTGAAAAGGTCAACCTCAGTTAATACAAATAAAGATATGGTTGTAATTTTAGATGATTCCCCAATAAATGAGCTTTTAAAAAACTACATCCAAGGTTTACAAAATTAATCACAAGTTTTAAATATCTGATACCAGTAAATTGTCCCATTGATTGATTTCATCTTCAAAAGGCTTGATAAACGGGGAACCTTTCATTGTCATGGTTTTGACTATATGATCTTCTAGCAGAACCTAAAAGGAAAGTCACACCGTTATAAGTATTACTTAAATTTTAATAATACTTTAGAAAAGAGACAAGAATTTTGCTAATAATTTGCACTTTCTTTAAAAGAATAACATTGGGAAAAAAATGTAAATAAAGGAAACAAGAAGCAGATTAAATCTAATCGACATTTATGGTGTTTAACATAACTACTAAACATGTTGGATAATTGTTTTTGTTTTTTTTGGGGTATCTTTAACAACACCGAGTTGTAAGGTTGATATAAAAGGATCAATATCATCAAAAGTTTACAATCACAGACCAGCCTGAATGTCATCAAATGTTTACAATCAAAGACCCACATGAATGCCCCGAGACCCACCTGAATGTTATAAAATATTTACAGTCACAGACAAACCTGTATGTAATCAAATATATATATGTAATATATAAAATTATAATCACAGACCCACCTGAATGTCATCAAAAGAAGCCAAGATTGATACACCAGAGTCCTTGTATTGCACAAATTGAAACTGCATTCCGCCCCAGTCATCTTTCATCCTCTTTAAGGCCTGAAACATATAGAAAATACAAATGATGACAAGATAAGAATGAACTTTCAAATGTAATACTTAAATATTTCAACATTAAGATAGTAAGTTTTGGTTGACAACAAGTACATATTACTCAAGGAATGTAAGTTTTTCAAACATTTTTAAATCACTAATAACAACAATAATAAAAACAATGCTTTTCCTAATAATCAATAAAAACAAAGTGACCTTCTCCAGTGCATATTCCTTGCTTGCTTGTGAGCTGATGCCCATCAGATCCTCGACATATTTTTCTAAACCCATTTGCAAGACTTCCTGCAAAGGAGTGTCTGCCTTGGGGGTCACATTGAAGCCAACCTGAAAATCATATGAGTTCAAGTATTTCTTATGCTGATAACTTTGGAGTTCTAATGGTTGGGAAGCCAGATATTTTTCTGCATTGCATTACATAAATATGGACATCATCTTATCTTTAACTCAGGTCAGTTCTACATGCAAAGACAGATACAGCGAGCAGAAAACTCTAATGCTCTAGCTCCAACAAAAACAAAAATAGACTTATATAATGATGAATTATCTCTCCAACTCATTCTTTTGTCATCATGCTTTAGCATTTAAATTTGGGGCTTTGAGAAGCATGGGTATGGTGAAATAATTTATAACTAAAATACAAAAATACAACCCAAAAAATAATAATTTCATAGATTTGTAATTTTTTCAAATAAAATCCTATATTTAACTTGAAGATTTTTAAAGCTTCCTATATTTTAAAGGCTATTTTAACAGGCTCTATTCACCTTCTCACTCATGAGATCCCAGTGCCTCTGCTTGATGCCTGGATTACATAGAGCAGTGATAAGTGGCATATTGATCTTGAACTTTTCTAATTTTGATTTAATGGTTGCTGAAGCTCTCATTGGACCTTTGAACTCTGAGTGGGCAAACACTTTTGTAAGCTTATAAGCAATGCGCCACAAATTTTGTACCTGTTAAGTAAAAAATAATCATATTTCAGGTTAATAATATTTAGCCAAGAACCAGTGAGTATACTATAAAAGTTAATAAATACTGGATCTATTACGTCATAATTATTATTATTGAAGATATTGCCAATACTGCCATACATTTTGTATGTGTAGGGTGTTATTTCCCATTTCATTCATAAAATGAATCATGAAAGGATAACTGTTATTTTTCAACAAAAGTTTTTTTAAAGAAAAAACTACTCTTGCAATTTTACCTTTGGCATTAAAAAAAACTGAAACCAATCAACCATTTATCCAACTCACCCCTTCCTCTACATCTTCAGCATTGACCTCCAGTAAAGGACCATTCATCCACTTGTCATGAACTTGATGGAACAAAACAGCCGTTGACCACAGTTTGTCGTAAGGTTCTTTGCGAGCAACAATCTCATCAATTTGTCTGTACTCTGTTTGAATGTCAAGTCCCAGCATCTGCTCTTCTTGGTTGATCACTGCTTTCTGTTCAGTTCATTCAAATATAAAAACTATTTAAGCATTACATTAGTCTTTCAGAGATATTGATATTATAGCATCGGTGGAGTGATACTAGGACTGGTTCTTAATAAATTATTGTAAAATGAGTTTTCAATAGAAGTAATAACAGCAACATTTTATGTGTTACATTGATCTGAAATCTGAATGAAGTGTTACTGGTCGTCACTCTGTCCTTGAACTTTTACCACTTACAAAAATTTATCTGTAATAAATATTTAAGGAACAGCTAACTTACTACAAGCTCCAAATAGGAGGAATTTGAGAATCTCTCAGGAGAACTTTTACTTTTTTTTTTGCCTAAACTTTTCTGTGAACATCAATGAGATCATACGTAATGAAACATTTGCTGAACAAACCTTTTCTTTGAAGTCTTCAATTTTCAGGGTGATGTCTTCTAATTCAGCAAGGTACTTGTCTGCCTCCGACATTCGATCTTTGGTACCAAAGTCTTTGATCTTTTTCAAATACTCTTCCAGCAAGCGGTCAAACTGTTTCTTTTTCTCCTTCAGCTTACTGCATGCCAGGTCATGCTCTCTCTGTAGTTTATTTTCCCTGAAAAGTTGGAAAAAACATCCATGCAAGTAATGAACTTTATAAGAATCACAATTTAGTGCTCCCCCCCCCCTCTCCTCGCAAACGCACATTTTTTTCAAGCCCCCGAACTATTCTTATATTCTAATGACCTGTCAGCTTGTACCCCACAGATTTATTTCACCAACTTTTCTCCAGAAAAAAACAAAAGAAAATATCTATGCACAAAGCACACTGGCAATATTTTTTTAAAAAGAATCTCATTTAGGTCAATTAGCAGGAATTTGATTTTTTTTTCAATTAGTGGCATCATATTTCCTTCATCATTACCCATTTTGGGGGTTTTGGGTTGGAGGTGGGGCTGAAAATTTGATAGAATATGTAGTCATCAGCAATGCGTCTTTCCAAAAAATCTTTTAAAAAGTATATTAACATCTGTACAAAAGTATGTTCAGTTCTGTACACAAGTATATTAACGTCTGTACAAAAGTATGTTAAGTTCTGTACAAAAGTATATTAACGTCTGTACAAAAGTATGTTAAGTTCTGTACAAAAGTATATTAACGTCTGTACAAAAGTATGTTAAGTTCTGTACAAAGGATATTAACGTCTGTACAAAAGTATGTTAAGTTCTGTACAAAAGTATATTAGCGTCTGTACAAAAGTATGTTAAGTTCTGTACAAAAGTATATTGACGTCTGTACAAAAGTATGTTAAGTTCTGTACAAAAGTATATTAACGTCTGTACAAAAGTATGTTGAGTTCTGTGCAAAAGTATATTGACGTCTGTACAAAAGTATGTTAAGTTCTGTACAAAAGTATATTGACGTCTGTACAAAAGTATGTTAAGTTCTGTACAAAAGTATATTAACGTCTGTACAAAAGTATGTTAAGTTCTGTACAAAAGTATATTGACGTCTGTACAAAAGTATGTTAAGTTCTGTACAAAAGCTCAATAGGATGACAGGAAGTGGGTTATTTAATCGTCCAATGATTTTGCCAGCCATGAAAAAAAGCGAAGTTAATATTAAGGATTTAAAAAGGAGACATGCCTTACAGAGATGATCATTTAACACGCCAAGAGGCTGACCATTTCATCATTTATTACTGCATCGATGTTGGTCATTTGTGTATGACAAGTATTTATTTTGTGTGAATTATTTATAGGGGAATTAAAATACAGATCATAGGAATCAAAATATTCACTTGTTCACGTCTTAATGTTTTTAATAGATGTTTTATAAAGCACTCTTTAAATGACCTTGTTGCCTTATTTTAAACTTTTTACATGAACTGACCCGTGAAAAAAGAGAGGTTTTTATTCAACCATCACCTTTAGCAAACTATTCATGAACATAAACATACGCATTTCTGACTATGGGAACGATTCTCTCTGGCCAAGTAAAAGTTGTGTTGTGAACTGTGATGTCCTCTTTTGGCAGGTAAGCATACTCCATAAGAAAAATCATGTTAGCTGCTGCAATCTCCAGCTTGTCCTAAGAGAGATAATGTGTGATGTGTTAACAAAGGCTGCAGTGTAATGATGATCACCCTTTAATCAAGACCAAAGTACTAACGAATAATACAATAATTTTTACAATGTGAAACAAATGAAGAATTTACCAACTGAGGGAATATGGTTCACTTCTAACTATGGCTGACTGGCATGAGCCATCAATTAAAACAACTCTTAAAGTATCCATCAGAACTTTTTACAAAACAAAGTTTGATCTTTTATGGTGAAAGGGACAAGGATTTTACTCAGCACACCTTAAGTTGTAGCAGCTCTCCAACTTTCAGGTTCTCCACATAGTCCTGCAGCTGTACAAGTTCTCTTGTGTTCTCTGCCTGGTAGGAACTTTTTTTAACGATAGTATCATACTGTGAGCAAATCTGGCGGTTGAATTTACTGTTTGTGTCGGTAATCTTTTTCACCATGGTGTCAATGTGTTTTCTAGCCGTGTCGATCAACCACTGGGGGAAACAATATTTGTAAACAAAATATGTGAGTAAAGCAATATATCATTTTGTTTTCAAATTTAAACCCTTATCATTTCATTAAATATGTTTCAAAGGCAATGATTCACAAATTAAGACATTACGAGACTCGCTCACGCATTGGGGTATATTATATAAACAAAACCTATAATTATTGCTAACTTTGTGGCATCAAAATTTGATATTTTTAACATTTTGTCATTCTTCCTCTTTGCATATTAAAAAGGTAATTTCAGATTTGACTAATTTCAGTTTATAACAATAATCAATAGAAACAAAGAAATAAACACCTGATTCAGATGGGAACAGTCCAAGAGGAAAAAATGCATAGGTACATATACAGGCAGAGATCCAACATCGGAAGCCATTTTCTTCAATCTTTCAATGGCGGCCACATATTCCTTCAGAGAATGGTCACGGTTTACAAACTTTAGCACCTGTCCTTCCGTTTCTTTAGTGTACAAATATTTGAATGGGTCATACACGGATCTGTACCTATAATATGATCAAAATTATGTTAACATTGTGATGATATGCAATATTAATTTCCGAACTAAAGTTAATGCAAATATTTTTAAACCTTTTCATTATCACCTCTTCAGTATTCATGGAGTTCATGTTTAAAAATTTGATTACCATTTAATCAAGGCCAGGGTAAAAATATGCTGACAGTTGAATGTCTACTGCTACCAGATGGAAGGGATCAAAGAGGCAGAGGAAATAATGGTTACTTTATAAAGAGCACAAACACAAGTGTGATGCAAAGTAAGAAAATTTCTCTGTATTTTCTAGTGTGGTTAACCAATGCACTGCACTTCAAAAACTTACTTCTTAGGTCCATGGCCATTGGCTAGCACAACAGTTCTAATTTTATCTTTGGCCACTTCTACAAGTTCTTCGTCAATTTCTATTGATAAAATGACACGTTGTTCCAGATCTTCAACCTTTAAGAGAAAATGAGAACTTCTTATTTCATATGCAGGACCAAGTTAAGGTGATGTAAGTTTAGAAAAAAAATACTGGATGAAAACATGTATTCTAATAAATAAAATAATTAGCTAAAAGTCTTCAGTTTTTCATAGTTATACATATTTAGATTTTAGTGAATGTCTAACAAAAAATAAAATCCATTCTACACTGGCTTTTGTATTTTGCCATCACAAATACCATGTAGTTAACTGGTTTTCAACTTCAACATCACTTTTTAAACAAAATTTGATTAAATACTTAATGCCATTTGAGAAATTTAAGAGTAAGTCTTCATAAGTTTTAGCCACATACAAAAAAAATTCAAAAAAGGCACTAGAATTTATGTTCACAATAAAGAAAATGATATTTTTTAAATGTAAAATAAAATTTCAAACGTACACTCTGGAAGAGTCTATGCTCAAGCCTAGTAAGGTTCCGCACACTGAGTATCATTGTATCGATAAGGAGTGCAAAGAAGTCACAGATGTCAAGAATACTGGGCCGGAAATGGAGATTAGAGTTTTCAATGTCTTCTTCCTGTAACAAGTTTTCCTCAACTTTAATTTTAGATTTTGTTAAACAGATTTTTATACATACAAGGATTATTTTTATACATCAGTTAATCATGAAACAAAACAGTTTGATACCTGCTAAATCCAGATAAATTAATGCAAAACATGTTATATTTAATCCCCAATGAATTACCAAGAAGAAGGTGACAGGGTGCAACATGGTGGGTAATCCAAGTCCAGCCATGATATTGTAGTCACCCTCATACATATTTCCTTGGTAGTAAATCTCAACAATTTCAACCAGATCCTTGATAGAGTTCTCCACACACTGACGTAGCAACAATGACATGAGAGAGGCAACGCTATTGAAGAAATGGTCCATCATGATTATTCTGGCTTGCTGTCGGGTAGGAAGGAGGGGAAAAAAAGAGAAATGTGTGAATTTTCTTTTTCTAGCTTTTGAATAAAAACTCTGAACTTACATCATGTTAATCAAAGTCAGTTATTTTCCAAAGATTACATTCTTTTAAGGCAGAACGAATCATTACTTAATTCTAACCCTTCAACTGTAATAATCTCATAACCTAAAGTTGTAGCAATTAATTCTTTCATAACATCAACTGTGCGCTTTATTACTTATTCTGCTAAACTAATTTTCATTGGTGGATAATTTTAGGCTTTTAAAATATTCACTCTCTAACTAGATAATAGTGAAATCCAGAAAGAACAAAAAAATCACATACAGTATCAGGTGGCATCCATGCTTCAACTTCATCTCGCAGCTGATCAATCAGGTTACAGCAGTCAGCCAACCAAACATTCTCCAGCACCCCTGCCCCTGCCCTGCTAGAATCTTGAACATGTTTCAGAAACGTCTCCATCGTGATTGGCATCAAAGCTTTCAGTCCAGGTATATCAATAAGTCTGAAGTCTTTGTACCTGTGGACATGAAATGGATCTCAATCTGATGAAAAGTTCACATTTTCAAATTCCCCAAAAATTATATCACAGGTGAACAAAGTATTTGTACCATTGGAATAAAACTAGACTGAGGTTTGAAACTCTTAGTTCAAGGAAATGCTATTCAATCAACAATTGGTGGTTAAAACCACAGGATCGTAAGGACGATAACTCCAGGTGTAGAGCCGCCTTAATCCCGCCAATGATAAAAGCTTTACATGAGTTTCTCTACTACAATTTTGCCTTTTAAAACCACAAAGATTTTGTTCATTTGTGATACCATTCTATACCAATTACTTTCATTATTAGACTTCTCATTCTAACTAACTGCATCATTTTATAGTTATTTATTTATTTATTTAGGCATTTTTATATAGCGCTTACCTTAAAGCTCTAAGCGCTTTACAATTATTAAAAACATGTAAACTAAGTAAAATAAAAATGAGACATTAGGATAGTAACTACTATACTATAGAAACAATTAAAATGGCTATAAAACGAGGACACTTTGGCACGTTTTGGCCTATACTACAGGATCAACCCGAGACAGAAAATAAGGCAGGGCAAGGAGGGTGCATCACAGGTCATAGGCGGACCTAAACAGATAAAGGAGTTATAATGTCTGTCGGAGATATTTAATACTTTCTAAAAATTTAAAAGAGTGAAAAACTTAATGACATTTACATTTGGGAAATACTAAACTTAAGCATGTTTTTCAAAAATTTAAAATTTATCAAGAATTATATTATCATCAATACAGGTGAGGCAGGCCAAAGCCCTACATGGGCTGTAGCACCACAGGGATAGATGGATGGATATTATCATACAGGTAAAATTCTCAAAATAATAGCCTAGCTTGTTACTATGAAAGGGCTTTTTGCATCTCATGGTATAAAGTCCATTCACAAATTATTTACATTTAATTTCATTCTGGAACATTCTTTCAGCTCATTCCACTTCTTAAGCGCCGCCTATTCTCATAAATGTTTTTAATTGTTTTAATAACTGCCATCAAAAGTCAGAGTGTACAATCTGATATGACGATTAAGACACTTGATCACAATTCAGTAAATACCTACTTGTATTGGAAGTCATCGAGAATTTTTCTCATAACTGGATGCGTGACAAAAAGTTCCCTTGTCATTAATTCTCTCACTAAGCAAATACTGTCATGCCAAGGAAATCCATCACGCCCTGCCAGGTGAGACGGCTGTAGCCAAGGAGATAAATAATTATAAGGTTATTAAACTAACAGTGATGGGGGTTTTAGCTTCAACAAAAAGTTTTGACAAACCTATTAAAAAAGATATATATATGATATAACATTACATTTGCTTTGACCATAATTAAAAAGTTATACGAATTCAAACTAATGTATGTTTGCATGAGAGGAAATTTGAATTACAGGAATTCTCTGCATTTCTTTATTCTTATGTTTGGAAAGTAAACATGATCGCAAACTAACTTTTTTCTTTATATTCTTAAGAAATAAAAACCCAATTTTTAAACTAATACTTTAAAAAACCTTTACAATTTCAAAGGAAGTTAGAAACTTGTTATTTGATATAAATTGCCACGTTAATTTCAAACCTTGTGTGCCATAGGTAATCCTAATCTGTCTTGTTCTGTAGGGTCAAGAAGTACATAGTCCAGAATTGCCCTTCTTATAGATGTCCTGTAATCAGTGTCCATTTCCTGTTTTTCATAATGAGAATATGGAAACAAAACTCTTTTAAGTTTTAAATTTGGGATGAATATTTAGATTGTGTGTCTACAATTGGAGGGAAATAAAAAAATAATTTTCAACCAATGGACCCAGTGGAAATTTAAATATACAATAACATTCAAATGCAACAACATTATTATGCTTTGCTGGAAACACCTTTAAAGCAAAAATGATGCAAATGATAATAAGTGAAATTCTCAAAGAAAAATTACATTAAAGAAATTAAACTTATTGTAGGAGCAGCTGCAGGGAAAATAAGTTAAAAAGTAATTAAGCATGAAAAGAGCTGTTAACCTTCAAAAATGCTTGACTTGCTCGATGCAAACCTATTCTCAATTTCCGTGGAACAAATCTGTAAACTCCATCCAAAGTTTCCTTTGTTATTGGTCCAACCATTGCAGGATCTATGGCTTTCTCTGCAAGCTGGAAATATCTGTATGATAAATTAAAAGTTTAATTATAGCTTTGTATTTAGTTAACTAGAGCCCATAAAACTGCATGTATCTAAACTGTGAGATTGCTAAAAACCATAAACTGCAAAGTCAATATCTTTAATGTTAAACTTTATTTATATTTTGCCATAGACAAGTCAACTAATCCTACCTCTCTTTGTCTACGGGGTCTGGTGTTGCTGGACGAGAAAGACCATGGGTTGAGAAATACCAAGGAGGAAATTCTATACTAAGACATTCTAAAGTAAGTTTGTCATGGCAAGGTGTGGAATGATCATGAATACCAGCTTGCTCACTATCATTCTCCCTTTCATCATCAGTTGTAATATCTGGCAGAGTGAAAACATTGAGCACAGTTTAAATTAGTCTCAGAAATGTTTAATATTTTGCTTTTATATTAAATTAGTAACTGTACCTTTATGATAAAATAGTAGCTATTTAATCCAAATTTAATCATTAGTCTTAATATATTTATAGGCTACCTATTTTTTAAAAATTTTTTTAGGACTTTAAAATGAATGTTCAAAATTTAAACAAAAAATGCCGGTTGCTTCACAACATTCTGCCTAAAGTCTGATTTAAATTTAGTTTTGTAAAGCATTATTATAATAATTTTAAAAAATCAAATTAGTTTAATAGTAACAAACCAATAAAGTCATTCTCTGGAACAGTCTCCATCTCAGGCATGAAACTGTTCCAACTCTGTGTTAAGTGGAGTCCGCTCTCATCACCATTCCCAAAATCTGACATCTGAGTTGAACTTTCTCCATCTCCACTCTCAAACAATTCTGAGATCTCATCCTCTTCTTCTTTCTTTTCATTTTTATGCTCAACTTCAGTTTCAACTCCTTACATGTTAAGAACATTTGAATTAAAAATGTATAATAAAGAAAGAAGTGCTTTGTATAAAGTAAATAATGTTAATATATATTTCACATGAACTATAAAGGAACTGGCTTTAGTTAAAATAGATAAAATTAAGGAAATATATAATGTTTTTCAAACTTCTTCACTACGTAAATAAAAACAGGAATAAAAGTATGTAAGCCCCTTAACTAGACAGAAAACTGAAAAATATACATGCAGCATAAAAAAGATATATTGATGCATCAAATGAAGCTGTGGTTCCCATATAATTAATGCTTGCAATCTCATTAAATTCTTTACAAGAGGTTAACATCATTAAAGGGGGACACTGACCGATTCTAAGATTTTCCTTATTGTTTGTGGCTTGTCCATTGATTGGAGGGAGATGAAGGGGTGGAGTCTGTGATTTGATATTTGATGATGAGAACTGTCCATTATCACTGATGACTTTGTAGCTTGAGGCGTCAACAAGTATGGTGGTACTTCCTAAACTACTGTTTAAATGAAATAAATTTGAAGTTTTAAAAAAAATTCTCTCCCTGGTATTATTCTTTTTTGATGATTTCATTAATTATGTTAAGCTTATAAAAATATGACCTATAGTAACATTCATATTAAAAAATAACAATAATTTAACCAGGTATAGTGGTTATATTATTAATTTTACAATGTACTGAAAAAAATGGTATTACAATCTCCTTTTCTTGTCAGGGGGAGGTAGACTGTGATTTGTGTTTGGTGGACTTATTGAACCTGTTGACTTTCTAGGTGATAGGAAATAGGCCTCTTCAACTGTATAGGCTGTAAATAGATAAAGAGGTACAATGTATTCTTTCAGTAATCCATTACAATTTTATTGAAAAACAAAATTTTAATGCCAGATTTTGAACACCCATAATTCTAACATTTTTAATATTTATTAACTTGCCCACTGGTCTTTTTGGGTTGTGTTTTATCTCCACAATTCTAATGATGTGTTAAATATTTCATGTCCAGTTTCAATTCTATTCACACAACCTCTTGGGTTTTTATCCTGATGCTTTTTACTATTTTAGGAGTATGACATGTTTCTTTTTTTATTTTTTTTGTATTGATTTTTAAATAATCATAATATCTACTATTGGTGATTATAAATTATTTTAAAAAAAATTAATTCCAGTACTTCAAATTGAAGAACATTGGTAGAATTATTAGGGCCAAAATTAAGCTAGTTAAGTTTTTAGGACAATAATCATACAAACCTACCTAGTTTGGTAGCCTCATATATTTGGGAGGTAGTAAAGTTTCTGGCCTTTGGACTGTAGTTGTTGCCAATGGAATCACTGACACCACGAACAAATTTCTTATCTTTGATTGGAACTGCCTTGGTGAATGAGCCATGTTCAACTATTTTAGGAGCATCACTGAAAGCTGGCTGAATCATAAATAAGGAGATTATAAGGATGTGAGTAATCAACATTAACCATAATAATAAAAATATGTTCTTAAGATTCTGAAATAACTAAAAATGAGTGCATTGCATAGTCTCTTCCACTACTATATAACTGCATACTTTATGTGTCAACTTCAAATACTGAAATACATTTTAAAAATACATTTTTGCTATTTTTTTAGCTCCCTTTTAAATTTAATCCAATGAAATGAGACCTTACACTTTTAATATGAAATAAAGAAGATCAGACTCTTAATATTAATATGTTATTTAATCAACATATCAGCCCACCCCAGCTAAAGATACATATATATATATATAATTTATATCTAAAGGCATAAACAAGTTTAAGCTGGTATAAATTTACTAGCAGTAAGTTGCAGTTGTGAGTTCAACATTCACTAATATTTAATTTTTTATTAATATTTATATTTAGTAATAAGTAATGTATAGTCTATACCTAGTTAAAAAAATTGAAATGATGTGAGAATCGAAAAAGTTGTTTAAATGAACTTTAGAAACGGTCTTTCGGCTTTCATTTTGAAAGCAAAATAAATTGCCAAAAATATTTCAATATTCACTAATAATATTGGCAGCGTAATGTAATGACCCTAGAAGTGTGAGGTGCAAGGTACTCTAGAGTTGGGCATCACGCCTCTAGCCCTAGCCAAGAGCCGTGATGCCCACTAGTACTAGAGGCGTGAGACCTCTGCCTCTTAACTCTTATTTCTACAAAGAGTCTAGAAGCCACCTAGTCCTAGTAGAAGCGTGAGACTAATATTAAATTACTAATGGGGAAGTGCGCAGTGTGCCCATACCTAAAGAGGGCACTGTTTTATTCCACTAATTTCACTACCGAGTACGGGGCGGTGACGCAGCTATGGCTTTTACCACCCGGGACTATCATCTTAGTCTAAAATGATTGTAAACACAAATTCTTACTTTTTAAGTTTTTGTTGTTGTTTTTTTTTTAAATTTCAATTCTGGGAGAAGTAAAACGTGTTGTCGATAGTTATTCCCCTTTAAGAAATATCACACTTTTGATTCGCAATTATAATATTAATTTTGGAATGTTCCGATAATATCGTGGTTTATATTGGGAGACGTGCTGTCCACTGACTTTTAAATCAAATTAAATAGCCAAAATCTTTCAATATTCATTAACAACATGTTAAGCATGATGTCTCTAAAAGAGTGGGTCTTCTAGAAGCGTGAGGCCCCCCTAGAAGCGTGTGGCCGTGGGCCAGTGCCCAGTGGGCCCAAGCCTCAAAACTGTCAAGACGGCATTGCTTCGGGTTCCGAAAATACGCGTACGCCCGTACACTAGGGTGACCAAACGTCCCGTAAAAACGGGGCTGTCCCGTTTTTTCACGATCGTACCCGGTGTCCCGAAAAAGTCTCTCGGGCGCCTAAATGTCCGGTTTCTAAAACCAAACACAGTTTCAAATCACCAAAACTTCTTAATTTATTATAAAACTTCAAGTAATATTTAGGCTAGCTTTGCAGCCAGTGCCAGTAGTGACGTGGGCTTGCCTGATGGCTGCATTTGATTTGTTGTGTTGTATTATGTTGTAAGATATTTATAAATAAATGAGTATTCACTGCAAAATTATGATTTTCATTTATGATATGCCTCAGAGTTTAAATTAAATTTAAAAATGTGAAGGTAAATTAAAAACTATTTCTAGTTCCCAAAATAGTTCAAATGTGCAGATTTCAAGAAACATTTTCCGGCGGAGGCCCCCGTACCCCTCTTTAGCTGGGGGGTATCCCCCCCCCCAACCCCCTCCGTGGGTTTGTCCCGTTTTTCCAGTTCATGATTTGGTCACCCTACCTTGCACACAACCCCACCTGCTCATAGTGCTGTGGCTCGTTTGCAGTAAACATCTTTTGTCCAAGTGATGTGTTAAAGATTGTTATTTTTAAATTTTTTTTGGTGCTATTTTAGCTCTCATTATGGCGCATAAAAGAGAACGAAGTGGCTATAGGGCCCCGGGTCCGAATATAGCCACTGACCCTTGCTATGAGTGTCCGGGTCCCTTTAGACTAAATGATATTCGGAAGTCATTTGTGGTAGTTTGTTTTAGTTAAACTGAAGAATTAAGTTTACCAAAAAAATAGTCCATTCAATTATCTTTCATTTGATACCTAAATTTGTCTTACAAACCCTACAATAATATTTTTAATATTCTTTAATAAACCCAAACTCTCACTTCTGATACCCGGATCCCAAATGATGCAGCCTAAAGAGAAACGTGTTATTAACAGGAACCACGTTAATATGTGGAAGTAAAGAGAGCAATCATTTTGAATGAAAATGCGATGTCGCACTTCCAGAAAAGTCTGCAGCAGAGAAAATGACAAATGACTTTAAAAGGCTTTCTTGACCAAACGTCCCGTAAAAACGTGATTGTCCCATTTTTTTTCACGATCGTACCCAAGTCTTTTTTTTTTCAGAGCCCAGGTTTGACATTTGTAAGTTAGCATGGGAATAAAGAAAGCGTTCATGAGCCTGGCGTTCGTCTCCATCTTTATTTTTTGGTGTGTCTTATCCTGAATAGTACCTCTGAACTTTATGGAATGAAAATAAGCTAAGTTTAGACTGAGGTCACATCAATAGGCCGTAGACCAGAAATTTGGACATGAATATCTATGGTCCCTTGCTTCGCCAAAACCAGGAATTTAAATATCTGGGAACATTTTCACATGTGACGGAAAATGGATAGAGAGGTGGAGACAAGAAAACGGCGCTCTATTGACGTCAGCCAGCAGCTCGACACGTTAATGAGATAAGCTTTCATATATTTGAAATCCCCGACTAACAGATCAGTGGCGTAGCAAGATTTAGTGGCGTAGCAAGGGTCAGTGGCGTAGCAAGATTTAGTGGCGTAGCAAGGGGTCAGTGGTTTAGCAAGGGTCAGTGGCGTAGCAAAGGTCAGTGGCGTAGCAATGTTCAGTGGAGTAGCAAAGGTCAGTGGCGTTGCAAAGGTCAGTGGCGTAGCAATGTTCAGTGGAGTAGCAAGGGTCAGTGGCGTTGCAAATGTCAGTGGCGTAGCAATGTTCAGTGGAGTAGCAAGGGGTCAGTGGTGTAGCAAGGGTCAGTGGCGTAGCAAAGGTCAGTGGCGTAAGTGGCGGAGCAACGTTCAGTGGCGTAGCAAGGGTCAGTGGCGTTGCAAAGGTCAGTGGCGTAGCAATGTTCAGTGGAGTAGCAAGGGGTCAGTGGTGTAGCAAGGGTCAGTGGCGTAGCAAAGGTCAGTGGCGTAGCAATGTTCAGTGGAGGAGCAAGGGTCAGTGGCGTTGCAAAGGTCAGTGGCGTAGCAATGTTCAGTGGAGTAGCAAGGGTCTGTGGCGTTGCAAAGGTCAGTGGCGTAGCAATGTTCAGTGGAGTAGCAAGGGTCAGTGGCGTAGCAATGGTCAGTGGCGTGGCAAGAGTCGGTGGCGTGGCAAGGGTTGGTGGTGTGGCAATGGTCAGTGGCATAGCAATGGTCACTGGCGTAGCAAGGGTCAGTGGCGTAACAAGGGTCAGTGGCATAGCAAGGGTCAGTAACGTAGCAAGGGTCAGTGGCGTAGCAATGGACAGTGGTGTAGCAAGGGTTAGATGCGAGCGGGGCGGGCAAAACAATGTGCCGCCTACCTTTCTCAAACAAACAAACAAAACTGCAGTTGGCCAAAAATGCCACCCTCCATATAAAGAAAAGAAATGTGCAGTTGGCCAAAAATGCCACCCTCCATATAAAGAAAAGAAATGCCCCCCCCCAGAGGTGGTCGCCCCCCCCCCCGGCCTCTCTCCCGAAGCTACTGGCCCTACAATAAACCAACACTACAGAAATCAATAGATTTCAGCTCCACAGATTGTTAAGAAATGATATATTAAAAATGTTTCGGTTAAAATTTATGATAGTCCGTAATTTTTAAAAATGATTGTCAATATTTGTCAAGACATTTAATTTCGTTGGTGACTATTATTCATGGACAAATCAGTTCGCCACTACCACCCCACTCCAGAATATTTTTAAGGAGCCTCTAAACGCGATTTTATTTGTGGGGGGAATGGGGAGGGGGGGGGAGACCATAGGCATAAGCCATAATTTCCCCTTTGGGTTAATTCGACACTGCTTGAATCTCTCCAAAAACGCATTTCGAAATTTAAATTTTCATTTCAATCTAAATGGATTACTGTTGTGAGGGATTTTTGTTCCTTAAGCCATAATTCAGGCCTGCACAACTCAAAATGTAAGGCGGGCCGTAATACTTTATGAAAAGCTTGTGCGGGCCGAAAAAAAAATAGGACGGGGGGAGGGGGGGGAGCTATTCAGAAAATATTAATACAAGAGAATATTTCTTTACTTCGCGGGCCGCAAAGAGGGTGTTGGCGGGCCGTATGTTGGGCACAGGCCTGCTAATTGATAATGATATGACCACGTTTATTTATTATCATCGCTACCATGGAAACGTAGCCTCTATCTTTTAGCTTGCCAATTATAAGTAGCAATGGATGATGAGTATGGACGCTAATTTATGTTAATTTTTTACGGACGGTTCGTAAATTGTCCTGAACCTACTTGCAATGGCTTTTTTTTATGTGCAATACCGACGGGCATGTCGGGCATCTCCATACATGAGCCATAGAATTAGGGAAGAACAGAAAAAAGTAAGGGAAACAATGCAAGTCGTAAATTCTGTCCCGTAATCTTCAGGATGTTGAGAGAATGTTATCTTTTGCTGACATTAGGGGTAAATAAAATAGAAGCGTGTAATGTCAATTCATGAATTGATTCAGTGAATGAGCGATGAACAAGGAGAAACGAACGTTTACATATTTTCTCAGTCACTATTAATTTACAAAATATTGACTCGAATTCAAAGTGAAGGATGCGGATGGGGGAGAGTCAATGTGCACCTTGCATTAAAGTGCCACTTGGGACCGTGGTGGCGCTTTTTTCGGACCCCCCTTAAGTACGCCACCGAGAAAGGCAACACTTCGACTGCTTTGGGGTATCCACAGGTCTTAATCCGGCAGTGAAAGACTGTCATATCAATGGTTAGAAAAAGTTGTGTAGGTCATGTCTCGTAGGAAGGGGGTGCGAAGGGGGCAGTCCACCCCGGGCGGCACTTTTTCTTGATATCGATGGGGGGGGGCATGTTTCATCAAACGGTAGTGTTTTCTTCGTGGGAAGGGGGCGGCTAAAAGCTTGGCCAGGAAACGAGCGACATAGCTACGCCACTGGGTAGGTCTACTTATTTTGAATTGTGAGACATCAGTATTCTATGCGGCCGTGTGTGTCAACGTAGCTGGCGTGATAAACAACATGAAACATTCATGCAGCCGTGAGCCGGCATGTAAGGGTTAAAAGATCTCCGATGTTGAGCAAAATATTTGATGAATTTGTGGGCGACAAATTTCCCACATGGCTAGAAATCATTGAAACAATCGATTCTCCAAATCTGCTCAAATTAAGAATGTCTGAGTCTAAGGCAGGTGTTAGATTTACCTTGGGGAGCACTGAGTGGAGGCGGGTGTTAGACTCACCTGTGGAAGAATGAGTGGGAGTAGGTTTTAGACTTACCTGTGGAGCACTGATTGGAGGCAGGTATTAGACTTACATGTGGAGCACTGAGTGGAGGCAGGTGTTAAACTTACATGTGGAGCACTGAGTGGAGGCAAGTGTTAAACTTACCTGTGGAGCACTTAGTGGAGGCGGGTGTTAGACTTACCTGTGGAGCACTGAGTGGAGGTGGGTGTTAGACTTACCTGTGGAGCACTGATTGGAGGCGGGTGTTAGACTTACCTGTGGAGCACTGAGTTGAGGCGGGTGTTAGACTTACCTGGGGGAGCACTGAGTGGAGGCAGATGTTTGACTTACCTGTGGAGCACTGAGTGGAGGCAGATGTTTGACTTACCTGTGGAGCACTGAGTGGAGGTGGGTGTTAGACTTACCTGGGGGCGCACTGAGTGGAGGCAGATGTTTGACTTACCTGTGGAGCACTGAGTGGAGGCAGATGTTTGACTTACCTGTGGAGCACTGAGTGGAGGTGGGTGTTAGACTTACCTGGGGGAGCACTGAGTGGAGGCAGATGTTTGACTTACCTGTGGAGCACTGAGTGGAGGCAGATATTAGACTTACCTGTGGAGCACTGAGTGGAGGCGGGTGTTAGACTTACCTGGGGGAGCACTGAGTAGAGGCAGGTATTTGACTTACCTGTGGAGCACTGAGTGGAGGCAGATGTTTGATGGCACTTGGCCTGTACCTCAGCTCGAAGTCGTTAGGCTGAGCAACCGTCGCTCCGTGAAACTGAAATGTCAACATCAGAGACATTTTAATGACATTTATTACCACGAAAAACCTACAAATTTCATATTAATAAAGTCACTTAAGTAACAATGGAATAAAGTTACTTGAGTAAAAATGGAATAAAGTTTCTTAAGTAACAAAGGAATAAAGTTACTTAGGTTTATAAAAGAATAAAGCTACTTAAGTAAGAAAGGAATGGTTACTTAAGTAAGAAAGGAATGGTTACTTAAGTAAGAAAGGAATAACGTTACTTAAGTAAGAAAGGAATAATGTTACTTAAGTAAGAAAGGAATAAAGTTGCTTAAGTAAAAAAAATAGAAAAAGTTCGGAGCAACATTACATGTCACTGTCACCAAGTCAAGACGTGACAGTGAGAAATTAACGATGTCTGTTGGTGCGTTGTAACTTGTTTTAAAATGTGTAAATAGCTTCAAGAAATCTCTTGGGCATGATGTGTCTTCTAATTTTCAAGTCTCTCATCTCAGTGGCGTAACAGTGGCGTAACAGTGGCATAACAGTGGCGTAACAGTGGCATAACAGTGGCATAACAGTGGCATAACAGTGGCATAACAGTGGCATAACAGTGGCATAACAGTGGCGTAACAGATAAGCAGGTGACTAAGAGAGGGGGCTAATGGAAGGGAGGTAACTAAAACAAAAGTCCTCCGGTGTACCCTACCAGCAATGTACTAAACATCGGCGACTTATATGAGTTGTGGTAAAACGTCTGCTAAATGTTTTCACCAGTTTGAAACATTCTCAAATGATCTATCTTGCTTGGAACGTGTCTAACGGATTTTTACCTTACTTGTTCTAATTATTTTGGATGATTGCTGTTGTTGTATAGAGTAGTTGTAGAGTATAAAGTATTGTTGTAGTTGTAGATTATGAAGTATTGTTGTAGTTGTAGAGTATGAAGTATTGTTGTGGTTATGACGAGGTCGTGGGATGATAAACATGCCAACTCCCTCTTAATTTACTTGTGTGATCAGCTTCCTATTTCGAGTACAAGCCACTCAAATGACACTATGGGAAAACAACGTCCTCTATGAGTGAGATCATGTATTTTGTAGGACGTAACATAGAGGTTGGATTATATGAAACATCAGCGCACCAAGAATTGAACAATTTCTTTAATTAACTACATACAAAATTGTTCCTAATTAACTTAATACACCGTATTATTTGTCATTCAATTCACTTAATTAGTTAAATCAATCATTGAGGGACACCCCCTCATATCTACTAGACAATAAGTTACACCACCTTCTATCTACTAGAAAATAAGTTACACCCCCTCATATCTTCTAGACAATAAGTTACGCCCCCTCATATCTCCTAGACAATAAGTTACACCCCCTCATATCTCCTAGACAACAAGTTACACCCCCTCATATCTTCTAGACAATAAGTTACACCACCTTCTATCTACTCGAAAATAAGTTACACCCCCTCATATCTTCTAGACAATAAGTTACACCCCCTCATATCTCCTAGACAATAAGTTACACCCCCTCATATCTACTAGACAATAAGTTACACCACCTTCTATCTACTAGAAAATAAGTTACACCCCCTCATATCTTCTAGACAATAAATTACACCCCCTCATATCTCCTAGACAATAAGTTACACCCCCTCATATCTCCTAGACAATAAGTTACACTCCCTCATATCTCCTAGACAATAAGTTACACCCCCTCATATCTCCTAGACAATAAGTTACAACCCCCCTCATATCTACTAGACATTAATTGACAGCCCCTCATATCTACACGCCTTTTAAGTAAACACATTCCTTAATCTCTTTCTCTACTACTCGACAGTAAAACATGTTATGTTCCTTCTCCCTTTATACCTGTGTATCTTTTCATGCTGTTTAATTTCATTCCTTTTATCTCCCCCCTCTCGCTCGCGCTCTCTCTCTTTCTCTCTCTCTTTCTTTCTCTCTCCTTTCTCTCTCTCTCTCTCTCTCTCCTTTCTCTCTCTCTCTCCTTTCTCTCTCTCTCTCTCTCTCTCTCTCTCTCTCTCTCTCTCTATCTCTCTCCCTCTTCACTACTACTCCAGGCTTTAACTCTACTCGCGCTCTCTCTCTCTCTCTCTCTCTCTCTTTCTCTCTCCTTTCTCTCTCTCTCTCTCTCTCTCCTTTCTCTCTCTCTCTCCTTTCTCTCTCTCTCTCTCTCTCTCTCTCTCTCTCTCTCTATCTCTCTCCCTCTTCACTAGTAATCCAGGGGTTAACTCTAATTGTCCTACCCAAATCAATCAATTAACCGCCAATAACACCCAGTGAGGTGACGGTACCAGCTTTCTTGACTCCTACTCAAAGCTTTCCTGCCATTAATCGATATGTGTCAATAGATTTAGAACTATGCCAATCACTATCGATTTTTTTTCAGTTTTCTTTCGCAGTCGTTTTTTTGGATAAGCTTTTGTTCAGAGGAATTCGAAAGTCTCTTTAGTTCTATTTTTAGACTGACAACACAACCAGCAGACTTGAGTGTGATATTAAGACTGACAGTGCTGACAGCAGAATTCATTACGATATTTGTACTCATAATGAAAATACAGCCAGTAAAAGCAATTATTTCTTATAATTCAGCTAAAGAAAAGTTGATAAAATGACCAAGACTAAATCTGACAGATGGGCTACTCAACAAGACTAAATCTGACAGATGGGCTACTCAACAAGACTAAATCTGACAGATGGGCTACTCAACAAGACTAAATCTGACAGATGGGCTACTCAACAAGACTAAATCTGACAGATGGGCTACTCAACAAGACTAAATCTGACAGATGGGCTACTCAACAAGACTAAATCTGACAGATGGGCTACTCAACAAGACTAAATCTGACAGATGGGCTACTCAACAAGACTAAATCTGACAGATGGGCTACTCAACAAGACTAAATCTGACAGATGGGCTACTCAACAAGACTAAATCTGACAGATGGGCTACTCAACAAGACTAAATCTGACAGATGGGCTACTCAACAAGACTAAATCTGACAGATGGGCTACTCAACAAGACTAAATCTGACAGATGGGCTACTCAACAAGACTAAATCTGACAGATGGGCTACTCAACAAGACTAAATCTGACAGATGGGCTACTCAACAAGACTAAATCTGACAGATGGGCTACTCAACAAGACTAAATCTGACAGATGGGCTACTCAACAAGACTAAATCTGACAGATGGGCTACTCAACAAGACTAAATCTGACAGATGGGCTACTCAACAAGACTAAATCTGACAGATGGGCTACTCAACAAGACTAAATCTGACAGATGGGCTACTCAACAAGACTAAATCTGACAGATGGGCTACTCAACAAGACTAAATCTGACAGATGGGCTACTCAACAAGACTAAATCTGACTGATAGGTAACTCAACAAGCCTAAGTCTGAAAGACAGGCTACTCACTGAGCCTCAATCTGACAGATAGGCTACCGGTACTCAATGAGCCTAACTTCCTCAGGGAGGGCATTTCATATTTTCGGTTGAGCAGTGCCAGTAACCAGAGGCGTAGCTAAGGGGGGCAAATCGGGGGAGACTAGCGGGGCACCAAAAATGGGCTTTGTTGGTATTTAATGGATTAAAAAATGGGTTTTAGGGTTTGGGGGGGGGGGGATAAAATGAATATTATTCCCTGGCGCCAAATACTCTAGCTACGCCTCTGCTAGTGGCGTAGAAAGGGCGTGGGTATGCTTTTTCCCTAAATTAATCTCACTCCTTAAATGTTATAGTCCCCAGATTGAGTTATTTTTTGTTGATAATACCTGATTTTAGTTTTGCAATATTCTACACTTTATAGGAGAGCGACGGAAGAGATGCCAGTTAAACATGTAGGTGTCACTTAACCTCAGAGCCATCTTGTGGCCCGCAACCCCTATGGGTGCAGGTGGTCGTGGATATTTTTTTTTTTTAAATATCAAATTTTAATTTGAATGCAAGGTGGAGGAGGACAAAACCGAAAATGGCAGGGGTCCTCGAAAAGACAAGCGACGGCTCTGCTTGACCTGCTTGTGTTAAATCATTTTTTTATATTACTATATAGTAAAGTGGCTATATTATGTTTATTTAATATATTTTAGGAGCAAGATTACTTAATTAATAAGTGAATTTAATTTTTGTAAACCCTTCCAAAAAAAAAAAAAAAAAAAAAAAGGATTTCCATCACAAAAAGCACTGCCAGCATCATTTTACACAGTGAACGCAAATGAAAAAAAAAACAAACTTACTTGTAGTAATTACATGTTTCTACATATTTCTATGTTTTACCAGATGTCAAAAGGGAATAAAATGTTTAGTAGAAAGGTTTATACATTTGCATGGGTTTACGGAACTGTTCATTTTTATAAATCGTATATGAACGGCAGAATACTGCTCCACCGCATTCGTGTGTGGGAAATGTAACAGAGACTGCCACTCGAGGATTGGTCTCACCAGCCACACCAAGAGCTGCAAGCAATAAAGATAATCTATCGTCTCCCGCAGACGGAAAGATGCCATACAATATGAACGGCAGAAGTACGTTATAAAAGCATGAGATATTTACAAAAGACATAATATATTTATTAATATGTGATTTAATCTAAGAGACCTCGTATAAAGATAAAGTATAAATTTCACAAAATTCATTTGATTGAAATGTTTATTTGGAATTTCAAACTAATATAACTTTCTTGCAGATAAATTACAAATTATTACCTTTTCGATATATTTAACACATTTTGTTTTACAAAACAAATTGAATTATTTATTTTTAAATGGATGATTTAGTAAGGATAATATTTGTTCTTCTAAAACTAGTAAAAATATTGAATCCATGTGTGCAAATAGGCGAGGCAGATTAATGAGCACCTGCATTACGGGTCAAGGTGGGCCACATACCCCCCTTCCAGTAAAATAATAAATTTACATAAAATATTATTTAATATGTGCATTTTGTGCCTCTGAATATAAAATAGTTTATCTAAAAGTTAATAGTATCTCTTTTCATATGACACGAATGACCAGGGTCGAGAAGGGGAATGATGGACGTAGGTACCGGACACAAGTACAATGATGAAGTAGGGTAGTTAACCTGATATCAGCAGAGTTTGTGGTAGTACAGGGAAGACAACATGGGAGGCACGGAGACAGCAGGGGGACTGTGTGGGAACGGGTCTCAACGAATGAGTTCGCGTCATGCGTTTTGTAGTTGGTAAAAGTGGAATGATCATGAAGACCATGGGCAGCGTTGGATTAATTATCAGTGATAGAAAAAAACAACTTCAAACTGATAGACATAGATGCTGATAAGCGGGTAGAGACATAGACTAGGCGTCCGGTGGTAAGTATCTGGTCGGGAGAATGTTGTCTTTAATCATGTAGACATTCAATGAACATGGGACACATATCTAGTAGAGTTTATAGTCACCCGACGGGAAATCTAAGGGAACACTTTTTCGAGACACGAGTAGCAGAGTTAGAGATTCGTGGACGGTCATTCTGATGTAATAGACGCAGTGGTACCAGTCGTAGTCAAAGATAAGCCTAGGGATAGACAAGGTTCATGAATCCCAGTGATGATGATGAGTGTAAGACATGTTGTAACCCAAAAACTATATCCACATCAACGACACTGACAAGAGAGTACCAACAAGTTGAAGAACAAGCTAAAAGCAGTGACCTTACCATTTCCCACTCGCAGGAGTTTGAAGCTGCTGCCAGTGGTTTTCGAAGCTGATATTAATTTCTATCGGCATCTTTCAAATTTGACACAGAAATATCAACACATATTAATTTTGGCCGTGACATGGCAATCGGTGATTTTGATTTGGCTCGATGTATTCAGTCAACATCTCAACTGTCAGATGTTTTAAAAGATCTTTTACTCACAAACCCATACCGACAAACAGATAGTTACAATGTCAGCGTGGACAGACCTGGCAAAAAACGTTGTTTACATTATGCCTGACTTGATCAGTTTCCCCCGTGGCTTGCCTATTCTAGTCATCATAAAGGTCCAGTGTGGATATTTTGTATTGTTTCCCCGCAACCCATTTATCGCGGAGACCAGTGACATTTATAGAAACATCTTTCGTCATTTTAAGACAATGGCTTTCCTCAAGGTGCTCGTAATCATGAGGAAAGTGACAGGAGCAAAGGCGCTCAGCAGAGTGCAACAGCATTCTTGAGCATCATTAGGAATCCAGACCAACATATCCTAAGTCGAAATAAGTTTTTGTCGATATTATCCACAATCATTTTCTGCGGAACACACATCGCACTTCGTGTCAAAATAATGTTAGTGGAAAAGATCATGATCTGTTTCAGCTTAGAATTGAGGCTGGTGACGAAGACATTGAGACTCATTTGCAGACCTCCATTGGTAATGCTCGATACATATATCTCACTGATCAACTAAATAGAGATATGTGAAACAAATGATGACATCAGCAAACAATTCTATAGGATTATCAATATTAGAAGATGAAACAGTTGATATATTAGTAGGAACATAACAATTGTCATTGGCAGTATGTTTTGTAGACAACGAAGAGAGTGAAGAATTGATCGGATTCCAGCCATTGAAGCAAATGACGGCATCTGCAGTTGAAGATGCTATTGTGAATCACAGTAAAAAATGTGGTCTGGACGTGACAAAATTAATTGGACAAGGATATGACAGCTGTTACACAATTAGAAAAGAAAAGAAAGGAGGTGTTCAGACTGAAATACGCAAGATCTCTCTAAAAGCAGCTTTTCTTCCTTTGATCTGTGCATTGGCTCAATCTAGTAGTAAATGATTTGAACTCACTGTTTAAGTGTGTAATGCCCATGGTACAATCAAAGCTATATCGTTAAGTTTTTTTCGAGAAAGCATACAGCGAAGGTCTATAAAACTCGTTGGTCTGCAAAATATAAAAAACATTTGGCTTTTCAGTGAGAATTTCGAGGTGATATGCAATCAATGGCGCAATCTAGCAACACATGTCACAGGTAAAACGTGACAAGATGCTCACCAGCTATTGCGTTCTCTTTCTTCGCCTACATTTCTCGTATGTCTTGTGATTATCTCTACATCCTCAGCGATACTGTAAACAGTAAGTCATTGACTAAGGTCTTTCAGGGTTGTCTTTGCTTAGTGTACATCGTTCAGGTGTGAGTGCACTTACTCCCTCACCCCAGGGGATGTGGGCGCTCATGGTTAAGAACCCCTGCTTTTTGACCATCTAAACCAGGTGTCTTCAAACTTGTTAAACCTGGGCCGGGTTCAAAACTATAGTTGACTCAGATCAAACATTCAACTTATTAAAGAAAGTTCTAATGAAAATAGCAATGCAACCTTTCGAATTCATACGGGAAAAGGCAGTCCTAACGACTGTGGGGCGATACCGACGAATGGACAGACAGGAACCCTGCTTTCAGTTACAGGATCAATGGGTAAAGAAAACCAGATTAAAGAGACCTTCCTTTCATGGATATGGTCCACAGTCGGGGAGACTTGATATTACCCAAAATCATAGAAAAAGTAAGGATGATCCCAGCACGGGGACCCCACGAAAGCCTTACCCGACCTGACATACGTCTGGCCTTGATGAAAACCAATGCCACAAAAACCAGCTCTCAACCAAAACTATTAGAGGCAGTGCAAAGAATGGTTGACGCCTACACGGACAGCCTGGTCAAAGGCTTCACAGACGGCTCATGTTTCGCGGGGGAAGAACGCTGTGGCTACGGTGGTCTTATCCAACACCCCAAAGAGATAGCTCCACCCGAGGACCTATCCGGACCCAGTGGGGAAAGCAGAACGAACCTCGATGCCGAAAGTTAGGCAATACCGGTTGCCCTCAAGAGAGTCCACCAACGTCTAGAGAAGAGGAAAAACTTTCCGGACATCGTGGTCTTTACCGACTCGCGCTCTGCTCTCGAGCATGTGGTAAGGGGCTCAACGGAGACCACGATGGTGAATGCCATTCTGGAGACTGTAGGTAACATCCATGCCAAGGGCGGCAAAGTAATCCTGCAGTTTATCACTGGGCACGTTGAGCTGACGCAGCACGACAGGGTGGACTGCCTGGCCAAAGAAGGCGCAAGCCCATGGCTCAGCTAGTAGTCACGGCGCGTGGTTAATGGACCACTTTCTTGAAAAGTGGCTACGCGATTGGACCGCAGGAGAAAATGAAAGACAGCTCTATCGGAAGATGTAGCGACCGAGCAAGAGTGACCCCTGGTGGAAACTAAAGCGAGGCGACCAAAGCCTCATCACCCAGATGAGGACAGGCCATTGCGTGACGCGCAGCTACCGCCATAGACTTGACGACAGGAAGGAACCAAACTGACGATTTTGTGGTTAGTCAAAAGAGACAGTGGTGATTGACTGCCCCAGCAGTGGGAAAGGGTCAGAGGGTCGGACCCATGCTTTACGGTGATGTCCACCAGATGAGACAAGCCGTCACACTATTAGCCAGGGCTATAAGAGGGTCATCTCAGTACACCTTAGAGAATGTAAAATAATTAGTTATAATCAACATACCAGGATATTTCAACGAGGCCCTGTCAGAATGTTTCTTATGGTCAGGCTTTTGACCGTGTAGCAATTTAACCATTGTAACCTGGAGTCATCTCAGCGGTTCTCACACGGGTTAGCTGAGACATTTGACCTTGTACCATTACAACCAATGTGAACCCTCTCAGTGATCTTATAGAGTAGTCCATTTAAATAATTACTTGGTATCCAATAGACATTTTTCCTTAGTTTATCAAGGCCACGAAATTAGTACTCTGAGGTTTCCACATTGGACTTCTTAGTCTTGTTTTCCAGTGATATCTTAGTCTCATTTTCCCGTGACATCTTAGTATTGTTTTCCAGTGATATCTTAGTCTTATTTTCCCGTGACATCTTAGTTTTGTTTTCCCGTGACATCTTAGTTTTGTTTTCCCGTGACATCTTAGTCTTGTTTTTCCGTGACATCTTAGTCTTGTTTTCCCGTGACATCTTAGTCTTGTTTTCCCGTGACATCTTAGTTTTGTTTTCCCGTGACATCTTAGTCTTGTTTTCCCGTGACATCTTAGTTTTGTTTTCCGTGACATCTTAGTCTTGTTTTCCCGTGACATCTTAGTCTTGTTTTCCCGTGACATCTTAGTCTTGTTTTCCCGTGACATCTTAGTCTTGTTTTCCCGTGACATCTTAGTCTTGTTTTCCCGTGACATCTTAGTTTTGTTTTCCCGTGACATCTTAGTCTTGTTTTCCCGTGACATCTTAGTCTTGTTTTCCCGTGACATCTTAGTTTTGTTTTCCCGTGACATCTTAGTCTTGTTTTCCCGTGACATCTTAGTCTTGTTTTCCCGTGACATCTTAGTCTTGTTTTCCCGTGACATCTTAGTTTTGTTTTCCCGTGACATCTTAGTCTTGTTTTCCCGTGACAGTTTCATGTTATTTGACCATGGCCTCTCAGGCGTGAGTCGATTTTAATTAAATCTAGAAACGATTTATAGAACAAAGCCAAGATGTTCTTAAATTTAATTATGCCACAGAGACAACGTACAGGTCTGTTTTACCATGACCATCAAACGAACACACTTCTATGGTGCATTCATGATGAGATCATTTCCCTTTTCTAGTATATATGTAACAAAAATTAACACCATTGTCAATTATTTCTTTAGGTTGTTAATGCAAGCCGATAATAGGCCTACACTTTTTTTAATAGATTTCCAAAGGTATTTGATGAATTTTCTTTTAGCGATTTTATTCTGAAACTTATTTTATCACATGAATTGCCGACAATAGTTTGAAAGGACGCGATACAGTTTACGACAGTGTTATTATTTCCACCTCCAGCCCTTAAAAAATAATTAAAAAAGGAGGCCCTTAATGTTTGATCGCTTGGTCCACACAAACGAGTGTCAAATTTCTTTGTATAAATTCTTACATTCACTGCTTGAGAGGATTTCTCGGTTCAGTGATCCTATACCGCAACGGTCGTTTCGCATGATTAGAGCTACACCTGACTGATTACAAACTCAAACGCTATCACGTCTGAAGTGAGGGATCAAGATTTCAAGAGAAGTGGGTAGGAACTGTCAAACGTGTGCAACCATATATGTCGCCTTATGAATTGTCACCCGTGTGAAGTTTCGTCGTATGAACTGTCACACATATGCAACCAGATGTGTCGTCTTATGAACTGTCACACATATGCAACCAGGTGTGCCGTCTTATGAACTGTCACAGGTCGGAAACCATATATGTCGTCTTATGAATTGTCACCCATGTGAAGCCAGAAGTGTCGTCATATGAACTGTAACACGTCGGAAACCAGAGGTATCCCCTCATGAACTGTCAAAACATGTGAAGCCAGAGGTGACGTCTTATGAACTGTCACACGTCGAAACCAGATGCATACTCTCATGAACTGTCACATGTGGGGATGCCAGAGGTCTTGCCTTGTAAACTGTCACGTGTGGGAAGTCAGGGGTGTCACCTTTTGAACTGTCACACGTGGAAAGTCAGAGGTGTCACCCTATGAACCATCTACCAGATGAAATCAGGGTTGTCGCCTTGAAGGGACGCATATCCTAGCTATTGTGGTGATATGAGACACACATTTATGTTTCCAATCTCTTGAACAATAATAGAGGATAGAAGAGGGGCGGAGAAATTGTCACTGTTGAAAGATCAACAAGAGAACAACCATTATGCGGGAAATAAGAAAAGTCCCATTCAAGACTCACATTTGACCATCATGCGGGAAATGAGAAAAGTCCAATTCAAGACTATTTGATTTTTTGTTCATGAAAATTTTTTTGTTACAAATCTATACAATTAATAAAATCGCGAAAATCTTGACTGAAACCCACCCACACACATCCACACACACATCCACACACACACCGATTTACACCCACCCACATACACACACACATACGCACACCAATCAGACAATTACGACTATAAAACCCAAAATATTTTGATTTTTGACCGACAGTCGTTGGTTACACTTCCACCAAGCACCAACTGTCACCAGTCGTTGGTTACACTTCCACCAAGCACCAACTGTCACCAGTCGTTGGTTACACTTCCACGAAGCACCAACTGTCGACAGTCGTTGGTTACACTTCCACGAAGCACCAACTGTCGACAGTCGTTGGTTACACTTCCACGAAGCACCAACTGTCGACAGTCGTTGGTTACACTTCCACGAAGCACCAACTGTCGACAGTCGTTGGTTACACTTCCACGAAGCACCAACTGTCGACAGTCGTTGGTTACACTTCCACGAAGCACCAACTGTCACCAGTCGTTGGTTACACTTCCACCAAGCACCAACTGTCGACAGTCGTTGGTTACACTTCCACGAAGCACCAACTGTCGACAGTCGTTGGTTACACTTCCACGAAGCACCAACTGTCGACAGTCGTTGGTTACACTTCCACCAAGCACCAACTGTCGACAGTCGTTGGTTACACTTCCACCAAGCACCAACTGTCGCCAATCTTGACTGGGCTTAAGTAAGCGTCTTCACTTTAAAAACATTTTTAAAAAAATTGCATTTGCATTTTCTACCGAATTCGGTCTTGTATGTCCGTCTTCGGAGAAATACGGACCCAGTGTAAACGCAGCCTAAGGTAGTTGGTCAATCTGGCCAATTAAACATTTACGATTTAAGTCCATTAGATTTAATAGTCATATGCCGCATACCGGACATGATTACAAGCATTTCAGAAAGCCCAATGCTTTAAAACAAAATAATCAATCAAAATCCACATAAAGCTTATCAATATCTTTGATCTCATGAAATGTGTCCGGGGGGTGCGGTCCAATCGGGTTTGAAAAGCCAAGAGATAAACGGATCTTACATCATCATAGCAACACAAACCAAAGTGTTGGGTACGAAAACTTAGGAATAATTTTCCTTATATTGAACTTGTTGTTTAATTCTTTGATTTGTGGCACAAAGATGACGTCAGAGATCATAGATTAGTTAGTTGGTCTCTGATTATGTTAAGCTACTTTAAACCATACGTCTCAATGGGAAATAGCGTCGGGTGGCCGTCGAGCGCGAACTCATACTGCCCCCCCGGCACCCCCCACCCCACACGGGCCAGACGCTGGGTCACCCCGCCGCCAGTGGTGGCACACCAGGAACCTCCCCCCTGGTCTGAGGGACGTCCGGTCGACCGAAAACGCTGCGTTTAAAGCGTTCGCAGCCGACTTTCCTATGGCTTGGGCGGGTTTTCTTCCACTCCTGAGGGAAGGTGTTGCGTTACCACCCCCACCGCCCTGGGAGTCTTTCTGTCGGGACGGAAATCTGGGACGAAAAGGTTGCCTAGGAGCGGCTTTCTCGCAGTCGCGTAGCTACAATCATCGGCATGGGTTTTAATGGAATATTGGTTTGTTAACGCTTAGTAAATTTAAACTTTTCAAATAAAATACATACTTATAAAAATTCTATGATTTTATCCTTCATTTTTTTCATAAGGTAGAAGTAATAAGTAAGTATTGTGAACATTTTAATAAAAAACTTTAATTTGAGTAGACCATATTTACTACCATAATATTACATTTGGGATCCATTAGGAATTTATGATTGCTAAAATGATTATCAAATAGGCCTACATGAAATTTTATATAGAAATTTCCACACACACACACACACACACACAAACGATCATGATTTTCCATTACTTTGATTTTTTTGTAAAGAAAAAAGTAAAATTAAAGTTTTAAATTAAAACTTATAAATGACAAGATAAGAATTGTATATTTTTAATGTGGCAGTTTTGAAAGAATCTGTCTCACGTCGTGAGATAAGGACCCTTTCACTCTTGATGTTTGGCAAAACAAACGTTCGGTCTATTCAATGCTTCACACAGGGGAGATCAAAATAAATAACAAGCTTTACTCCTTTAGTTTACCTCTCAGGGAAGTTATAATCTCCCTTCATTCAAATTTACTTTCTTCTACCACCCAAGGGAGACGAGCATTGTCAGCAGGGGAGATCAACAAGGTGGTCCTGGCCGGGTTCAACAAGGTGGTCCTGGCCGGGTTCAACAAAATGGTCCTGGCCGGGTTCAACAAGGTGGTCCTGGCCGGGTTCAACAAGGTGGTCCTGGCCGGGTTCAACAAAATGGTCCTGGCCGGGTTTAACAAGGTGGTCCTGGCCGGGTTCAACACGGTGGTCCTGGCCGGGTTCAACAAAATGGTCCTGGCCGGGTTTAACAAGGTGGTCCTGGCCGGGTTCAACAAGGTGGTCCTGGCCGGGTTCAACAAAGTGGTCCTGGCCGGGTTTAACAAGGTGGTCCTGGCCGGATTCAACAAAATGGTCCTGGCCGGGTTCAACAAGGTGGTCCTGGCCGGGTTCAACAAAATGGTCCTGGCCGGGTTTAACAAGGTGGTCCTGGCCGGGTTCAACAAGGTGGTCCTGGCCGGGTTCAACAAAATGATCCTGGCCGGGTTTAACAAGGTGGTCCTGGCCGGGTTCAACAAGGTGATCCTGGCCGGTTCAACAAGGTGGTCCTGGCCTGCTCCAAGTATACACGGAACACTCTCTTCCTTATTAGCTGTGCAGGGCAGAGCTTCACAACCGGTGTAGAGATAGCAACCCGAACCGAATACACTGAACTCGAACCCTGCTGACGACTGAACCCTGCTGACGACCGAACCCTGCTGACGACCAAACCCTGCTGACGACTGAACCCTGCTGACGACCGAACCCTGCTGACGACTGAACCCTGCTGACGACTGAACCTTGCTGACGACTGAACCCTGCTGACGCCCGAACCGGAACCGAACCCTGCTGAAGGCCTAACCGTAACTTCTAAAAGAGGGTATAACGCCCATCTCTAAACCGGTGTGCCGATACACACCCAATGCTAGGTGCGTCGCAAGACGATGCTAGATGCGCCGCGGCAAGATCCTCCGAGGGGATGAACAAAAACTGAAGACAATACACTGTTTTTTTTTTTAAACGAAAGATATGAAATGATTGGATAATTAACAAGGTGACAAACCTTTGAAGCCAAATAGCACAGCACACCTTTTACGTTTAAATTTGACTGGTCACCTGACCAAGTCACAATTTTTATGCGTCTGAGGCGCAAGGGACGAATGCGTCTGTCGGCTTGACTTTTGATTCATCGCTTTTCACGCTTGTACTATGGGGAATACTTGGACTTAATGTGGCTTGAGGGTGGATTGCATTCTTTACACTGCCTAGTGAACATTTCATTACCGACTAATTAAAAAAACTAACCAACACAACACTATCTCAGCCCCATCGTGTCGAGACAGAAGGAACCGAAGTCTTTCATCTGATTTGTTGACGGAGTCAAATTGGGGTTGACCAGTGCCACATAATTATGTCGTCCATGGTGCTTTAGTTTCATTATTATTTTTTCTTCTTTGTTTTTGCCTTGAAATGAATCTGGCAACTTTACACACGAACGTCATAAGTCAGTTTGTGGTCAGCGCTTGTATTTGTATCAGACGAATATTCTAATTGTGTGTTTGAATGTGAATGTTTCTTTGTGTTATATCAGTCAATGAACCAACAGTTAAGAAAAAAAAATACAAATCATAATAGTTCAACATATAACATTAACCCTTACAACACGGTGACAAGCTGTTGTGTAAAGAAAAAATTGGCTAGAGTGCAAAGTCAGTTTTTAAAAAGTGTTTTACTTAAAGCCCTACTTCTGCTCTAATGAATAACGCGCTCAAAAAGTGATACGTATTTAATGTACTTGTTATACTTATCTACCTGCTCATATTAATTTTACGTCTATCAGAAATAATATATATTTTTTTTAAAAATACTGTCACGTAACAGTAAATCAGTTTTATCTCCCCTCCCCCCACCTAGTTTTGATGTGGTGTGCCGTGGTAATCTTTGTAGGGTCTAGGTGCACAGGTGTACAGCATTAAATCAGTGGGAAGCTAGGTTTAGTGCCACCAGGGTCCGGCCAACATTTTTGCAGCCCTTTGAATGAGAAAAATACAGAAACATTTGCAGTCACCCGAAAACGCCGCCCCTCCTTATGAAGGAAATAAGTGCCACCCGGGGCGGACCGACCGCTCCCCGCTTTCACTACGCAAATGGCTTGAAAAATCAAGTGCCATTCGGTCACGTTTAATATCATAGCACATCAAGTGCAAGTAGCAAGGGCGTCACACGGGCCAAGGTTGTCACACGGGCCAAGGTTGTCACACAGGCCAAGGTTGTCACACAGGCCAAGGTTGTCACACAGGCCAAGGTTGTCACACAGGCCAAGGTTGTCACACAGGCCAAGGTTGTCTCACAGGCCAAGGGCGTCACACAGGCCAAGGTTGTCACACAGGCCAAGGTTGTCTCACAGGCCAAGGGCGTCACACAGACCAAAGGTGTCACACAGACCAAGGTTGTCACACAGTCTAAAGGAAGAGGCGGCACTCAGCATGTATGTTTCACTTCTGACCCTAACAACAATGCGGACCTTAACAACAACGCTGACCCTAATCACAAGGCTGACCCTAACAACAAGGCTGACCCCAACCACAATGCTGACCCTAACCACAAGGCTGACCCTAACCAAAATGCTGACCCTAACCACAAGGCTGACCCTAACAACAATGCTGACCCTAACAACAAGGCTGACCCTAACAACAATGCTGACCCTAACCACAACGCTGACCCTAACAACAAGGCTGACCCTAACCACAAGGCTGACCCTAACCACAAGGCTGACCCTAACCACAAGGCTGACCCTAACCACAAGGCTGACCCTAACCACAAGGCTGACCCTAACCACAAGGCTGACCCTAACCACAAGGCTGACAAACGTGACTGATTCCCGGGGTCAGTCAACACACCGGCCCTGCCCAAAAATGTCAGCCTTGAACTTGTGTTAGGTCCCCTAGCTACGTCTAACTTGTGTTAGGTCCCCTAGCTACGTCTAACTTGTGTTAGGTCCCCTAGCTACGTCTAACTTGTGTTAGGTTCCCTAGCTTAGTCTAACTTGTGTTAGGTCCCCTAGCTACGTCTAACTTGTGTTAGGTCCCCTAGCTACGTCTAACTTGTGTTAGGTCCCCTAGCTACGTCTAACTTGTGTTAGGTCCCCTAGCTACGTCTAACTTGTGTTAGGTCCCCTAGCTACGTCAAATTTGTGTTAGGTCCCTTAGCTACGTCTAACTTGTGTTAGGTCCCCTAGCTACGTCTTAACATTATGGACATAAATATTGCATCACAATCTTACCAGTGGTAGTCATGTGACTGAGTGGAATAACTATTTAGATTTGAACCAGGCGCGTACTGTAAGGGGCACATTTTTAGGGACACAAAAGGTCGTAGATTTTGACGGCAGACCCCGTGTTTCCCCCAAATGTTGATATTTTCAAAATCCAGCCACGCATTGGGAAGCTATATATATATATATTACTACACAATTAAATCATGGAATCGTTGCAGACAACGCAAAGAGACAGAGGCGTATAGATGGGGGACAGGGGAGGACAGATTCCCCTGGCGCCAGCTCGTTAGGGTCGCCAAAATGTGCTTTGATATTATTTTATTGATGAAAATAATAGGTTTGAGTGTAGAAAAAATAAAGGGGGGCGCTTTAAAATGAATCTTGTCCCCGGGTGCCAAACACTCTCGCTACGCCTCTGCAAAGAGGTTTCAAAATATTTGCTTTTTAGTTTATATAATATATGTAGTTCAGTGCGTTATTGTTGTTGTTGTCGGTTAAGTAATGATGTTCCAGTAAAATGCTTTAGCCACTTACTTTGTCTTAGTTTGTCCGGGGATTGCTAGCGATTGTCCTCACGATGGTGCAACAACTATATCGGTCAAATAAATATACTTGCACAAACATAAAATTATAACGTTATATGAACATTCTTGAATAATAGGCCCTTTTATCACCATGCATGTCTTTAGTTGGGGCTTAATACTAGTGAATTTTAATGTTACGAAGATTTAGCTGGCAATAAAAATTAAGCCATTCATTATTCATACGATTGTAGCATATTTCTTGCTCATAGCTTATTTAAATTGACCACCATGCGACATTTCTTCTATACGGGAACATAACGTCCTTCAAGATTAATCGACTGGCATGTCAGTGAACGGCATAGTTAGGCTGAAGTAGAGAAGATTACACAAAGCTGGCATTGTTAGGATTGGTTTATGGATCAATGGAACCAAAGTATCGGCCATGCACATACTGTCTGTAAAGCTATTCTTACGCCACTGTTGTTCAATTAGAAGAATACGCTAAACGGAGGACTTAAAAATAATACTGCTGGAAACACTAGGCTGGTCATCATTGGAGGAACGGCGACGACAATCCAGGCTCTCCATGATGTACAAGATAAATAATGGGCTGGTCCACTGTTCCAGTATTAAACAGAAACTCGTCCCTCTCCCCCATAGACAGCGACGAGGCCATGACAGGCTATTCAGGCTCATACCAGCAAGAAGCCAGTATAGGAGCTGCTCATTCCCGCCCAAGACAGTCAGGGACTGGAACAATCTTTCAAAAGGAACGGTTAGGCGACAACACTAGACACATTTGTGTCTATTGCCTCAAGCCTTCAAACCCCTAGTGCATGCTACCCTCACAAAGTGGCACTGGAAATCAGTGAAATTTCCTCATCAACACTGTTACAGAGAGCTTGTTTACACAATATTTCTCGTACGTGCCCTCTGATTGACCCCGCATGAGACGCTGTGTTCACAAAGGGGTGTGGCTTAGGTCTTTGATGTATTTCTTGTTTACACCGCCAGCCACTGAAAATAATTAATCTGTTCCAAATAGTATTTGGTAGAATGATTGGGATTTTTCTCGAAATGTCTCGAAGGCAGGGCTTGGGCGTCGGTAGACCCACCTATATAAGGGATTGACAGGCACGGACGACAGACGGAGATTTCATATAGATTCTCTTAACATTACGAGGCGTGTTTTATTCTTAACACATAAACACACGAGGATGAATATACACAAAATTTCGCATTATTTATTGGCATCATTATTTCTAATTGTATTAACTGTGTACCGGTACGACATCTGCCATACTGTAAGTTGAAGATTGTAATTTATTTCTAATTGTATTAACTGTGTACCGGTACGACATCTGCCATACTGTAAGTTGAAGATTGTAATTTTATTTTATTTTATTTTGTAATTATCTTAAGACATAATAAATCGTAATTAATTGTGACTAGAAACTGTTTTGGGTCGTATCCTTAATATTGTTGATTATATGGTATCGTCCTTTGTTAGGCACTGTTTACAACGAGCCAATTAAAATTAAAATAGGAGATTAATTTCTCCCAATACAAGTCAGTGCGTAACAAACACCAGTAACCGAAACATTGCAAATCCCATCTACATGTATAGGAGCCAAAATGATAAATAAATTGATCGTGGGCCATTAAGACATAGAAGAAGAAGAAGAAGGAGAAGAAGGAAGTAGGCTACATTGTGTTCCGTGTCAAAGCTAGAAAACAAGAGAGGGAAGGCCAACTAATCCCAAGTGTATGAAGGGGTGCCGAAAATATGTGACAGCTTGCAAAGATATGTGACAGCGTGACATGATAGGACAAGAGTTCAAATAGCAAGAGTTGCGCAATAAAGGCCATATGTCTACAAAGGCTACAAGAGAAACATAAAACTGCAAGGGCGCAATGGTAAAATAGTTGTGTTTTTCCCAGTGTTATCTAGATATTTTAATGTAGTATAATCTGTTTTATACAGTTTAGTCTAGTCAGAAAATAATTTTTACAATTTAATTTTTAAGTAGTACAAAGATGATTGCCGAGGCTTGACTCTACTCGTATATTTAATGATTCATTGTCGATCTAGTTTTGCAGACAATAAAGTGAGTTCTACGATGTTGGAGCTCATGCCATTTTTATTTAATGAACTATAAGCATGACTGGAGTGGTCATGGGGAAAGGTTGCCAACATGCCCAGGTTACCCAAAACGTTGGCTTAAAATCTTTTCACTGGCCATGTTGATATCTAAAAGCCTTTCGGCCCATTAGATGGCAAAGCCCCATTTCGCCCAAAGGACTTATTTTGGTGCTGTATTACCCATTGTGTTTAGAGTTTACTGCATGCATCATTTAATATGAACATTATTCGACTACTTTTACTTTAATGTCATTTCCATGTGACCTATTTCTCGGGTGAGGACTCGGGTCGCACAATCAGCATTTAACAGATTTAAAAAAAACAGAAAATCTCGTTGCCGGTAAAAACAGTTTTTTTGAGAAATTATAGTTGCTACAAAGTAGCTTCTAACAGCGTTCATGATTGAGGGCTACATTCTGTACGCTTCTAGAAAGTGAACTATTTTTTACACGTTAAAAAACAATTAAAACAAATTTATTTATTTTTTGCTCACTAATCATTACTTGGACCAACCGAAAACTTTGCGTCATTGTTTGGAATGATTGTTTATATATTTACATGTGGTCTGAACCACAACTGGGATCAACCAAAAATTTGCTTAACGTAATTGTTCCGAATAATTTGTCCATACATTTTTATGTTTCCTGGACATAGTTACGCTGGGTGACTCTACTGACAGCCGTTCAACCTTGTGAGCAAACATCGTATCGTTAATTGGTACCCCCCAAAACAAAAATCTCTGAATACTTCTCACGTCTCCGGGGTGAATCAGACTGAACGGTCCTTCAAGGTCGGTGCCAAGTTCGACGTGATCTATTGAACACGGACAACGCTGAACAGCAAAGCGGACAATTCCAATGTATGTTAATGGGAACTCGGAATGAAAGGTCGTTCAAATAAAAACCATTTGATTTGCATTTTTTGCCAGGGGCTCCTTGGAGAGGATTGTTCTCGATTAGGTGCGATTTGTTTGCTTCGGCGGCTGGGCAGAGAAGACGCGGTCCATGATTTTCTACTCAACAACACGTTTTTCCTCCGTGGACGTTGTCATGTGACATTCAAATCGTTTCGCAGACGTTGTTTGCCTGGGTGTCGTGTATTTCGACCAGCAAGTGTTTAATACATGCTGGTACACCTGTATGGGGTTTTACAAATATATCTTTATAGAAATGGAGTTGATTTCAATATCAGAGATCAGACACTTGGCTTCTTTAATAAACCACCACCCCACGAGGTTTGGGTTTTATAAAAGACCCCCCACCCCACCCAAAGAGGTTTGGCTTCTATAACAGACCCCCACCCCATGAGGTTTGGGTTCTGTAACAGATCCCCCACCCCAAGAGATTTTTGGTTCTATAACAGACCCCCACCCCATGAGGTTTTTGGTTCTATAACAGACCCCCACCCCATGACGTTCGGGTTCTTTAACAGACCCCCACCCCCAGACGCTTTTTTTTCTATGACAATCTATAACAGACCCCCACCCCATGAGGTTTGGGTTCTGTAACAGATCCCCCACCCCAAGAGGTTTTTGGTTCTATAACAGACCCCCACCCCATGAGGTTTTTGGTTCTATAACAGACCCCCACCCCATGAGGTTCGGGTTCTATAACAGACCCCCACCCCAAGAGGTTTTTGATTCTATGACAGACCCTCAACACATGAAGTTTCCTTCTTTAATAGATCCCCATAGGTTCTGGTCTTACTTGAACCCCCAACCCCATAAAGTTTGGAGCCTATTGTTGTATTTTAGAAGGACGCCTTACTAACAACATATTGGATGACGTGAGCAGATCTGTTTGTTGTATTTAATCGACATCCATATGCCACACTAGAGCCACCAGGGGAGACAATACATGCCGCACTAGAGCCACTAGGGGAGACAATACATGCCGCACTAGAGCGACCAGGGGAGACAATACAGATTGACCGAGGTTATCTAGATCAGCGTTCCCCAAACGGTGGTCCGTCGACCGGCACCGGTCCGCAAGCCTTACGTTACCGGTCCGGAGAGCATGAATATTGATGTTTAAATAGAAAGAAAATGTAATTAATAAATCTGGCACCGGTCCCTGGTGCAGTTTCGAAACTTGTCCACCGGTCCGTGAAACATAAGACTTAAAAGTTTGGGAAACGCTGATCTAGATCGTCCATTTTGTTTGTTTACAAGAGTTTCATACTTAGGGAAACTAACGCTATTAACGGACATATCCAATTGGCTTCTTGATATGATATTTAAAAAAAACCTCATATTTATTTGTTAAGACGTTACTTCACCTTTCAATGAAATTCGTAATATGACGTAATTCAGCCCAGACAAGATTCATGCAGAGAGAAGGAAAAAAATTAATATAAACAAACAAAGATTAGTTTAGCATATCGCAGAAGAAAGACATTTAATTTAAACACCAAACCGACTTTGAAATCATTTACCAGTTTGTTTCGGTTCTGATAAATTAAAATAAAATGTTATGCCAGCGTACAATTAAAATAAAGCATAGAAATGGAGAGAAAAGAAGTTTGGGGTGGGGGGGGGGGGGGGCGCTACTTCAGGGGCTGGTAAGATCCCAGTACATACGGTGTCACTGTTAGCTTAAAACTCGATTGAATGTTTGCGCTGGGTCTACGCTGGGCCTACATTAGCTACGACAACAAACAGGAGAGGAAAGTTCAAATTATTTGTAAGGCTTAGCTGGGGAGACAAGTGACTCGAGGCGGCGAGCTCAAATGGGCTGTCCCCCTCCATAGACCAACCTTTTGTAGGGTGACAGGGTTCTCAAACATTTTCACAGGGTTCTCAAACATATGGACGCACACCTTTTGTACCTTGTGTGTCATTATTAGATTTATAACTTGTACTTACGATACAAATATGTTTTAAACCTCGCAAGAGGAGTTTTTTTTTTAAAGTTCCATTGGACTATTTTGTTTTGTGTTGATCTTCTTATAATTTATCAATGCCTATTCACCTTTGACCTTTGTTGTGTCACAAAATGTCAGTGCGATTTTGGGGTGTCTTTGAAACGTGATGTCAACCAGGTAGAAGCATGTTTTCTACTTGACAGTAAGTACTAAACCACACTGTGTACTCTATACTTTCAAATACAATACACGATGTACTCAATACCTCACAATATAATACCCATGTACTCTATGCGCCACAATATAACATTCATGTACTCTATGAGTCACAATATAACATACATGTACTCTATACGCCACAATATAACACAAATGTTCTCTATGAGTCACAATATAACACCCATGTTCTCTATGAGTCACAATATAACACCCATGTATTCTATGAGTCACAATATAACTTCCATGTACTCTGTACTTCACAATATAACATCCATTTCCTCTATACGTCACAATATAAGATCCATGTACTATATACGTCACAATATAGTATCCATGTACTTTACACTTCACAATATAACATCCATGTACTCTATACATCACAATATAGGATCCATGTACTTTATACTTCACAATATAACATCCATGTACTCTATACGTCACAATATAAGATACATGTCACACGTCACAAACCATGTTCTCTATACTTCACGATATAAAACACTATTTTCTCCAAAACGTCACCATATGACACCATGTGATCTATGTTTCTCAATATAACACACCATATATGATACGTTTTATCGATCGACTGTCAACAGAAACCGTCCATTTATCTGCTACACCACGATGTTACTGATACGTTTGGAGTGTATACCTACGTCCATGGCGGAACCTGCCTTTGTCCACGAGATTAGCAAACTCTGGTCATTTGACAATCTGCTGTTGGTGTTAATAATGAAGCCACTACTTAGACATTATTAGACACAAGAAGTGGATTGTGTGTGCCTATATGTATTGTGTGTGTGTTGGGGGGGGGAGACTAGCAATGATCGTCAATGTTGTTTAGGGAGGTGAAGCTAATTCTTGTCACACAATTTTATCTTATAATGACAATGAGGCGATATGCTAATGGTGAGGGTGCTTGTCGTTTTTCACAGGGTGTTAATGCTCTGACCCTACTGAAGGTGTTTGTCATTTGTCACAAGGTGTTAATGTCCTGACACTACTAAGGGTATTTGTCATTTGTCACAAAGTGTTAATGCCCTGACACTACTAGGGGTGTTTGTCATTTGTAACAAGGTGTTAATGTCCTGACACTTCTGAGTGTGTTTGTCATTTGTCACAAGGTGTTAATGTCCTGAAACTACTGAGGGTTGTCATTTGTCACAAAGTGTTAATGTCCTGCCCTACTGAGGGTGTTTGTCATTATCACAAGGTGTTAATGTCCTGACACTACTGCGTCAAAAATCAGTCTTGAACTGGATGTGAGGCTCATTATGGCTCCAGAGCAAAAGAGTTAACTATGACACGAGAAACTGTGGGACATAGAGGCAGCAGCCTAACTAGTTATACATGAAAAAACAAAACAATTTGATTTGAATTTCTTTATTTCAAAATATAGTGCGTTTTTGCTGTTTAAACAAAGTTTTATAGAGAGAGCCTGGTGTAGGCACAGCGCATCACAAAGCTGTAGGCACAGCGCATCACAAAGTTGTAGGCACAGCGCATCACAAAGCTGTAGGCACAGCGCATCACAAAGCTGTAGGCACAGCGCATCACAAAGCTGTAGGCACAGCGCATCAGAAAGCTGTAGGCACAGCGCATCACAAATCTGTAGGCACATCACATCACAAAGCTTTAGGAACAGCATAACGTAGATTTATAACTGAAGAAAAGGGCAGTGCACCCTTAGTGTAGACTTGGACAAAGGTCCAATATTAGTCGCAAAACTTGTTACGTCACTGCCTAAAATAATCCATTTCAAAGTTCTAACACCATGTGACATTTCTATTTATAATTTTTGAAATTCTCGTTTTAAAAAGTCAATGACGTAGGCAGAAAATGATCTTAACAATCTGAGCTGAAACACCTAAAGCTTTTATCTCCCTTCTAATCTCCCTTGTTTTGCAGCTCATTTATCCAACAATCGACAATCGATCAAGCACGAATCTATGAAGTTTAATGGCTTGGAAACAAAACAGGATTTTGGGTTTATTTTGTTCATCAGAATGATTTGACGCGAATCAAAGCTACATTTAATGGAAACTGTGTGTTAGGAATGTTATTATTGTGCCAGGTATTTAAAAAAAAAAAAAAAATTTATGAAATAACACTCCATGCTACATTCCAGTGCTACATTCCAGTGCTACATCTAGCTTAAGTTTTTAACGATTTTAAGAAGAAAGAATTTGTATAAAATATTTAGTGTGGTATTTTAAATTGCAGACCTCCATTTCTAACGCCAAATTGTTCAACTCGTTCGCAGTCTGAATGAATTCCTTAATGTTCGATGTTCTGGACACAACAAAAAAAGGTTCGCAGTCTGAATGAATTCCTTAATGGTCGATGTTCTGGACACAACAAAACAAGAAGTTCAATTTTAAGAGGAAACCAATGTCGTCTAAATTTATTTATTTTTTTTTGTGTGTGAAAAACAGAATTCTTGGTTTAAAAATGAAACGTGTTTTTTTTTTTTGTGAGTTTCATAAGCAATTTAATTTTAATAAACACTTTTTTTTTAATTTTAATTTTGTGTGTGTGGATGAAAGTCAAAATTTTGACCGTTCTATTTTGACAACTACGCGTACTTGTATTTAGATTGCTAAATCATTTACATGTTTATTGTAAGGCTATAGTAGCATTGCTTGCCTTGACCTAGCTCGAGCCTCTATGTGACATGATGTCATCTTGAGCCTCTATGTGACATGATGTCATCTTGAGCCTCTATGGGCCATGATGTCATCTTGAGCCTCTATGTGACATGTTATCTTGAGCCTCTATGTGACATGATGTCATCTTGAACCTCTATGTGACATGATGTCATCTTGAGCCTCTATGTGACATGATGTCAACGTTAAACCTCTATTTGACATGATGTCAACATTTTGCCTCTATGTGACATGATGTCAGCTTGAGCCTCTGTCTGACATTTTCATCCATTTATGTGACACACTTTATTTCAATCATGTTAATAATGCAGTTGTTTATGTCAGGAGAATAAAAGAATAGCCAGCTTACAGATAATACAAGATAAGAACAATATAGTTTCCTTTTTCCATCTAATCCTTCGTTCTCTTTGTTAATATTGATTCATTTCATGATATCTAACCGTTATGTGACATCAAATACAACCAACTAATCAGTTGTGTCTCATGTCTTGCTGCAAGACGTTAGTTCGGATTTGTGGCGGCCATTCGACACCGACCACACTGTACACTCCCGACCAGCCCCACACAACCTTAGCACCCCGCACAACCTTAGCACCCCGCACAACCTGAGCGTCCCCGCACAACCTTAGTACCCCGCACAACCTGAGCACCCCGCACAACCTGAGCACCCCGCACAACCTGAGCACCCCGCACAACCTGAGCACCCCGCACAACCTGAGCACCCCGCACAACCTGACCACCCCGCACAACCTGCGCACCCCGCACAACCTTAGCACCCCGCACAACCTTAGCACCCCGCCCAACCTTAGCACCCCGCACAACCTTAGCACCCCGCACAACCTGAGCACCCCCCTTCCCCACAACCTGACCTTCCCTTATACTTCCGACAACCGCCGAACAACCCGGACCCACCCCCAACAACCCGACCAACACCGACCTGCACCCACCACCCCAGTCTCGTGTGGCATTCACTATAATCAAATAGGTATAATGTTACACTTCCTTATGGACTTGATACATGTGTCATATAATGTTTAACAAAAAAAAATAATGTTAATATGGTTTGTTTATCTCACTAAACTAGCTGTTGATGTATCTTGTTTATCTTACAAACCCATCTGCTGATAGGACTTGTTTATCTCACTAACCAATCTGTTGATATGACTTGTTTATCTCACTCACCAATCTGTTGATATGACTTGTTTGTCTCACTCACCAATCTGTTGATATGACTTGTTTATCTCACTTACCAATCAAGTGATATGACTTGTTTATCTCACTCACCAATCTGTTGATATGACTTGTTTGTCTCACTAAACAATCTATTGATATGACTTGTTTATCTCACTCAACAATCTGTTGATATGACTTGTTTATCTCACTTACCAATCAAGTGATATGACTTGTTTATCTCACTAACCAATCTATTGATATGACTTGTTTGTCTCACTTACCAATCAAGTGATATGACTTGTTTATCTTACTAACCAATCTATTGATATGACGTGTTTGTCTCACTAATCATTCTATTGATATGACTTGTTTATCTCACTTACCAATCAAGTGATATGACTTGTTTATCTCACTAGCCAATCTATTGATATGACTTGTTTGTCTCACTAAACAATCTATTGATATGACTTGTTTATCTCACTTACCAATCTATTGATATGACTGGTTTATCTCACTTACCAATCTATTGATATGACTTGTTTATCTCACTAACCAATCTATTGATATGACTTGTTTATCTCACTCCCCAATCTGTTGATAAGACTTGTTTATCTCACTCACCAATCTGTTGATATGACTTGTTTATCTCACTCACCAATCTGTTGATATGACTTGTTTATCTCTCTTACCAATCAAGTGATATGACTTGTTTGTCTCACTAACCAATCTATTGATATGACTTGTTTATCTCACTAACCAATCTATTGATATGACTTGTTTATCTCACTAATCATTCTATTGATATGACTTGTTTATCTCACTTACCAATCAAGTGATATGACTTGTTTATCTCACTAACCAATCTATTGATATGACTTGTTCATCTCACTAACCAATCTATTGATATGTTTTGTTTATCTCACTAACCAATCTATTCATATGACTTGTCATGAAGCAGTTTCAGGAACAAGCCGAGTGGACTGTTCAACCATGCATGACGTCACTTTACGACATTCGTGAAATGTACCATGCTGCTCGTAACAATTCATTTAAGCTGTATACCCCACACCCAATTTTTTAATGCCCTAAACTTCACATCGTTGCCCAACCATACAATAAAATAATGTTAAAAAATGACCACACGTACAATCTGATCGATCGCTCACTAATATCGATGAGACTTGCTTTATTTGTATGTTAATTGGTTTGATAGAGTTTTATTGCCCTGTCTTGTTTGCGCGAGCACTGGTTTGGGGGGAGGGGGAGGCGAGATAAGAGACAGGTCATGGTTTGGGGGGGGGGGGTTGTAAGAGGGAGTCGTTACAAATTGGAAAAGAAGAAAAACACACACACACACAAACATTCTTTCGATGATGAGTTTACATGTACTGAAAAAATAGAATATATTTTTTCTCAACTTCATCAGGCAAAGGAAGTATGTGCCCAAGGGCAGTAAGGTGCTCAATGAAGCCAAATGATTCCAATTATGTCTATCGAAGGAACTTACATATATTTTTCTCCAATTTTTGAACATATATTATTTACAAAATTTCCTCGCCTGATAAATTTTAAGAAAATGTTTCTATTTTTATAATACGTTTCAACTCATCATCGGGAGAACGTTTTTTTTCATTAAGTTGTTAAAAATATAGATATCTTTTTTTTTTTAATATGAAAATTTTCAACTGTAAATAATCCACAAAGATAGGGTTTAAAAAATAAAAGAGTGCTTACAAAATCCCGGCTATAACAGTGACTCAGCTCTCTACCCAGGGAAACAACTAAAAAGTAGAAAGTAACCATTGCTTGCCGTCCATTGGTCAGAGTCTAATTGCTGAAAGGCCCTGCCCCAAAACCTACCCCCATACCAACACATGAGATATCATGTCTGCATGTTAAACAGTTGGCTCTACACACAAACACATGAGATATCTTGTATGCGTGTTAAACAGTTGGTGCTTCATACACACACATGAGATATGCTGTCTGAATGTTAAACCGTTGGCTCTACATGCAAACACGGGAGATATCATGTCTACATGTTAAACAGTTGGTACTTCATACAAACAATGAGATATCCTGTCTGCGTGTTAAACATTTTGTTCTTCATACAAACACATGAGATAGCCTGTCTGAGTGTTAATCAGTTATTCTTCATACAAACACAGGAGATATCCCCCCCCCAAAATACATATTTCCGCCGTAATGACGCCATCAACACCTGGAGATGGATGTATACCAGAAAAAAGCAACATGTATCAAACATTGATTCGCCCAAACCGTTGAATCTGTCTTGCCATTCAATCAGCCCAACAAGGGCTTTATAAATCCGCGAATCTACCAACCACTGAATTTTCTAAACAGTTTATCTGTCAACGGTTGAACCCATCAATCATTGAACCCATCAATCATTGAACCCATCAATCATTGAACCCATCAATCACTGAACCCATCAATCACTGAACCCATCAGTCACTGATCCCATCAGTCACTGAACCCATCAATCACTGAACCCATCAATCACTGAACCCATCAGTCATTGAACCCATCAGTCACTGAACCCATCAGTCACTGAACCCATCAGTCACTGAACTCATAAGGCACTGAACCCATCAATCACTGAACCCATCAATCACTGAACCGATCAGTCACTGAACCCATCAATCATTGAACCCATCAATCATTGAACCCATCAATCATTGAACCCATCAGTCATTGAACCCATCAATCACTGAAACCATCAATCATTGAACCCATCAATCATTGAACCCATCAATTACTGAACCCATCAATCACTGAACCCATCAGTCACTGAGCCCATCAATCATTGAACCCATCAATCATTGAACCCATCAATCATTGAACCCATCAATCATTTAATATTACAACCATTAAATCTGACTACCCCTGACATTAATTCTATTGTAAATCTGCTGATGTTTTTTATATTGTCAGTTTTACAGTCGCAGACCTGTTTACGCCTACGCTTTCGCCGTAGTAACTACGTATTTAAGCCTACGGCATTACGACGAGCCTTAAAAAAACCCTTACATTTTCTTGAGTTTTTTTTCGTTTGTAATTAAAAATAAATACTTTGGGATGTTTTCAGTAAAAAAAACGTACCGCACTTTTTTTGTGTTAACACCGTAAGCAATCTACTAAGAATAACTGTGATTGGCTTTTGCGGTCTCGATCTCAATAAACCGACCAGAATATTATCTTTTAGAGCAGTGGTTCTAAACCTTCACGATGCCGCGACCCTTTAATACAGCTCCTCATGTTGTGGTGACCTCCAACCATAATTTAATTTTCGTTGCTACGTCACAAAAACGTGTTTTCCTATGGTCTAAGGCGACCCCTGTATGAGGGTTGTTTGAACATTTCAAATTGAACCCCAAAGGAGTTGCGACCCACTGGTTGAGAACCGCTGTTTTTGAGGATAGTGTTGTTATTGCTTTGTTAACTGATAATGTGCTCGCCCTTTTCTTATCCTTAAAAAACAAATCGCAGGAAATATATCATAGATATTAATCTGTTTTAACCTAGGCATTTGAGTGGATTTCCATACACAATTTGTATTTTGAATGCAAACGAGCGCCCTTGCGCCCCCCCCCCATATAGTTACCAAACTACTCTTGGAGCTTGAAACTACGTTTTTGAGAGCCGAAAACTACGCTGGCACTGACCTAGGAGTAAACATGCAGGTCTACAGGTGGCTTCACCACTATTACTCTAACTAAAGATTCAATTTGTTGCCGGCAGAGCTGTTGGACTGTAACATTAAGCTATACGGTTGTTGTAGTTTGGTCCAGGTTCCACAGCCCACGGGAAAGAAGTTAGCATACTTTCAAACTCTCTTTTACTTTCATTCTTAATTGCAGTGTACATTTCTTGTTGGGTATGGGTAATGACAGGGAGGTGCAAACAACAACAATGGGGCCGAGTTCATACCCTAACACACGGTGCCGTCTTAAGGCATGGGGGCACTGGGAACTTGCTGAAGGCCTCACGCCTCTAGGGGGCCTCATGAATCTAAGGGGGGTGCGCTCAAGGCTCTTTTGTGCCCCTCTGCTCTATGGGGCCTCACTGCTCTATGGGGCCTCACTGCTCTATGGGGCCTCACTGCTCTATGGGGCCTCACTGCTCTATGGGGCCTCACTGCTCTATGGGGCCTCACTGCTCTATGGGGCCTCACTGCTCTATGGGGCCTCACTGCTCTAGGGTGGATAAAAAAGCGGCGCCCAAGGCGGACTAGTAAGACGATTTTGCCCCCCCCCCCGTCTGTGTGAAGAGCAGGGAATGTTACTCTGGACATGACCTAAACCAAAAATCCGGCCTTCGGCCCGAAAAGTTCGTGTAACCCTGGTCTAGAGTGACAGTTGAGTATAGAAAGAGATAGTGATCTAGAGTGACCGTGGAGTATATAAAGAAATAGTGGTCTAGTGTGACAGTTGAGTAGAGAAAGAGATAGTGATCTAGGGTGACAGTGGAGTATAGAAAGATATAGGGATCTAGGGTGACAGTGGAGTATAGTAAGAGATAGTGGTCTAGATTGACCGTGGAGTATAGAAAGAGATAGTGGTCTAGAGTGACAGTTGAGTATAGAAAGATATAGTGATCTAGAGTGACCGTGGAGTATATAAAGAAATAGTGGTCTAGTGTGACAGTTGAGTAGAGAAAGAGATAGTGATCTAGGGTGACAGTGGAGTATAGAAAGATATAGGGATCTAGGGTGACAGTGGAGTATAGTAAGAGATAGTGGTCTAGATTGACCGTGGAGTATAGAAAGAGATAGTGGTCTAGAGTGACAGTGGAGTATAGAAAGAGATAGTGATCTAGAGTAACCGTGGAGTATAGAAATAGATAGTGGTCTAGAGTGACAGTGGAGTATAGAAAGAGATAGTGATCTAGAGTAACCGTGGAGTATAGAAAGAGATAGTGATCTAGAGTAACCGTGGAGTATAGAAAGAGATAGTGGTCTAGAGTGACAGTGGAGTATAGAAAGATATAGTGGTCTAGGGTGACAGTGGATTATAGAAAGAGATAAGGAGGAATAGAGTGAGATTGGAAATAAGGTTTCTAACCGTTCACCCTGGTGTTGGTAATACAGTCGTGATGGTTACCTAAGTCTATGCTCACTGAATGACTGTCACTGCCGCATCAAGACATCAAATGTAATTAAAATTAATCCTCCAGACACTTGATGTAACTAATCACTGGCACTTTATTTCAATAAAACTGAATACACATAATCAATTAACAACTTCATTTATAGTACAGGATATCCACAAATATTCACTTCTGTGTTGATTAATTATCTTTACTACCGTCCTCACATTGCTACACAATTTATTGTGGCACAGAAACCATCCTGCCAACATGGCTGCCTTAACTCGTCCATTAGATCTTATATCTTCTCATTATCTCCCTTGATTCTAACTAGCTTCAAACTAGCACAAGCAAAGTTATACTGTTACAATGCTAAATACTAATAGTGAAGGGCATCCATATTGATGACAAAGAAAGACTTAATGAGAGAGAGAAACAGAGAGAGAGAGAGAGAGAGAGAGAGAGAGAGAGAGAGAGAGAGAGAGAGAGAGAGAGACGGAAACAGAGTGTGTGTGAGAGAGAACGTAAAGGGGATAGAGTTGAGGAGAGAGAGACATGGCGAGAGGTGACATGCTATAATCATTAATGACGAACTCCCCACAGGACTTGACAAAGTGAAGGGCATACATATAGATGACAAAGAAAGACATAAAGAGAGAGAGAAACAGAGAGAGAGAGAGAGAGAGAGAGAGAGAGAGAGAGAGAGAGAGTTAGAGAGAGAGAGACGGAAACAAAGTTTGTGTTAGTGAGAACGTAAAGGGGATAAAGTTGAGGAGAGAAAGACATGACGAGAGGTGACATGCTTTAATCATTAATGACGAACTCCCCACAGGACTTGTCACAAAGACTTTGAGACACTCGTAATGTCTCGTAAAATAAGGGTATACTTCGTAGCTGTAAGACCACGTAATGGTCACCAGTAAAAGGTTCACACACGTTGGGTTGGTGCATTCAGTTGAATGGTGAAGGTCGTCTGCACCATTAAAAATAAACACGTCAAGCCATTTTAAAGCCAGCACGGTTTCTCGCGTCCAAATGGTGTATGTTGAATTGTTATTTGTATTAGTATGTAGTGGATGAAGGCAGGATCACTACATGCCGAGGATCAAAACAGGGCGGAAACAGCTGCAAAAAGAGCGAGGAGGAAGGCCGGTAAATACTGCTCCACCGCATTCGTGTGTGGGAAATGTAACAGAGACTGCCATTCGAGGATTGGTCTCACCAGCCACACCAAGAGCTGCAAGCAATAAAGATAATCTATCGTCTCCTGCAGACGGAAAGATGCCATACATGTAGTGGGTGTAGATATTTATTCTTTGCAATCACATCTTTAAATAGTTTGTATTTGTTATAAGGGTCAATTCAGTCCTGTCTAAAATAGTAGATTCCAGAAATTCCACTATTCATTTGCTGACCACGAATACTACCTATAAGCTTAGTGCTATTTTTTTTATTTTAATACTGGGTTTTTTTTCCTGTTGTTTTGTTCGCTGACGAAGGCTTCCTGCCGACACGTTCGTTGTTTTGTTGCATTCCCTTTTTCAGGTTTAACACTACTTTGTTTTACTCATTTTATATCCACAAATGTAAGCCTAAAATTAGATTTGTTCCAGTGAAACTTATAATAAATCTATGCACTTTACCATACTTTGAAGCAAAAATATTAACACACAACAAAAATGATACAGTCTAAAATATCTGACTTCTACTACTGGGGGCTCGCCCTGACCCTGGGATTAACTGGATGAAACTCAACGCATTTTTTTCAATGAAATGAGATTAAACTTTTAGTTTAAGAGTCAGAGTGTACAACAACTTCTAAATAATAGGTATGTACATTTGAGAGAAGTGTTTGGACAAGTTGGCTGCCGTCAAGAATGAGCGGTCAAGTATGTGACCGTCAACATCCCAGTGAGACTCCGGGTCAATGGTGGCTCAACCAAAAGAAGGGAGACGATTAAAAACGTCTGCTATAGAAACGGGACATTTGCTAAGACATTTTTCTCAACAACAAAAAATATCTCCGGGCCTTGTTATTAACTTCCATTCAAAACCACACCATCTTCCACACCATCTTCCCCACTATCGTCCACAACATCATCCACACCGCATTCCATACCAAATTCTACACTATCGTTCACTACATCACCCATAACAATCGACACCATCGTCCATACCGTCGTCCACACCATCTTCCACACCCATCTTCCACACCATCTTCCACACCATCTTCCACACCATCTTCCACCCCATCTTCCACACCATCTTCCACACAATCTTCCATACCATCTTCCACCCCATCTTCCACACCATCGTCCACAACATCATCCACACCGCCTTCCACACCATAGTCTACAATATCGTCCACTACATCGTCCACACCATCATCCATAGTATCGTCCACATTATCATCCACACTATCGTCGACGCCATCGTCCACACTATCATCGACGCCATCGTCCACACTAACATCCACGCCGTCGTCTCCCAAATCGCCATAAATTGAATTGACAAAGAGACCTTTCTGAGAAGTGTTTTTATATAATTCTATAATGTGTAAAACTTTTTTTTTTAAATAAGAGCAATAGCGGGTATGGAAACAAAATTACAGCTAACATAATCAGAACTAAAAAAAATGTGAGGAGGAACCAATACACGAAGACGGGCCTAGGGATGTTTGGGGGAATCAACATACAAAAGTGTACATGTGTGTGGAGGAACCACTATTAAAATTAATAGGAGCCAGAATGATCAATTCATTGATCGTGGGCCCTTAAAATAAAGAAGAAGAGAAGAAATGTACATGTGTGTGGAGGAACCATTACACAAAGATGGGCCTATGGGTGTTTGAGTAACCAACATACGAAAGTGTACATGTGTGTGGAGGAACCACTACAAACATGTACACGTGTTTCGAGGAGCCAATACAAAAATGTACATGTGTGTGGAGAAACCAAAACACAAAGATGGGTTTTGGGGAAACCAACATAAAGTGTACATGTGTGTTGAGGAGCCAATGCAAAAAATATACATGAGTGTGGAGGAACCAATATAAAAATCTATATGTGTGTGGAGGAACCGATACAAAAAGGTACATGTGTGTGGATGAAGCAATACAAAATGTGTGCATGTGTGGGAAGGAGCTAATATGAGCCAATGGGTCTTTGAGGGAACCAATATACAAATGTACGGGTGTTTGGGGAGCCAATACAAAAGGTGTTTGGAAGAACCAAGAAACAAATGTACAGGTGTTTTTTGAAATCAAATAAAAATGTATAGGTGTTAATAATACAGGTGTTTGGGGAAATCAATACACACATATACAAGTGTGTGGAAAAACAAATACACAAATGTGAAAGTGTGTGGTGGAACCAATTAAAAGCTAAAAAAAAAAACTTGTGGGTGAATATAACCAAATGTCCCTCTTCCCCTTTTTTTTTACACTTTTCCCCCTTTGGACTTAAATCTTAGTATTGGGGGCGTGATTTCAACAGCAGACAAGTGTCTAAAACAAACTTTTCCCCGGTATATTTACCCCAAATGACATGGGGCGGGACATCGTGAGTTTTTATGTGGGATCCACCACAAGTAGGAGAGAGAGAGAGAGAGAGAGAGAGAGAGAGAGAGAGAGAGAGAGAGAGAGAGAGAGAGAGAGAGAGAGAGAGAGAGAGAGAGAGTGAGAGAGAGAGAGAGAGAGCTTGTTAACGTTTGGTTAACATCGCCAGTAGTTGCGGAAATGTTGTTGGTAGCCAGGTGACCTTATGGCTGGGCGCATTGTTCAGACGTTGTTGGTAAATATTACAAGCAGTTTGGTTACGTTACGCTTTTGATCCTCTTGAGTTAAGATAAGTTAATCCCAAGACTTAGGCTAAAGGCATCCTTAAAACGTGATTGGCGCCTAAGAGTTAGGTTAAAGGCATCCTTAAAATGTGATTAGCGCCTACTTACCGGTTTGATAGGCATCCTTTATGTATCCATAGGTTCTATATCCACATCCACGGTGTGTTCACTTTAGCAGACAAGGAGCATAGTCCACGAATTTTCCAGTAATTTGATTGCTATTGTACAGCAAATTCGAGCTGTTGAGTGCTACTCTCTAACCCGACAAACGTTGATTTGGTTCATAGTGCTAAAGTCATATTTACATTCCTTGGCTCGTTTAACATTGTTTCATTTCTTGAGGCACAACACCAAACTCAACACATTGGGGGGGAAACCAGGATATGGTAAATCAATCGCATCGAACATTGATCACTACTCGATGATCGATACCCAATCTAATGTTAAGTGAACCCTACACGAAGCTTACAGCCGTTTAAGTCAAGCAGAGATTGAAACCTGTCTGATCAACGCCCTCCCCCCACTAGTAGTCTAACCTACCACCCGATATCCCCAGTGTCTGCCAAATGTGGACAGCACCACCGTCTTACCAGTGTCTGCCAAATGCGGACAGCACCACCGTCTTATCAACGGCGGTTGTCTTCAGCACGACTGGTTTTGTAGGAACTGGGGCGACAGAGGCGGATTCGGCGAGCCGGGGGGGGGGGAATTAAGGTGAGGCGTTTTTCGGCCGTAAGGGGAACGACGGGTTTTGTTAGGAGTCGGAAAAAACAACAACAGAGAATGACGTAGAAGACAGTCAAAGTTGAAGCCAAAGTGAAACGTGTGAGTTCATCGGAAAATACTCAACTTACCCCAACTGTACGGGTAATAGAAAATATTCAACTGTACGGTTAATATAGAAAATATTCAACTGTACGGGTAATATAGAAAATATTCAACTGTATGGGTAATAGAAAATATTCAACTGTACGGGTAATATAGAAAATATTCAACTGTACGGGTAATAGAAAATATTCAACTATACGGGTAATATAGAAAATATTCAACTGTAAAGGGTAATAGAAAATATTCAACTGTGCGGGTAATAGAAAATATTCAACTGTATTGGTAATATAGAAAATATTCAACTGTACGGGTAATAGAAAATATTCAACTGTAAAGGGTAATAGAAAATATTCAACTGTACGGGTAATATAGAAAATATTCAACTGTACGGGTAATAGAAAATATTCAACTGTAAAGGGTAATAGAAAATATTCAACTGTACGGGTAATATAGAAAATATTCAACTGTACGGGTAATAGAAAATATTCAACTGTAAAGGGTAATAGAAAATATTCAACTGTACGGGTAATATAGAAAGCAAACCAAGCGTGACGTCACGAGTAGCAGAGTCAATAAATACATCAGGTTCTGGGAAAAAAGTACATCATGCAGTGGCGTCACTCACTAGCGTTGGTGTCACCCAGTGCGGTGAAGTCATGGTGTCACCATGGTGTCACCCCCCCCCCAGACTTCCCCATGGACCTCTGGTGGTACCCTGCTCTCATATTGAACTACGATCTATTAGAAAATAGATTCTAACAAGCTCTGTCAAATTTGCAATATTTCATTTGTTGCCCGCCCCCCCCTATTCCCCCCCCCTCCAGTGGGGGTCTAAGCTGTGAGCCTGTGCGGCCCACCCGCAAACGTCGCCACTGTGATAACTTGTGGCCCTGGACATTTACATTTCAGCATAATATTTACTAAATGTCCTATTATTTAGTCGGTGGCGTATCTGCTTCAGTCAGTGTCGGCTTCACTTACGTCCAGTCCCAATAAAGAAGGCTCCCAGTGTGGGCGCCTCCTTCAAAGGGCACAAATCTCGTAATTCTCATGTATAATATAGATGACTTAAAATATAGCTCTTCGGGAAGAGGGCGCCTAAATTCATGATTTGCCCCGGGTGCAGATTTTGTTTGCTACGAACTTGCCCCCCCCCCCCACAACTCCTCTTTAATAAACGTCCTAGTCGAGAGAAAGGGGTGTTAATGGTCTGGAGGGGTTGGGATAGCTTGGTGGGTGGGGAGGGCTGGAGGTAGTTATATTCCATTTGTTTAACACTGCATGAACCAACCCCCCCCCCCCAAAATTTTTTTTTTTCATTTTTTTTTTTTTAAAAGTAAGCTATTAAGAAAATGTCGACTGTGTAGAGTTGGGAGCCGGGGTTGGGAGCCGGGGGTTGGGAGCCGGGGGTTGGGAGCCGGGGGGAGGGGGGCAATTTGGATTGGTTAAAGGGTTGTGATGGTTAAGTCAAAGAGTGGGGATAACCGGGACAAGGGATCTGAGGGTAGCCTTAGGGTAGCCCATCTTTGCACCCTCGCCACTAACATTCGAAAATGAACCTGTGGATTCAGGAGCCAGCCGTGCAAAACATGGCATTGAATGTGATACGCACAATACACGACACACGACATGGTTTAAGGACAGAGAGGTTTGTCAGTGGTTCTCAAAGTGGGCGCTACTGCAGCACATGGTGTGGGACAAAGGCTTGGTGGCTTTTAGGGGGTGCTTAGGAATCTCAGTGTTAAAATTCTAAAATCATTGTTTAATATTTAAATTAGTTTGAAATATTATTTAGATTCTTGGCATTCAATAAGAATCTCGGATATACAAAAGTAAAAAGGGTCATGATTTTATTCCAGACATAGTTAAGAGAGAAAAGACAGTTGATGGAGAGAAAAGACAGTTGATGGAGAGAAAAGACAGTTGATGGAGAGAAAAGACAGTTGATGGGGAGAAAAGACAGTTGATGGGGAGGAAAGACAGTTGATGGGAAGGAAAGACAGGGTTGCACGGCCCACTGCTGCCTCTAGAGTTGCACGGCCCACTGCTGCCTCTAGGGTTGCACGCCCCACTGTGGCCTTTAGGGTTGCGTGGCCCACTGTGGCCTTTAGGGTTTCACAGCCTACTTGTGCCCCTAATTGTTGCACGGCCCACTGCGGCCCTTAGTGTTACACGGCCCACTGAGGCCCTTAGGGTTGCACGGCCCACTGCGGCCCTTCGGGTTGCGCGGCCCACTGCTGCCTCTAGGGTTGCACGGCCCACTGTGGTCTTTAGGGTTGCACGGCCCACTGCGGCCCTTAGGGTTGCACGGCCCACTGCAGCCCATAGGGTTGCACGGCCCACTGCGGCCCTTAGGTTTGCACGGCCCACTGCGGCCCTTAGGGTTGCACGGCTTACTGCGGCCCTTAGGTTTGCACGGCCGACGCTACTGTTCTGCATGTATGAGAGGGGCATTTTTTTTTTTTAAATCGGACGAGAGAGATTGACTTGATTGGTTAGCATCAGTGAGTGTTTCTTTAGGGCATCATCCCCCCCCCCGGACAATACTGGATTTTGTTTTCTCTAAAGAAACATTGGTTCCAGTTTTCTATCTTCACTGCGCGTGCTAATACGTCATCATCATAGACTCCTAGGCGGATCTTGGGTCAAGTAAAGTGATCAAAACTAGGTCTGAAAATACCTTAGGCCTCAGGTCAGCTATACCAAGGGGTCAAACTGAAACGGGTTGTTTGATAAGGCGCTCCCCCAAACCCTCGAAAACGTGTAGCGCCTTTTGGAAGATGAAAACTGGAACTAACGAACCTTGAAATAGCGTAAATTCGCTAATTCAAACCCTGAAAGTAATAATTGACACCAGCTGAACCTGGAAATGGCACCACGTTGGCTTCGGTGCCAAGTCTTTGAGTTTTATCCAGTTTTCGCTGATTGTAGACAAGTACCGGTTGAGTCACGTAGATCGTCGGTGGGATAGGGGGGGGGAGAAAGAAATCAAGGGCGTCGAAGGCTTAAGGGGCCTTGAGACCCTTCCCCCGAAATCTTTTTCATCCATTCAAAATGCAAGGGTTCTTTAGGCGTATACCTGAATTAAGTTTTGTATAGATCTACACTTGACTGATTTGATCAACACAGAAATGCTGTGAAATACAAGTTGTTCATTTTATCATTGTTACGAAATAGTGAGGTTGTTTTACATTATTTATTTAATCTATTATAAAACTATAAAACCATTTATTTCATTTGAACGTCACAAACAAAAAAAAGCATTTGTATATACTGCTGGTCGGGTGTGTCGAGTGAGTTGTGGCCAGGGACGTGATTGGGTTAGGGCAGGGTGGGCATTTGCCCCCCCCCCCTGATTTTGCAAGTTTTATTTAAATTGCTATGTACTGAGGCGCCTCCAGTAATAAACAACTTAACAAGCCCACCAAGTTTTGGTTTTTGCCCCCCCACCAATGAAAAAATCTGGAATGACGCCCCCTGATTGTGGCGCTGAGTTATATTAGGAACAGGGCCGAACAGCTAAAGAAGCGATTTGTCAATTATGACTTCTTATCATTTTAAAAATGTAAACATTGAAGGGGTCTCCGGTTCCATGTCATAGAATCTCATCTTCTTTATTACTGTCATCGTACTACATGTTCAACCCCTAAGTCCGTGGGGCGCAAGCCCGGGCTACTACAAATAACAATCTATCCACAATGAATAGAAAGCTGTGCGTAACTTTGTTGACTGTACCCAGAGTCTCAAACGCCTTAATCCAGTGGTTCTCAACCTTTCTAATGCCGCGACCCTTTAATACAGTTCCTAGTGTTGTGGGGACCCCCAACCACAAAATTATTTTCGTTGCTACTTTATAACTGTAGAGCATAGGTGTTTTCCGGTGGTCCTAGGCGACCCCTGGGAAAGGATCGTGTGACCCCCCCCCAAAGGGGTCGCGACCCACAGGTTGAGAACCGCTGCCTTAATCCGACCTTGCATCGTACCAAGAAAACAATTCGATTTCAAGGTCATAATCGCAGGGTTTGATTTACTGTTAAAGACCAAGCGACCCCTATGTTTTGCGGAGAGCAAAAAATCCCTCTAGGCAGAATAAAAAAAAAATCATTATTTTTTATAAATTAAATAGTAAAGGAATTTGTTGAACTCATAATGAAACGTACTTAAAAATATTTACATACAATCACAATGGCTTCATGTGAAGAAAATATTTTAAAATTTATTTTATTAAATTGTTGCCTCCCCTGGATCATAACATCCGGAAGTTTTATTCTCTCTCTTTTTTCATTTCTTAAAAAAAAATAAAAAATTATACGTTTCAAATTTCAAATTTGTGTGTGTGCATAGGTGCCGAGGAATTGTAAAGCATATTTTTGTTATGTTAGTGTAGGCCTGTTGCCACGTTGACCTTCACTGAGCTTGCTACTTCATGAATTTCATGTCACAAAAAGCAATTATCTACCCAAATGCATTGCACCTTCCTTTGATTGGTCCATTAATTGGTCCTTTGGTTGGACTTTTGACTGTTCCTTTGATTGATTGTCACCCAATTAATTTTTTTATAACTTTGTTCCTATTTTCTTCTAAATACATTGTGTACAATTTAGCCTTTTTTCTTCAGAGTTCCAGTATCTCATAATATGTGCAGTAATCTAAGGGCAAATAAAAATTACGCGTTCCATCTTTTGTCACTTTTCAATGAAAATCAGGAATAAGTTTGTGAGATTGGTTTGCATTTAATCCTTAAGCCCAGAGATTCCCAAAGTGGTCTATA